GGTTGCTCAATCTGATTCGCACTTGTCTCTGTTTCTTTTTCAGTAACCATAGTTAGTGATCTCTTAGAGAGAAAAAGCTATCGAAGAAAAAAAAAACGAAAAAGTGCTGGTTTATGAGACTCGACGTTTATACGGAGATTATTTGACTGACAACTGGAAAGTTTAGTCAACGTCTTCTTCTGCCTGCTCCTTCAGCACCTGACGAAGCAAAAAATCTCCATCCAACTGTTTAAAGTTCATTCTACTGCAACTACGTTTTCAATTTACGAGGGGAACAAAGAAGGAAATTGTTTTTCAAAGTTTCAAATTCTTTTTTCGTAAAAAGATCTATCAGAAAGATGGGTTTTTTGAGCTTTGACTCGAAACACTCGAATTTTGAAGGACACGTGCTTTTTATGTAAAAAAAAAAAACAAAAAATAAAGCATCGACGAAACCAGGCCCAACGGCCTCCCATACATCACTCCCTGTGATCAGGGTTCTAAACGGACATGTCCGTGTACGGATTTTATCCGTGTCTGTCCGGTCTTGTCCGTGCGGACAGACTAGACTTTTAGTCTTTTGGTCGAGGAAAAAACGGACAGGCTAGACCGGACTTTTGTCACGATCCGGACAAAATCCGTATTTGTCCGTATTTGTCCTTGAAATCCGGACAACCCCAGACTTTTGTCTATGTCTGTAAAATCCGGGCAGAATCCAAAAAAATCCGTAAAAAAGCACGATTTAAGTTCGAATTTGTTTCAAAAAAGCCTGAACCAACGTCATTGTTTGATAAAATAAGCCAGGTTTTCAGTTTAAAATTTAAAAATATCAAAATTTTTGACTTTTTGCCGGAAAATATCGATGATAACTTTTAATTGATATGTCTTTTTGAGAAGCCGGAACTTTGAGGACCGAGTCTCAAGAAATCCGTACAAGTATCAAAACCATCACATGGGCAGGACAAAGCTTCGCATGTCAGTCCTTCGCTTCCACAAGTACACCTCTCTGCTTCAGTAAAAATTTCTCCATTAAGTTCGACGTAATCATCGTCTTCAGTTAGACATCCACATGATGTTTCAGGAACACAGACGCCGGCTTCAAGAACTTCTCCCTCTGGACAGCCGCACATTCCCTCGACAATATTAAGGGTGGAAACTCTTGAAGATCTGTTTCCGTCAAGGCGGAAGTCACGCCACCGCACGAAAGAGTCGTGATCGTCTAATAAAGATTTGAATAGCAAGCTCATTTCTTTTTTCTGATCGACGAAGAAGACGGAAGAGAGGAAAATACTCACTCAACACGAAGACTATCGCTGGAAAACGATCTGATTACGGACGAGAAGATAATTGATACTACCATCAGGGATCCCTGTAGTGCACTGACTCATCCGCCGCCCCATCAGTGCGCTTTCTTTTGGCCGCTTCAGAGGCAAAAGGGAAAGATGGGCGCTGTACGCTCGACGAATCAGAGCGCTGTATTTTCCGGCGCATTACAGGGATCCCTGATGTAGAGCTATTTCCATGCGACCTGCCTATTCTGGAGATTATGCTTATGTGAGAAGGCCACTTGTGTTTGATAATAACAAATTGAAATAAAGAAAAATCAATTGAAAATTCATCAAATTCCGTCTTCATAGACCTGGCCAGCGGGACCCTCTTCTTCACAGCCTGTCGCTTCAGCCCAATTGCAAATTCTCTCGTTATCAGCGGACAGTGGATCTTTGCCTTTGCTCATCAATTAAAGCATATAAGATTTCCGAAAACTTTGATTTGTAGTCCTGAAAAATCAAATTTTCTATGCGGGCAGAGGTTAAACATAATTTATATAGCACAGAAATCGGAGTCAGTTTTCATCAAAATCGGTCGTGCAAAAGTTGTTGCAATCGGAATGTGATCAATAATTCCTCCAGAAGTAGCGGCATTACCGTCCCAAAAAATCTTCTCAACATGAGCATTGCTGACTCCCACCGATGCACCACTGACCACGATAATAGTAGATCTTTGTTTTAATTTTGATTGGGTTTAATCTTTACACTCTACTTCTTCATAAATACTTCCGTTATAATTTGCAATAATCGAATAATTTGAGAAATATCAAAAACAAAAACCCAAAGGAAATGACGTTTCCAAGCTCAATCTTTTGTTGTAGAGTTCCGTTATTTGTCCAAATATCGTTTCGAAGAAGATCGATGCGTTTATATTTTGTCGATCCATAGTAACCTCCAAAAACTGAAGAAAGGGTTCCAAAATTTTATGGAAAAGCAAAGAATCCGCTTTCAATAAATAATTCTAGACCCGATACTAGAATCCCGTCGTCTACTTCAAGACAAGCTTGCATTGCTCGAGTTCTAAAATAATACTAACGAATAAACTAGTCCTTTATTCGTACGCAGGGTTATCATTCAAATAAGTCCACATATCATTCTTGAATACTCCGACCTTTTTATTTCTCAAAAAGGGTCTTTCAAATAAAAAACTATATTAACTATATAACATGTTAAGACCCTTACGTAAGTCCAGCAATCACTAGCGACGAATTATTATAATTTGCCATACAAGATTCTTTGTTAGGGTTTTCTATTTCGACGCATTGGTATTATATTAATTAATTTATCAAACCCGAAAGTTTATGAGTAAAAGTCGTTGCCGCTGCTAAAATAGATGTTTCTTCACCATTAAATTTGTCACATTTTCTTGTGTCATCACCAAAACAAATTATAACTCCAGAATTGTCATAGAGCGCAATTCCTGATGAGTGACGGGACGCTGCAAAATTTAATCGAAGAGGGAGCTCAGAAAACTCGCAACAGACGAATTTTGCAATCTTTATTTATGATTTATCTTTTTCATTTCGAAAGCTACCTTGTAGTTGTCCTGGTCGCCTCCAAAAATATAGTTTTCGTCTTTCCAAACTGCATGGAAAACGTTTTCAAAATATTCATCTGTTGAAGGGGCTATCTCCTGATTTGTCTGATCTAAAGTGTCCAGAGAAAGAACATAGCTGAGTCGCGAGTATCCTGTTTTGTCGGAAAGAATCAGAACTGAGTCGCGTTTTCTCATCTCCATCGAACATTCAAGCTCGAAAGAATCAACTTTGTCGACTCTTGTTGACATTCGGGGAATCTCATATTCTCGACTTCTGCAGGCACTTCTTGTTCTACAATTATAAATTAAATAAAAATAATACTTGCCGATGAGTGTTTAAAAAACCTCAAGCTCAATCCAATGTTTGTTATGTTGCTGTTGTCGATGATTGTAAAGTTCTTCCCAGCAATTTTTAATGAACAGCTATTGATTTTCACATAAAAATCCTCCGATGCTATTGATCCTTTAAAATTCATAGTTTCGCCGAGCTTGTCTCCTCCAGATATGATCAAATCAAAGATCTCGCTCTGTATTACCCCTCGTGCGCTATTTATCGAAGAAATCAGAGCTTCTTTTTCTGATTTCAAAGTAAAATTTGATTGCTTTGCTTCTGCGCACGTGATCCCTTCTGACGGAATGAGATGGACAACTTCTCCGTTAACCTCGATCGCGTTTAGTAGATATGCCTTTGTTTGATTGAAGCAGGTATTGTACGGAATCGCTTCTCCTTTTTCCAATTGACAATCCGTCGGGACAGAACTCAAGTTCATAATTTCCGGAGTTTTGGAAACATAAACGCCGGTCAGGTTCAGTCCAAAACTCGGCTCTCTGATATTGAAACATGTTTCATTCAAGGACAGCACAGCATTGTTATCTTGGCAATCCAGATCGAATAAAACACAAGTCTCCACATTCGTCAAGCATAACAATATGAAAAACCAGAGCATTCTCTCAATAAATGTCGTTGGATTCTGATTTAACTGTTGCGGGAAAAAGACAGGAAAATAGAATTTTACGATTCAAAATTGCTGGTCTCTCAACACCAAATCTGGGCTATTTACGTCACCTGAAGGATGTTATATTACGTCGCTTCCGACATCATCAATTTTATCCTTATTTGAGACTTCTCTATTCAGCACAGAGTTGCAAATTTTTCAAAAATTTCACGTAGCTAAGCTTAAAATCTTATGGAAGGCTAGTAGTAATGTCAAGAGCACTCTTGGGAAGAGTTTTTGTTATTCTAGTTGAGTGGTTAATTACTTGTTCAAATTGCAAAAATGGACTATTGCGGACATTTGATGAAGCAAAGACAGCTAACCTGCGAATTCAGAAGATTCAGGTGCCAGAATTCGTCTGAAGAGCCCAATCCTGGCCCCGGGTGCCAGGCTAGGCAATATGAATCGAGGGCCTAGGATTCAGCTCTAAGTCGAATTCTGGCTAGGGGGCCAGGATTCGGATTTTGGTCGAATCCTGGCTCGGGGGCCAGGCTAATTGCATATTTCCATTCTGATGCCTAACCATATTGTGAACCGTTTGTTTCTGCTCTCCATAAAAACTATCAATAAAAATGCTGAAAAAGTAGGAATCTTACCGATAAGAGCGGAGAGAACTGGAAATCGCGAAATTTAGCAGATTTGAGAATTAGATCGTCCTTGACCGCGGCAGGAATAACGAGGTATTTTGGGTAGCTGGAGCAAATGCCGAATTTCTGATTCTTTTCGAAAAGTCACCAGCGCTTGTTTCTCAACGAAACAAACCAGGCCTAGAAAAACTGGAAGTGTGATTTATTACAAATATACAAGAATGAGCGCGTTTTCATAAGACTTTCACCACCTATAAAATTTCCTTGATCTTTTGAATGAAAAAAGTCAATAGTGATATTTTTTGCCGAAATGCAAATATTAATTCGCTTCTTTGGACACAACGCCTCGCAAGAATATTACAAAGACACATGAAATTCTTACTTATTCTTTTTCTGCTTTTCGGATATTCTTCTGCGAGCGACAGAGACACAGAAGAATCCCAATGTAGAAAAAAGGCGAAGACTGTTTTTAATCAATGTGTCGACAAGTGTTCTGACAGCGATTGTTTTAAGAATTGCAGGATTTGGTTTCAAAGAATTATTGATGTTTGATTGAAAAAAATTGCAACCATATATGAGAAAAGAAATGAAATTGGTTAAAAAATCTTGCTTGGAAGAAATTGAAGAAGATCGGGCTAAAAAAGAACGGGAAGAAAAGGCGCGGCAAAAAATAATAAGCATTCTTCAAGGATCTTCGGTAAGAATGAAACGGCCAAGGCAATAGCGAAAATCATTTTCAGGAATCATCTGATTACGTTTCAGCGGAAGAGGAGAAAGAAACAGAGGTTCAAATATTCGAGCATGAGGCAAAACTGCTGGTAAGCATTTTATAAGAAAATCAAAGCTCTATTTAATTATAATAGGAAAAAGAAGACGAAATAGAGGTCCTACGATACCAAAAAGAGCAGCTCGAACGAAAATTAGAAGCAGAAAAAAATCTAGAAGTCGACGAACTTAATCAACAAATCGAAGATCTTCTTCAGAGAAAGAAAGAGATTGAAACTGAAAATTCGTCAACAGTAGGGATCGTCATTGGGTCTCTCGTCGGAGTTGGACTCATCGCTGGACTCATCGCTGGACCTAAGCTGGTCGTACTGTATTTGAACTATCGGTACAAAAAAGAACTGAGGCAGCACGAAACGAATGTCGAAAAATCAATGCACGATACGAGTGAACATCTCCTCTACACATAGCCAACATCGGCGGACACGAGTTTATCAGCGTGAATCCAGTTATTTTCGAATCAAGAGCCGATTTCTGCGTCTATAATCAGCTGTTCATTCATTTTCGACTTTCAATTTTGACCTTATTTCTGCGCATTTTTGATCTTAAATAAATTTATCTTTAGTTTTGAACTCATAAAAAGGCTTTGTTTTTTCATTTCATAACGAAAACTCTTGACCAAAAACAGCTGTGAAGATCTGAACGGAACGAAAGCTTTAGTTTATGGGAAAAATAACAACCCGCTTGTCTGACAACTCGACATGTACTTTTCTCCGTTTTTCTTCCTTCGAAAATGTCATTTTCTGAGCTTTGACTTCAGAGGCCTCTGAGTCAGAGCTGATTCAAACGAATTATTTCTCCAGCTTTATATTTATTTTAATAAGTTGCAGTCTGAATCTTTCGCTTATTTCTCTTGTAATATAAAAAAACAATCGAATAAAAAATAGAAGATTTTGAGCTTTTTGATGAATTTGATCATGCGCTTGAAATTCTAGCAGCTGCAAAAATGTCAAAAGAGGGGAAGAGCTACAATGGTCAATTCCAGCTTGTCTTTAATTTTAAGCGAATCGAGTTTTGATCGAAAACTTTTAAAAATTGATCATATTGTGGTGCTACAGGTGCAGACATTTTACTTGAAGTTAAATAGAAATCCCCATGTTACTTTACCTACTTTACCTAAGTTAACCTACTTATTATCTAACTGAAGCAAGCAGCATAAACCGATGCATAAACCAGGCATCATCATTTTGAGCTAAAGATGGATGGTGACGTACAGAAGGGAATCGATGAGTTTGGCCATTGGAAGCGAATATTGGAAGGGAATTTTTGCACAGTGTGTCAGGTAACTCGATTTGCAATTGAACGGGAAAAGTTGAAAAATTTTTCTAGCGCGAATGAGATGAGGTTCCACTGAGACAATTACGAAGTCCCGTGGTTTTTATTCGACTCTTTGGTTCTTTCTTTTCGGTTTTTCATGGTTTTAGAGCTGATTTTCGTCTTCATTGGACAAATTCGCATGTTGGTCTAAAGCAGTGCAGCCTGACTCAGGTTTTTTTACACAGAAAGAGTGTTATTTTCCCTCATAGTCTATAGTATCTATGAGTCATAGACTCTTTAAGGGGGTGGTGGTCGAGAATTTTTTTTTCGACTTTTCGAAATTTTGATTTTATTTTTAGATTCCTCAATAAAAAAGGAACATTATCTGTCCCTAAAATTTTTCGATTGGATCAACATAACTTTAGAAAATATCGATTTTCAGTCGGGAATTTACGATTTTTCGAAATTTTGAAATTTGATTTTCTGTCCTAAAATTGATATTTATATGATTTTTGCTGCGAGATATTGTGAAAATATATGATTTTAGTAATCAATTGGCAATAATTGAGAATAGTTATGATTTTTTCGAAAATTAATGTTCAAATTGGGAGAAAAATGACGATTTTTAAGAATACAACTCTTTTTTCGTTCTATTACAATTTTTTTTTCTATTTGATAAAACCAAGCCGAAAGTAGAAAACCAAAAGAAATTTCAGAGACTGTGCACAATCATACAAACAGTCGAATGACAACGATGCGGCGGATGACTGAGCGAATGATAACTCCGTTGTCAACAAGCTCTACAGGAAACTCCAAGTCGTAGTGGAAAATGGGATTTTATATTCTAGCCCCCCGGGCTATAAAGTTTGGCTATAAAACGAAACTGAAGTTTTACTTTTATTCAAAATGATCGTCAACCTTTTGTCAAAGAGCTCAGAGCTTAAATAGCCTAACATCACTTTGAAGAGAGACTCCATTTATGAAATTGGAATCTATCAAATTGGAGGCATCACCGAAAATGTTCTTAAATCACCACACATACTCAAGATAACTTACAATGGAATTTGCTTAACGGAAGGAAGCAACGTAGAAACAATTATGATGCTTCCATTCAGTGGATCAGCATTCAGATCCATCACAACGGATCCGTATTATTTCAAACTAGTTGCATGTGATTTGGAAAACACGTTCTTCAAGTTTCAAATCGTCGACTCCGCTTTAAAATTCAAATATGTTTATGCGCAGATCGCCATACGAGAGATCGAACAATCAAAAAAGCGAAAGTTTTCATCAAGGTGAGGTCAGTCATAACGAGAACTGGTTTATTTAAAAATCTTGTAGATGAAAACAGGTCAACACTGACAATCAAGGCCAACAAAAGAAAGTTTCAGCGAAAGAACCATCAAAAGAGAAAAGATCTACCGCAAAAGTCTACGCATTCTTTACTAAAAATGAACTTAAATTTTTATGCCAATAAAATTTATCGCGAAAAAATGTGCCTTAAATAATAATTGCCAGGATACAGGATTTCCGAAATTTTTGCCTTGAATTGAGGTGCCTCTTATCGGGGAGCAGAGGGATATCTTTGGCATGGAAATTTAATTTTTTACTTCTTTCAACCTCAGTTGATCTTTTTTTGCCTGGGGTTATTTGCAGGATGGAAAAACCTTGTAAGGCATGGGGTATTCTAAATTCCTGAGGGTATGAGATAGCTTCAAAATATAATTACAGAATTTATTGACAATGCACTGACTTGTTGACGTCTCAAAAATGCTGGGGAGATTTTTAAGATCCTGAAAAAAAATTTATCATCTGTCATGTAGGTTTATGACATCATGAGCATAATTTTATATGATAACGGGCTTTTTTTTATTCAACCATGCCAGATGGCTGTTAATAACTGTTGTTGAGCTTGAGGTTGGTGCTTATTAGTGGTGTTGAACTTGGAGATGGAGGTAGTAATTAACCACTCAACTAGAATAACAAAAACTCTTCCCGAGAGTGCTCTCGCCATTACTACTAAGGCTCCAGCTGATCCGAGTCTTTTACTGTCACTGTATGCTTTCAGTGCGCCCTGACCTTGATTGACGATTTGCTATCATATGCATAGTCCACAAAAATAGAAATCGAATTGATAATTGTCAAATCTTGCTAAAGAATTGAATGAATTTATCTTGTATTTAAAAAAGTATTTCAAAAAGAAATGGGGAAAATTTGAAAAGTCCTTAAAAGCACCACATATAATTTTTTACCATATAGGGATGTTTCATACATGTATACGAAATAAACCTGATAGTTTTTGGTGCCAGAACCAAGGTTGGTGCTGGAGTAATGACGTCATCAAGATTTTTTCCTATGATTTTAGTGTATTTTGGATGTATTGATTACTCCACCACCAGTGATGGTGCCGACACCAAAAGCTTATTTAACATACTACAGACCCTCCCAAACAAGGTGCAAAAGAGAGAATTGAAATATCTCGACTCTAACACCATCAAAAAAGCTCCACCAATTATGTGCAACGTTAAAAAAAACCTGTTAAACTTGTTGATCAAGTAAGCTAGAATAAAGCTCAAATCAACAAAGCAAGACTATTAAGCTGAAATCGGGTTTTATTGAGACTAGGAATTTGCCTAGAAGGAAAAATGTGTTTCAGTGGCAGTAGAAATTTCACTTTAGTTCCAATCAGATGCAGCGCGCTTTTGTCCTGGTCGTTTCTGCCCCTAAACTTGGCGCTAGCGAATTTTATGGACAATCAAGGAATACCTGATTTGCGTTGTTGTACTGAGAAGGGGGAGCCATGTGCGAATACTTTCCAGAGCCCATTCTGTCTTTCGATTGCGATGGATAATGAATCTGAAAGAAAATATTGGAAACAGCAAAAATATGATTTCTTCATACCTTCTGGAAGCCAGAATTTCCTCCTTTGTCAGGTCCAGCAAACTCAGATGGCGCTCTAGGGGCTCCCATTGCCCCCATTGTTGGCAGATCAATAGGTTCAGACATTGGTTTTGGCACGCTTTCAGCCAGTTTCGCTCTCTTGGACGGATCGTATTGAGTGACTTTTCCTGGGTTCGGTAGAGGCCCGGGAAGACCTGGAACGGGAGTCGTTTTCTCCACATCGGCGTGATGCTTCGCTCCTGATTGCTGCGGCTTGCCCCATCGAACATTCAAGCGAACTCCCTTTTAAAACATAAAAAAACGCTAGGAAAAATGATTTACCTTGAGATCGAGTCTTCCATAACACTTGTTTGCCGCGTGCTCGGCCGATTCTCGTTTCGTAAATTGGACAAAGGCGCATGAGTTTTTCTGGACGATGTTGATGCAAGCAACCTCGCCGAATTGGTAGAAATACTCTTGAAGATCTGTTTCTGTCAGTGCAGAAGTCACGCCACCGCACCAGAGAGTCGTAATCGTCTATTGAAAATTGAGAAGGGATTTGATCAGAAGAAGAGTGTTACCTTGTCCTCTGGAGGCGCCATGGAAGGCATTTCTTCAGCTCGTCGAAGGAGCTTGTCGGCGACGGGATCCTTCGTACCGTAAAATCTATCGACAATATTTTGAACAGAGAGCGGATCATCTGGATCTGATGGCTTCTCGTGCCGGTACGGACACTCTTCTCCTCTTCTACACTCGCCCTAGAAAGAAATTCGGATGGAGAAGAGATCTAAGATCTGACCTTGACCCAGAAAGAACAAATATGCGGCAAGTTTCGTTTGTAATACGGCCCTTTCCGCCCAGCCGAAATTCTCTCCAAAAACGCATTCGGCGCTGAATGCGCCTCTCTCAAATCGTCTCCTTGTAGCGCCAGTTCTTTTCCAAGATTTTGGTGGAAATGCTCTTTGTTGAAATCACCCGTCTAAATTAATTTTCAGCGCGAAAATTTGCCTCGAAACTCACCGGTATATCATCCTTCAGTCCCAGCGCATGATCTCTCACAGCCACAGGCAGCCCGTACTCGAGATCGAAGACGCATGTCTGGCAGACATTTTTCATCTAAGAAAACGCTCAAGATGACCATAAAAACGAATAGAAATAAGAAATGCACGTACATTCAAATACGAATACCGCCTGTCCATTATAATACCTTTGCGCAAGTCTGGCAAATTTCCGTTTTCTTGTATCTCATTCCCCTACCCGGGCACCACCTGAAAGTGGTAAAGGGTCGTTCACAGATGGAACATTCTTTTCCGTATTTATCCTTCATCATTCGGATGTAGGGATTGTCTCCGAGACATGTCGGGCAGAGAATCGGGAAGTCGGAGTCTTCCCAATTCTGGCGATTGTACTTGTTGTTGCCTAACGAAAGCGTCATTCTGAGAATAGAGGGGTGAGTGAAAGACGTTTTTCTAGGATTAACTGATGTGTATCTATTTTATTGTTGTTTCTTTTTTGTATTGCAATACATGTGGTCAGCTGCTGTGAAGTAACAGTAAAAGAGGAAAAAATAATCGAAAAAACGGTTGCTGCAGAACTTTGGGGGAAACTTGAAAGAACTGAACAAAAAACGCGCTGAATGAAATATCGCTAGTGGAAAATTTAGAGAAATAATACAACGAAGAAAAGGTTTTTTTCATTAATACATGTCGTCTTCTTCGGCCATTTCTTGCGCGAATTCGAGATCTTCTTGTTCTCGTTGGCGGCGTTCCTCGGGGCTCAGCGGGTCGTGGTAGCTTTTGGGCGGGAAACGCATCGCTTTGACGGACTGGGCGTACAAATTGTGGCAGAACTGAAAGAAGAAAGATTCAAAAGAGCCTGAGGATGCACGATTGGTACCTTGATTCGCTTGTCAAACGCCCGTTCGGGATCTCTCGAAGCATAAGTGTCCTTGGTATTCTGCGAAGAGACGTATCCAGCGTGGTGATCGAGGTTGGCATCGATGACGCCGTCACGAACTGCCTTGGCGACGATGAATTCGGCATCCTCAGGTCCGTCGAGGGCGAGGTGATCGGCAATGTCTGTTAACGAGATTCTAGAGTAGGCCAAGCTCATGCGACGGACGCCGGTTTTGATGACGTTGTGGCGGAGGCGGAGGATCAAAGTTAGAGTTCGATCCGATTTAAAGTTTTCGCCAAACTCCTCCAAAACTAGAAAATGAATGGAAAAATGAATTGACGTTTCTTTGGTACCTTTATTGAACTGGACCAAGTTGCCGATTCTGACCGCCTGAGTCAGAGCGAAATAGGGCTTCAACGCGCCTTCCATGGCTTTTTCAGTGAACCGCGAGCGCTCGGGAATGTCTCCGAGGAGGAGATCGACGACTGTAAGAAGCTTTGTAGCTGCTTGTCGGAAGCCAACGCCCGACACTTGTGGCGACTTTCGAAGAGCTAAAAAGGGGGATAAGGAGCAGGATTAGAGAAGAAAATACCGTTTGTGAGCATTTTCTGAGCGTTGGAGTATTCGAGTTGAATAGCTTTGATTCGGCCGAGGTAGTAGAAATATCGAGCGTATTCGTTGTTGTTTGCTAAAAAAAGAATGAAAAGAGGGATGAAGATAAATTGGTCTACCTTGCTCTGGGAAGGTACTTTTGGAAATGAGCTTCTCAGCCTGCTCGTACAGATCGTAATGGAGGTAGTTTCGCAGGAGCAAGTTCAAGAGGACGGATTCGGACTCGTACTCGGCGTGAAGAGTCACTGTTCGCAGACGCTTCATGTAAACTGTTCGTGCTTGCTCCAGGATTTTCAGCAACTCGTAAACTCGACTGCAAAAATCATCAGTTATCTTTCGAGCTTTTGGATGTGTACCTGTGGTAAAAGTAAATTTTCGCATTGAGAGGATCCATCGACCTCCGCTGGCCCAAATTATTTCCAGCGCGGATGAGCAAATTATCCAAAATCTCCCGCGCTTGCTCGAGTCGCTCCTTGTCCAGCAAGTAAATGGCGCTGATCAGAGTCAAGTAGAACTCGACTTCGATGCAGGGAGCTTTTGTATCGTTCTTCTTCGCCGAAAGGCCTAAAAGACCGAGGAGAGCGTCGCGGCGATCAAAGTGGAACTGAGAAATGACAGAAAGAAGGACTTCTTCGTCCAGACAGCGGCGGGTCTTTGGGAGTTGTCGGATCACCTGAAAATTGATGGATGAGATAAGTAGGTCGATAAGGAATTTGGGGTAGAAAAGGGGGACGATAATGGCGAGGAAAGGTTCATAAAAGGGTGCTTTCAAAGATTTCTCAAACAGAAATTCTTAAATGAATACTTTTTAACCGGGACTTGCGGCTTCGTAATCTTCGTTTAGAAATTATCAACGACATGGTAAATATCTTCAAATAAGTGAAAACTTTGCTGCATCACTTTTCTTTATAAATAAAGTCGTCAAAGCTCGCAAATCATAGACTCTTTTCAATATTTGAGAAACTTTAAAATGAAAGATTTCACTTTGAAAGTAATTTATTCTGTTAAAGTTCTTCAAGAACGTCGATCGAAATTAATGCGAATAAATTTATCAAGGAAAATATAAAAACTTACTTTTGAAACAATCCTGGGCTCTCGCTGCTGTCCGGCCTTTTCGAGCTCCTTGAGCTGCAAATTTACATCTTTGATGTGGAGCGCTCTCTTTTCCTCGAGTTTCTGCTCTTCGGTCTGCTCTACTTCCATGCTCTCGGTCTCTTCAACTGACGAAGCTTCTTCTTGCTTCTTTTTCGACTCTTTGGGCTTTTCCTCGCTCAGTTTCGTTCGAGAAGACCTTGTTGTGACCATCGCGAATCTGAAAGTGGAAAATTGAAGAGTTGCTTTTTTGATGACGAGACAAAATGCAGTAAATAGCAGAAATAGAAAGAAAGAATGAAGAAAAAATTGGGAAGCCGCACGCGGCTTTGAAAATGGAAATGGAAGGTACTCCCGGGCGGCTTTTTCTTTTTGGTGCTGAAAGCCGCACGCGGCTTCTCGATTTTCGTAAAAACCATCTGGAAAAAAGCAGCGAGCAAAAATTTCTCATGTGCAAAATTTTCAAGGAGATTCAATTTGTAAAAAAAGTAGATTTACGTTTCAATTTTCCTTTTTAGTTTTGTGAATGATTTTAATTATTTTTTTCTTCGATAAATAGTAAAATTTTCTTCCATTTCTTCTCTTCGAAAAAACGCTATATTCCTCAAAAATCGACCGCTAAACCGAAGAAAATTCTTTCGCGCGCGCTGATTGGCCCGCTTCCATTCTTTTCCGCCAATGCTCTTCTAGAAGAATTCAATTCTCGAGCTTTTCTCGTTGAAAACATCGATCTCCAAGCGAACTTTTTCCTTGTAGAAGTTCTGATGAGTCATAGTACCAAATTTTCGAACTGATGACGTAATGATTTTAAAAAGAAGAAATTGGTGAGGTTATCCTTTTCTTGCGCAACAGGGTCGAACCAAATTCAACGCAAGAAATTACTTTTTTCCATTCTTCAAAAAAATCAACGAAAAATTAAAGTCAGAAATGCTCAGACAAGTACAGAGATTAGTGAAGCCAGTCAGATGTCTTGTCGCCGTCCAGCCGCATGAGATTTTGAAGCTTGGAAAAACTGCGACGCTCAAAGGTAAAATTCAAAGAAAAAAGACGAAAGGACGTTTGTGGCTTTGGAAGTTGAAATTGAAGCCGCGTGCGGCTTTTTATTTTGAACTTGAGAATAAAATAGAGAAACCGCTCGCGGCTTCGAGTCATACCGAAAAAGCCGCAAAAATGAAATTATAGCCGCGCTTCCTGCGGCTTTTTCTATCATAGGGCCAGAAGCCGCAAGCGGCTCTTGTCCTCAAAAGGAAAGCCGCGGAGAATGCGGCTTCGATTTTTCGGTATTTCTGGGGCTTCTTCGCGCGGCTAATTTTCTCGAAATCGTATTTTTTAATTTGTGTTTGCGTCTAAAATTTTTTTAGAAATCACCTTTGCCTACATGGCTCTTGCAAAAGTCCATCATCCAGATTACGGCGGAGATCCGGAAGATTTCAGAATTGTCAATCAAGCCTACAGGGCGATGAAGAAGAAATTCGCTCAAGGAAAAGTTCAATTGACAGTTTTCTTCTTTTCAAAAAAAAGATCAGTTTTGAGCTCGAAAAAAGGGTTGGAAATTGCAGATGCAAAAACTTCGCCGTATTCCGTCGACGCAGATTTCTTCATTTTGGGAAGAGAAGAACAAGAGTGGGAAGCAAAGACGGAGAAGATTTTGAATCTCTTCAGGGAGCATTTAGTCCTCTCTCGTGGATCCGGGCAAGCTGGAAGTTCAAGGGTCAAAGATTGATAATTTTGCTTTAGGGGTGAACCTTATCGTAAGAGATTTTAACACGGGGTATTTTTTCACCGAGATTGTGAATAAAACTTTCGAAATCGGGCCCAAAATTGTCAACGTTTCGATTGAGTTTAGCCAATTAAAGCCTTACCCGTCCGTTTCGGATGAAAAAATAGGCAATTTTGGGCGCCATTTCTTGAGATTTAACGACAATCTTGGAAAAAATCGGGAGACGAGAAAATCTGACGATAAGATTGACCCCTTCCCTTCAATTTAGTATGACTGGAAAAGGTCCAGGGTCAAAAACAAACTCTCGATAGGGATCACCCCCTAAAGTGTTCAGTTGCTACAGAACGGGTTAAAATTTCCTTTCGATAAGTTTCATCCCTTTTCGCAAAATTTAGCTGGTGCGTTGCAAGAATAGGGTCGTAAAAACCAACAACCCTAACTTCTTTGAGACCATTTTTGACCCTACCTAAGGAGATGAATTCGCAGATTTCGAACTGAAGCTTCTTCAAGCGCCGCATTTGACGGATGGATTCTTGAGCTTCTACTGCTTCTATCTTCACAGCATTACCGTCAATAAGAAACTGCAGCTGACGACGCTGAAGTTGATAGATTTCGCGATCGGGAAAGTTTTTTATGTTCATTTGGAAGACAAACTCTGCAAAAACTACAGGTAAAAGAATCCTTTCATCAGAAAATCAAATTTCGTTAGATATTACATCGTTGAGGAAGACGACTTTATAGAAGTAACGCTAGATGGACTCAGTAAGCCGATTTACGTCGGACACGATATTCCAATCGACTATCAAAATATTGAGCAAAGCAGACATCCTCTTGTGGCTGATATCATAGACGAAATTTACTATTTTCTCGATGACGAATAAAGTGCTTTCTGATATTCATTACAGGGTGGGTATTTTGGACGAAATTTTGGGGAGCGCGTTTTCATACCCGCCCGCTGCCTCGTAGCCGGCTATAACATATCTTTGAATGATTATTTTTGTTTATTTATTAAAAATCCTCTTCAGTTTTCATGATATTTTCATTATCAAATTACTTAAATTAACAGTAAGGATTGGCAATTTTTCCAATGAACTTCGTCACCCGCTTAGTTTGTCGGCTGGTTTTCTTGCTCATGCAGGCGTAGTTGTCGACCCAAGCTTTCAAGCCAGCTCGAGCAGTGCTAACTTGAATGCAGTGATCTTCGGACCGGACAGCTTGCTTTTCCCAGACGGCAAAGTCGTTTTTACCGATTAGATGAGCATCGTAGGGGATAGTGCAGTTGGCATCGTAACTGCGAAGGGCGTTTCGAAGAAGTTTGTCAGTTCGGATTTGGAATTTGCCAGCGCGTTCGTGATCGGCGAGGACCTGGCCAGTCATCTCAATCCAGTCTTGGATGGTGGACATGGCCTCATCGTAGGACATCGGCAGACAGATGCACTCGAAAGAGCCGGCCTTGTTTTCGCATCGTTCTTTTGTGTCGTGACAAGTGTCAGTTCCTCTCGCACACTCATCGATGTCAACACAAACTCCATCGGCATTACGTTCGTATCCGCTAGAGCAAGGACAGCCGTAAGAGCCAATCAAGTTGATACAGGTTTCGATGACATCGGAGCAAGTGTCCGTTTCAGTTGCGCATTCGTTGATGTCGACGCAATCTCCTGCGTCGTCTCGATCGTATCCAGTCGAGCAGGGGCAAAAGAAAGATCCAATGCTGTTGACGCAGGTCTCAACGGTAACTGCGCAGTCGTGAATTCCATCGCTGCACTCGTCGATATCGACACAAACTCCCGCGCCGTTTCCAGCGTAGCCAGAAGCGCAAGAGCATGAGAAAGAGCCTTGGCTGTTATTGCAGACTTCTGTTACATCATCGCAACTGTCAGTGCCAGCAGCGCACTCATCAACGTCCACACAAACTCCGGCGGCGTTCGTAGCGTATCCAGGAGCGCAAAAACAACTGTACCCGCCAGCATAGTTGTTGCAAACTTCAGTGACGTCGTTGCAGCCGTCGATTCTCTCAGCACACTCATTTATGTCGACACAGGGCTTTCCGATGTCGCCATAGTAGCCTGAGGCACAATGGCATAAGAAAGAGCCGGGTTGATTGGTGCAAACTTCAGTTACATCGTCGCATGTATGTATTCCCGCTGCACATTCGTCGATGTCAGTGCAGTCGTTTCCGCCATATCCGCTCTTGCAGCTGCAGGAGAAAGAACCGGCAGTATTGGAGCAGTTCTCAGTAGCGGAGCAGTTGTGACTTCCGGTTGCGCACTCGTCTATGTCGACACAAACTCCGGCGTCGTTTTTCGCGTAGCCAGGAGCACAGGAGCACGAGAACGAGCCTTGGGTATTATTGCAAATTTCAGTTGCGTCATCACAAGTGTCAGTTCCAGCAGTGCATTCGTCGATGTCAGTGCAACCACTTGCACTACTTCTGTAACCGCTCTTGCAGCTGCAGAAAAAGGAGCCAGCAGTGTTGGAGCAGTTTTCAGTTGCAGAACAAGTGTGGCTTCCGCTTGAACACTCATCGATATCGACACAGTATGGCTCCAGCCCGCTGAACCCGGCTGGGCAGACTACACGAGGCTCGCACCTGAACGATCCTGGCGTGTTTTTGCAGATTTCACTGGTGTCGTCGCAATTGTGCCACCCTATTTTGCACTCATTGATGTCAGCACAGCCAAGGGTAGTCCATTTGGAGTAGCCTATTTCGCAATCGACCATCGCCGGGTCAACTCCGCAAAGCTTCAGATGAGTGGTACATTGTGCCCTGTCTCCGAAAGCGGAGCAACCTCTGTTGAGATAGCAGCAATATGCAACGTCGTTTGGATCGGCGTGGTCGCACGAGCCGCCGGAACTCCTTCCGCTCTCTTTAAACTGGTCATAGAGTTTTTAGCTTTTTATTTCCTTTTCCCCGTTGGGCCAAAGTAATTGTAAAAAGAATAAAAACTTTCATTTGCTGAAAAATTTTTTTGAGTTGCTGCTTTCGCCGAGCTCTTTTGTAGCAACAATCGTTCATTCTAGCGCCAGGGAGCGAGATGGCGCGAGCGGTTTAATTTGTCAAAAAGTATTGTTTCAGGATTTGATGAATTTGAAATCCCTGGTCAATTTTTCCAAAAAATCAAATTTCCGAGTTTCATAATTTTGACCCCGAAAATAGATTCTACAGGTCAAAAAACGATTTTGAGGCTTTATTTTTAGAGGATCTATCTTGACTCTAATACCCTCAAAATTGTCTTTCAAATTGGACTTCTAGCCGAAAAATGACAAAAAAATGTACAAATTTTGACAAAAATACACGGATTTATTTACCCGCTGGCCTCAAGTTCTCACTAAATATTTAACCCCCCTGACACATTGAGAACCAAAAATTAGGCTTTTGATAAAATTCGATTCTTTTGCTGGGAAAGTTGACTAGGGGGTCCTTAATCAAGACTCTTAGGTCGATTTTGCGTTCGCTTTCCTATTAGAGAGTACATCGACGTATTTACGGTAAATCCTCTCGCCGAGCTATCGCTTGATTTTAGACAACGTTTTGCCAAAACGAACGTTGTTTTTGGTCCTTGTAAGCGCTCTTTCTCTAGCGTTATTCTTGTTTTGGCATTTTTCATGATCCATGTAAGTTTAATTGATAATACAATGTTCGAATATATGTAATGTTGAAAGTGAAATTATTCGTGAAATTACAATTAGAAGTGGAGTTTTGAACGCAAAAATTATTTGGAGCTGGCAGATTTGAACTCGGTTCCGAGATTGAAAAGTTCCTTGTTGGCGACTTTTCCCGTCTTTCCAGTTTCAACGCACTAGTATTTCAATCGTTATTTTTTTCAATAAAAATTCTTACTTTCAGCATCCCAGCGGCCAGTAGTTCAGTAGAAATGGATCCACTGGAGCCGCCAAGCATAGAATTGAATGGTTTCATGATTGTTCTGAAAATCGCTTCGCCCGTTCGGGATTCTTCTCTGTCGCACATCAAGAGGCCCGGCTGGTAAATCGTCAATTTGGGGAAATTGAGATCGGTGCAGAAGTTTTCGACTTGTCCTTTTACTTGGGGGTAGAGAAAGAAGGAGTTGGCGTTGGAGCCCTGACTGGTGAGAAGGTGGAAGTGCGAAGCATTGGCATCTTTTGACAACTAAATATAATCATGATTCATGATTGTCAATCATCCATTGATGCTTGGCTCGGCAACCTGTGTAGAAAACCTGAGTCAGGGTCTGAAACATCACGCAGCTTTTCGTTCGAGATCTTTCAGACCCTGACTCAGGTTTTCCACACAGATTGTGAACCCAGAAAATATGGTCACAAACCTGAGCAATGTTCTGGCAATAATCCTTGTCGACTTTTATGAATCCTTCTTTTCCAGCTTTTCCCCGAGTAGTTCCAAGCAAGCAGAAAACATGTTCGTGTCCTTCGAAAATCTTTGAATCCAGCTTTTCGAAATCGACAATTTCTTGCTTGAAGAACTCGTCAAGGCCGTCTTTTCAAATGTTGAAAATTGATGAATGTTGAAATTTATTTTTTTTCTTTTAACATTTCCCTTTGTTTCTTCTTCCTGCAAGCGTAGCCCCGGTAAATAAATTCGAAGCTTTTATTTGCTTATTAATTAAAAAATCATTCATTTGATCAAATAAAGCATTTTTACCTTGACAAGTTCTTTGCCAGTTTCGCCAGTCCAGCCGAAGATTAGGGCCCGCATAATTGCAAGTTGTGAATTTCTGCGATTTTCTCTATGATTTCAAAAGGCGTGGGAGATTTGGTTGATTTTATTGGTTCAAAATGGAAAGTTCGAGAACAGGTATTTTCGGAGATCAATATTTAACTACTTGCAAAAATAAAAATAGAAAAAAATAATATTCAAGAAGAAATTGTCGTATAAATTTTATTTCAAGAAGAACAGCTTTCATAATTTTACATTTTGATTAATTCCGGCAATTATTTCATCCGCCGAGTTTCTCGAAGCCTCCCACAGTGCAGATTCCCTCATTGCTTTCAAGAACTCGTGGTGCTTTTTGTCCAAATCCGAGGAGGCCAGTTTCGAAACTGCGAGAATGTGGAAGCCGAAACGAAGGCTTTCGTAACGGAATCGGTTGGTGTGGACGAGGGAGAGAATGTAGTGGAGATCTTTGCTTTCGTCGAATTTCAGGTCGTCGTCGATTTGGGGAAGGTGGTCGGCGAGCTGCACCCCGGGGTTTTTCTTCGTTGTTTTCGGGTTCTGGAGATTTAGTAAATTTCCAGCTAATAAGGAAAGATTACCGTGTAAAACGCAAAAAGACCGAAAGCAAGAATAACCCAGTTCAGGTAAAACATCGACCAGAGGAGAAGAGTCCTAGTCGTTACCGGCGAAAAGACGAAATACCCGATTTTCTGGCCGCTAGAATCAGCCAGTTCTTGAGGAAGGTAGCAGCCGAACGTGACTGGATTTCTGGCGGGAACGAGGTAGATGTAGTAGCACAAACAGTTCTCGATTAAAACGCAGGAGAGGCTTATTAATCTAAAAAATATGGTTGTGAGTTTATTGGGAATAAAAGTGGTACCTCAAGAATTTCAGCTTTAGCCGGAAATCAGCTTGTTTGGAGTACTTGTTGAGTATTTGATTGAATTCGGTGAATTTTTCGACTTTGAAAGATCTTTGAGAGGTTTTTAAATTTATTAATTATCGATGAATATGATTTTTTACGATCGAAAAATTATGAAACCTCTCCTGACATAATCTTTGTATAAATTTGGCTGAACAAAAGCTGAGTTTTCCGTCGCAGTTTGCGGATTATTCGAATTGTCAAGTCTTCCATTGCTTTTGGCTCGTTTGATGAGGAATGCGACGCTGTCTTGAATGGACTCTTCTATTCCGTCGATGATAAAATCCAGCGCTAAAAACTTCGGTAATTGGTAGGAAACAATGAAAATTATTACCGTGAGCGAGCTCGCTAAGATCAATGACTCTCCAAGCGAGATTTGCGACCAAAGGAATTAAGCAAAAAAGAACCATTACGTAGGGAAACATCGAATAGTGCCAAATCGACGTCTCCGTTATTTGACCGTTTTCGACCTCGACTGCTTTCATTTGGGACCAGCAATATTCAGTGATTGCTGGTTGATCGTACCAACGATCGAAGGGTCGGGAGCCGTTGTTGAGAGGCGTCATTAGGACCAAAGAACTGGAAGAGTACATTTTGTCTCCAAGGAGAACTGCTGCGGTGAGAATTAATGAAGGAACTGCGGCGATGAAATGGATGAAAATCCTGAAAAAAAAACAAGGTTAGGGTTAGAGTTTGGTCTATGCTGCCCAGACTGGGCTCAGCAACCTGTGTAGCAAACCTGAGTTAGGATTTTTATTAGAGCTACTTCAGAACCCTGACTCAGGGTTTTCTATACAGCCCCTATTAGGCCTGCATAATACAGCTTGCTGACTCCTGAAATTTGCATTTTACCTGTCAGCATTGAGCATCAAAAAAGGCAAGCTCCGGTTTCTCTTTGTCTCTCCTGATAATTTTGCAAGAACATTGCTAGGATCGACAAGCCCAAAAACCCCCATTTTAACAATTCTTCGGTTTTCTCTCTCCTTTTTGAACGGGGTAACTCTCGGTCTGGCAAAGGTTCACAAAAGTCGTAAAACAGCGGATGCAAAGCGACTCTTCAAAGCGTAAAAATGATTACGAACGTTGTTCACAGGTAAACCGCGTCTACTAGACACATTTTACTGTCTCTGCGCGAATTTTTATTTTTCGAAAACTTCTTCTCTCTATTTGAAAACAAAGCCTCCAGTCGGGTCATTTATTCATTAAATATTTTGAAGGGAAATTTTCGCGGGCATTCGAGTATGAATGGGTGACGTCAACTACAGTGGATAATCCTATCTTGGGTAGGTCACTTTAGTGCGTCGCTACCCAGTTTAGGATTAGGCCGGCGGCGCCATTTTTCTCTAGAGAGATAGGGATTTCATTTTCAAAGTAGGGCCTCGCTACCCAGTTTAGGACTAGGCCGGCGCTACCCAAGATAGGATTATCTACTGTATGAAAAACTCTTCTCAAAAAACGTGGCAAAAGGCTGCTTGAATTTTTTTACAATTATTTGTCCATATTTGTCATCATTTTTTTCAATATAATATAATATAATAAATTTTTATATTATATCTTTTAATTTCTAAAAAATGGTCAAGAAAAGTTGCTTCTTGATTGCGAACTTTCAAAACTTACCTTCCGTGTTATGACATTATCAGTTACCAGTCGAGCATCTTGTTATCAACAAAAAGAAACATTTCAAGGCGTTTCTTTCTGCCTCCGAGCGAAAATATGCTGCATCGTAGCAGGGCAAAAATGGAACAGAAGTGGGCACTATTTGGCTTTTTATCCGGCTTTAAATTCACGAGGCCAACTTAGCGGTCGTCAATCCTATTTGAAAGGACCTCTCCGTGTTTTAACAATGTTTCCTGTCTGATGATAGTTTAGTGGGACTGGAGACCAAGCGAAGGTCCAGGATAATCCTCTCTGAAAACAAACTTTTGGGAAAAGTTCGAAACGCCCGTAAAATTCGTCATTAGTTTTTATGACAAAGAAAGCAGAAGAACATGTACCTTGAACTGGGTTAGCGACCTGTGTAGAAAGCCTGAGTCAGGATTTCAAAGAGCTTGAACGATACGCGAAAACTAGAAAGTTAGATAGATAGTTATCAAGTTTTAATTGTAGATGACATCGATAAATTATCGACGATAATGATAAATTAAATAATCTTGACTCAGGTTTTTTACACAGGTTCCAGAGCCCAGACCATACATTTTACATGAAGGATCCAAACTCTTGAATTTTTATTTGCCTACCTTATATAAACATATTTTTCTTCTTGAATAAAAATTTTATTACTAAATTATTTTGAATTTTGAAAAATTATATGATATAAAATAACAAGTTGTTTTTAAAACACCCACTTTCAAAGATTATTTCTGAAAGAAAAAAACAGTATTGAACGACTCCTGAGACGAAATTAATCGTCAACTTATGCACTAATCCATTTACTTTTGGTCAAAGTGTGTGAATGGAGTTCTCTTGCCTCGGCCATGTAAAGAGGTACTCGGCTCCACCGCGCCTTCGCCAGGAAAAATGGTGGCGCTGACCACTGATCGCTTCAAGAAGCTAGGTTAGGAAACCAACCGATCAGCGCTTTAGGCAGTTCTTGGCATGCTTTATAAACGACTGTTGAGCCGGTCACTCTTTCACTTCCTTCTTCAGCGAGTGGAAAGAAAGCAGTTTTCTTTCCAGCTCGCGAAGAAAAAAAGATGAGAGAGCCGCTGCTGAAGATTCTAGCGCTGAATGGCGTTAGCTACGTCAGCGCCGATGTTCAATTTATCGAGTTCTGGGAGGAAGCAGACGAATTCGCGGCCGAGATTTTCACCAAGATCAACTTGGTCAGCGGCAAGAAATTCGCCTCGTCTTTTCAAAATCGTTACGAGAGAGCCAAACGAGCAGCCGAGTTCTACCAGGATAGCGGCCCATGCGACTCGTCCTTCACCGACCCAACCTACCAGCTGGTCGAAATGAAGAGATTCGATCCACGAGAAGCGATGGCCACGAATCTGGTGAACTTGGCAGATATGCTTGATGGCTGGATGGATTCATACGCTTGCCTCGAAGCTCATGATAGAGTTTCGGGAAAGAAAATTCGAGTTCCTAGACGGTCTGTCAAGGATATAAGAAAGCTTTCCGAGCGTAAGGAATATCAGGTACTGTAACTACTACTTTAACTTGAATTGAAAACAAAAATTAAATTAAGATATTCTATAAAAAATATTTAATTAACTTGATTTCTAATGAATATTCTTAGGAGACCGAGTACGCGTACGAAATATCCGCAGAAGAAATGGATTTTGATGAAGCTCTTGCTTACTGCTATCTCCGTGGAAGTTGGCTTGCCGAGCCTGCTGGCGATAAAAACCGCGTCGGCGCTCTCCGAGAAGCCTTGAGCGAGACAGGACGCTACTGGTACGATGGCGACAACTCTTGCACTTCCATCAACGGTGAAGGAAGAATCCAGGCGGAGAATTGCCAGGAACAACTCAAGGCTGTCTGCGAGTCCGGGCATTTCACGGATAAGTGCTACGCTGGGTCTTACAAAACTTGCGTCAGCAGTGGTGATCCTCACTATACAACATTTGACGGGGAATTTCATCACTTCCAGGGAACTTGCGAGTACACGATGGTGGAAGTCGACACTGTCCAGTACCCAAACATGCCTTGGTTCAAAGTCCGCGCGGACCTCGCTGCAATGACGCTCAATTCACCCTACACGTGGAACCGAGGCTTCGTTTTTGAGTTTCAAGGAAAGGATCAAGCTGAAGACGAGGCTCCTAGATACACTGTGAATGCTGACGGCTGGAAATGGCTCATGCGCGGAATGGTTTTAGAAGATCGTGAATTAGGCGAGTTCTACACCGATGATTTCTACGGCAACCCGGATTTTCAACTCTCTACGAATGGCAATACAGTGACAATTACGACTTGGTTTGGAGTTACTGTCCTCTACCAAGCAGGATCGAGGCTCGATGTGACTATTCCAGACTGCTACCAGGACAATGTCGATGGACTTTGCGGAAACTGGGATGGAATTCAATACGATGAATTCGACCAGATTTCAAGCACTCAATTTGGAAACTGGAAAGCCTACCAAGAAGGGCTTACAGACTGGGCTGAACAATTTGAAGAACCAGATGACCGTTGTCGACAAATTCATGATTTTGAGTGCGAAGTCGACCTCACTACCGCCATTGATGAATGCCTTCCACTAGATCCGAACAACGCCGCTTCTGTTTTCGCATCATGTGACCTGGACAAGTCATCATACCACACGTCATGCATCCTGGACACCTGTGAAGATGACTCTAATCGATGCGAATCCTTCAAAAACTACGCTCAAGCTTGCATGAATCCACCAATTTCGCTTACTCACTGGCTAGCTGGAACTGCTCCTACAATTCCGGACCTATGTAACTGGGCTAGCGATCTCGGTTGCGAAGAAACATGCGGTGAAAACGCAGTCTGGAATGGATGCGCGTCCGCTTGCAGTGGAAGTAGAACTTGCCAAAACCAACACCTTCCAGTATTCCGGCGGTGCGGTTTTTTCTCCAATCTTGGATTTCAGCTTACACAGAGCATGTGCGTATGCGAGCCCGGATTCATCCTTGAGTTCGGAGTCTGCATTCCTGAATCTGATTGTGGCTGCACTATCGAGTCTGGTCCGAAACAAGGGCACTATCTCAAGCTCGGAGAAAACACGCGAACTGAAGAAGATTTGATTGAGTGTACTTCTACAGGACTAGTCATCACGCCTCTCCCGTGCGACGAGAAAACAAGAGGAGTCATAACAGTTCACAGTGATCCATACATCGCGCCAATCGACGGAGTCTCGGACGGCTTTGAATGGGGCTTCCACGGCAATTGTCGCTACAATCTCGCCACTGTTGAAGATTCCGCTACTCTGCCTGGTTTCAACATTGATATCAAAAATCGAAGACGAGAAGATTGGAGTTCCGGAAGCGGCTCGGTAATCGACGAAATCTGGATTGAATTTCACTCGAACACATACACTCTCGGTGATTCCAAACGCTACTCCATCTATCTAAATAATATTGATAATTCGAATAGCAAAAGCAACTTCAATGCACGTGTTCTTCTGACTGATAATTTCAGTCGTCTTCAATACGACTCATCAGTTCTTATTTACGAGAACAACTTCTTAGATGTAAATATGACTGTAAGCTCGAAGATGATACAGATCACTTTCTGGAACAATGTTTACATGCAATTCGACGATGACTACTGGAATTTCGAAGCGCACATAACACCGTGCTACAAAGGCCTTATCAGTGGTCTCAGCGGAAACTGGAATGATGATCAACGTGATGAAGAGCGTATGGAAGATGACTACAAAGCAGACTCAGAAGCCTTCGGCGAACTTTACGTCACTGAAAAGGATGGCATTTGCACCCATGGAGAATGGTTTGAACCCTGCAATAATCTAACAAGTGTTGAATTTGCCGAAGCAAGAGAGCGCTGCCATGTGCTCAAGGATGGGAAATCACCTTCAGAGATCTTCAGTTATTGCACTGGAATCGACAAGCAGCCATATTTCGACATGTGTCTCTTTAACACTTGCGTTCAAGACGATTTCGCTTGTGGACACATAAACGACTTTGCGCAAAAATGTCTTGCAACCAAGCACCCTGATGTCTGGTACTACGACGAGATTTGTAGCTGGCCATCGAGAACAGGCTGTGAACAGAACTGTCCAGGAGGCCAGGTGTTCAAGGGATGCTCGACTGAATGCATCGAAGCGAGGACTTGCAACGATGTAGTTGATGGAATCACGAATAAACAGCGATGTGGCAACGAACTAGTACGAGGTCCGATGTGCGGATGCCCACATGGTCAAGTCTGGCACGGAGATCAGTGCATCGACGAAAGTGAATGTCCAACTGACTGTGCTTCGGAGACGACGAGCCATTGCAGAGCCTGGGGCGATCCTCACTACACCACGTTGGACGGAGAAACTCACCACTTCCAAGGAGCATGCAAATACACCTTCATCGAATCTGAAGGCGTCGATGAATACCGTAACATGCCTGCTTTCAAAATCATTGTCGATCAACGAAGATGCGGTGCGAACAATCTTGCTGTTTCTTGCGTCCAGGGTTTCACTTTTGAATTTTTCGCAAAGGACCAATTGCCAAACGAGATTCCAAGATTTATGCTTGCAGTTGATAACGAACTGATTGTTCTCGAAGATCGAACTGGTGTTTCGTATACTTCAAATAAAGATAATCTTCCAGATTTCTTTTTCGAAGTCAATGGAAATTCCGTGAAGCTTACAACTTGGTTCGACGTTGATATTGAATACTCCTACACGGATCGCGGCGACCACTGGGGCTATCACGCAGACTTGAAAGCAGCGATTCCAGATTGCTATCAAAATCAAGTATCCGGTCTTTGCGGAAACTACAACTCCCAGCTATATGATGAATTTAGCCGACTTCAAAGCTTAGGCGCGAATTGGCAAGGGCAATGGAGAGATCATCAGCTTGAGCTGAACGCTTGGGCGAATGATTTCTCGGAGCCAGATCCTCGATGCCGAGAAGTACATGACATTGAGTGCGATGATATCGATGAAGTGTCGGATCTATGCGTTTCTCTTGACGAGACTTTACCCGGTGGACCATTCAACGGTTGCCCTAATGATAAGTCTGGATTCTACATCGCTTGCCTTGTTGATGCATGTGAAAACAGAGACTCTGTCTGTCAATCATTAAAGGCATATGCAACTGAATGCATGAATGCTGTTACCGCTGGAAGCACAACCAGAACTGAGGTTTGCGAATGGGCAAGAGAACTTGGCTGCGAGGAGACTTGTGGCGAGAATATGGAGTTCCAAGGATGTGCAAGTGTCTGTTCTGCATCAAGAACATGTATGAATAGACATGTTACTGATGATGAAAGATGCGGGGCAGATGTCGGTAGGATTGAAAGCATGTGTGTTTGTCAACCTGGCTTCATTCTCGACAATGGAGAATGCATTCCTGAGGAAAATTGTGGATGCGTTTGGGATCACAACGGCGTTTACTACCAGCAAGACGCAGAATTTGCTAACGATGATGAGCGATGCACATGCACGTCCACTGGTGTTCAATGCACTCCGATCCCATGCAATGAAAAAACGAGAGGAGAGTGCATAGTTCACAGTGATCCATATATCAAAACACTTGATGGACCTCAATATATGTTTCACGGAAACTGTCGTTACAATCTTATGTCTGTCGCTGATACAAGAACTCTTCCAGGATTCAACATTGAGTTCAAAAGTCGACGCGGTGTTTTCGAAAACAACCCGGAAGGCTCAATAATTGACGAGTTTTGGATCGAATTTCATGAAAAAAATTATTCTTTCGGGGATGAAAAACGTTATTTATTGTACATAAATGACATAAATAATTCTGACGAAGAGGAGTATGTGTCCTTAGAATTCATTCTTACGGACAGAAAAACCGATCAAACCATCAGAGGCTCCTCGAAGACGGAGCTTAAGACAGAAGATTATGAAATCGAGCTTTATTCGAGACAGTGGGAACTTGATCTTTATCTTCCCATGTATGATATAGATATTAAATACACTTTTGACTGGTGGACATTCACAGTGAACCTTCCACAATGCTACAAAGAACAAGTCTCCGGAATGTGCGGAGATTGGAATGAAAACGTTGCAGAAGAAAACAGTATGAAACTAGCATATGAGAACGATTCGGACGCATTTGGAGAGCTTTTTGTTACTCAAAAAGATGGTATTTGCAGTCATGGTACTCATTTTGAACCATGCGAAGATCTGTCTGATGCTGACTATAAAATTGTTACCGACCAGTGCTTCGAGCTTCTTGATGAGAACGAGGATCAATTTGGAAAGGCCTTCGGATCTTGTCATATTGATAAACAGCCATATTATGATACTTGTCTATTTAATAGCTGTATAAGACCAGACATTGGCTGCGGTACCCTCAGAAATTATGCTCAAGAATGCTTAAAAACAAAAAATATTCATACAACTGGCTATTGGGAAGTTTGCAAATGGCCAAAGACAACAGGATGCGAAAAAGAATGTCCAGAAACTCAAATCTATAAGGGCTGCACAAGTGCGTGCCATGAAGCGAGAACATGTGACGATATCGCCGATGGTATCGACATTATGGAAAGATGCAAGGATGAACCAAGAATTCAACCAATGTGTGGTTGTGGTTGGGGAAAAATATGGCATAATGAAAAGTGTATTGACGAAGATGAATGCCCTCGAGATGCTGTATCTACGAGCACAGCTAGATGTCGAGCATGGGGAGATCCCCATTATACAACATTCGATGGAGGACAGCATCATTTCCAGGGAGCCTGCAAATACACCTTTGTCGAGTCAGGCGGAAATTCAAACTTTAGAAATATGCCAGCTTTCAAAATTGATGTTGACCAAAGACAATGCGGCGATGTTGCTAACGCAGTCACTTGCATCAACGGCTGGACATTCGAATTCCCAGGGAGAAAGCAACCTGCGGATGAAGTTCCAAGATACATTGTCACGCTTATGGGATCAAGGATTGTCCTGGACGATCGTCAAGCAGGAAGCTATGATTTGACTTTTGAAAACGATGACGTTCTTATGGAAATAAACGGAAATCATTTCAGAGTCAAAACTTGGTTCGGCGCCGATCTCAACTATTTCCACTTCGCCGACCTCCGAGTCGATCTTCCAGACTACTACATGAATCACGTTTTCGGCCTTTGCGGAAACTGGAACGGTATTGCATATGACGAGTTTAGCCGAGCTCAAGGTCTTGGAAACTGGAGAGCTCATCAAACTGAGCTCGTTGAATGGGCGAACGACTTTGCCGAGCCTGATCCTCGATGCCGAGAAGTTCACGATTTTGAGTGCGATGACATCGATGAAGTCACTGACATGTGTGTTGCGCTCGATAAGAATATTCTTGGCGGGCCTTTCAACCAGTGCACTGTTGACAAAGATGACTTCCATCTCGCCTGTCTGGTTGACACCTGCGAAGATAGAACGGCTCTCTGCTCTACTCTAAAAGCATACGCGACAGAGTGCTTGAACAATATTGCGACAAATCTACGACCACAAGTCTGCTCTTGGGCGAATGAGCTTGGCTGTGAGGAAGAGTGTGGCGAAAACATGGTATTTGATGGATGTGCTAATGTCTGCTCGGCGAGGAGAACATGTGCGAATCGACATTTGACAGATGAGCAACGATGTGGAGACTCAGTTGACGAGATCGATAGCATGTGTGTTTGCCAGCCGGGATACATCTTCGACAATGGACGCTGCATTGAAGAAAGTGAATGCGGCTGCTTCTATCTCCACTGCTATTACGAACAAGGCGAGTTCAGACATGACGATGAAATCTGCGAGTGTACGTCGACTGGAGTCACTTGTAGACCACTTCCTTGTGAGGAAAAATCATGGGGATATTGCAGAGCCCATAATGATCCGTATATTAAACCTTTCGATGGTTGGAATCAACTCAGCTTCCATGGTGATTGCCGATATAACTTAGCGAGTGCAGAAGACACAGTCGACTATCCTGGCTTCAATGTGGATACGAAAAATCGTCGGCCATGGCTTCCATTCGCTGGCGCTGTTACCGATGAGCTCTGGTTTGATTTCCACGCAGCTGATTACACACTCGGAGACGAAAAAAGATACTCCCTCCACATTCGAAATCTTGATGATTCATCTTCATGGAGAGATGTCAGATTCGAATTTACCCTGACAGACAATCTTACTGGAGTAAAATTGTATGATGCTGTCTCGCAAATCACACGAAATATGTATGTGTCAACGGACGATTTCTATTTATCTGTAACAAGATCATGGTTGACTGGTGCTGTGAACTCAGTCTATCTACGAGCTCACGGCAGTGTCTATATAAGATTCTCATACTATTCTTGGTCGGCGTATGTGGGCGTTTCTAATTGTTACCAAAATCAAGTGACGGGTCTCTGTGGCAATTTCAATGGCGATAATTCAGAAGAAAGAGACTACATAACACAGTACGCTCTTGATAGTGATGCATTTGGCGATCAATTCCAAACTGATGATGACAACACGTGCTCTCACGGCGATAGACTCGCTCCTTGCGAAGATCTATCAGCCGCTGATTACGATGCAGCAGCTGACCGTTGCGACGCCGTTCGGCAATCGCCTCAGAACTCAGCTAATCGCAACATTTTCGCCGGTTGTGAGTTCCTCGGAGATCGAACTCCAACTTACGAAGCTTGCCTGTTCAACAGCTGTATTCAAGACGATCTTCACTGTGGTATCATTGGTGACTACGCTTCTAGATGTCTCGAAGGTAAAAGTCCACTCTCTGCTGACTACGAAAGAATTTGCAATTGGGCAGCAGCAACAGGCTGCGAGGAGGAGTGTCCCGTCGGTCAGGTCTACAAGGGCTGTACTACTGAGTGCAGAGAGCAAAAACATGCGAAGACATCGCAAATGGTGTTTCAGACTCTGATCGCTGTCAGAATGACGACATCATTACTGCAATGTGCGGCTGCGCGGACGGCAAAGTTTTGCATAACGGCGAATGTATTGAAGAAGAAGATTGCCCCAAATACGCCGTTTCAACTGGTTCTCGTCGATGCACAGGACAGGGAGATCCTCATTACACAACTTTTGATGGCGGAAGACATCATTTCCAAGGAGCTTGCAAGTACACATTCGTCGAGTCAGAAGGAGATTCTGAGTTTTTCAATATGCCCGCTTTCAAAATTGATGTAGACCAAAGACAATGTGGCAATGTTGCGAACGCAGTGTCTTGCATTAACGGCTGGACATTCGAATTCCCAGGTCAAACTCAAGGTCCGGAAGAAGTTCCGCGATACATTGTGACTCTTATGGGAAGAAATATAGTTTTGGACGATCGTCAAGCAGGAAATTACGATCTGACATTCGAAAATGATGATGTTCTTATGGAAATCAACGGAAATCATTTCAGAGTAAAAACATGGTTCGGCGCTGATCTCAACTATTTCTTCTTCGCTCATCTAAGAGTTGATCTACCAGACTACTACATGAATCACGTTTTCGGCCTTTGCGGAAACTGGAACGGTATTGCATATGACGAGTTTAGCCGAGCTCAAGGTCTTGGAAACTGGAGAGCTCATCAAACTGAGCTCGTTGAATGGGCGAACGACTTTGCCGAGCCTGATCCTCGATGCCGAGAAGTTCACGATTTTGAGTGCGATGACATCGATGAAGTCACTGACATGTGTGTTGCGCTCGATAAGAATATTCTTGGCGGGCCTTTCAACCAGTGCACTGTTGACAAAGATGACTTCCATCTCGCCTGTCTGGTTGACACCTGCGAAGATAGAACGGCTCTCTGCTCTACTCTAAAAGCATACGCGACAGAGTGCTTGAACAATATTGCGACAAATCTACGACCACAAGTCTGCTCTTGGGCGAATGAGCTTGGCTGTGAGGAAGAGTGTGGCGAAAACATGGTATTTGATGGATGTGCTAATGTCTGCTCGGCGAGGAGAACATGTGCGAATCGACATTTGACAGATGAGCAACGATGTGGAGACTCAGTTGACGAGATCGATAGCATGTGTGTTTGCCAGCCGGGATACATCTTCGACAATGGACGCTGCATTGAAGAAAGTGAATGCGGCTGCTTCTATCTCCACTGCTATTACGAACAAGGCGAGTTCAGACATGACGATGAAATCTGCGAGTGTACGTCGACTGGAGTCACTTGTAGACCACTTCCTTGTGAGGAAAAATCATGGGGATATTGCAGAGCCCATAATGATCCGTATATTAAACCTTTCGATGGTTGGAATCAACTCAGCTTCCATGGTGATTGCCGATATAACTTAGCGAGTGCAGAAGACACAGTCGACTATCCTGGCTTCAATGTGGATACGAAAAATCGTCGGCCATGGCTTCCATTCGCTGGCGCTGTTACCGATGAGCTCTGGTTTGATTTCCACGCAGCTGATTACACACTCGGAGACGAAAAAAGATACTCCCTCCACATTCGAAATCTTGATGATTCATCTTCATGGAGAGATGTCAGATTCGAATTTACCCTGACAGACAATCTTACTGGAGTAAAATTGTATGATGCTGTCTCGCAAATCACACGAAATATGTATGTGTCAACGGACGATTTCTATTTATCTGTAACAAGATCATGGTTGACTGGTGCTGTGAACTCAGTCTATCTACGAGCTCACGGCAGTGTCTATATAAGATTCTCATACTATTCTTGGTCGGCGTATGTGGGCGTTTCTAATTGTTACCAAAATCAAGTGACGGGTCTCTGTGGCAATTTCAATGGCGATAATTCAGAAGAAAGAGACTACATAACACAGTACGCTCTTGATAGTGATGCATTTGGCGATCAATTCCAAACTGATGATGACAACACGTGCTCTCACGGCGATAGACTCGCTCCTTGCGAAGATCTATCAGCCGCTGATTACGATGCAGCAGCTGACCGTTGCGACGCCGTTCGGCAATCGCCTCAGAACTCAGCTAATCGCAACATTTTCGCCGGTTGTGAGTTCCTCGGAGATCGAACTCCAACTTACGAAGCTTGCCTGTTCAACAGCTGTATTCAAGACGATCTTCACTGTGGTATCATTGGTGACTACGCTTCTAGATGTCTCGAAGGTAAAAGTCCACTCTCTGCTGACTACGAAAGAATTTGCAATTGGGCAGCAGCAACAGGCTGCGAGGAGGAGTGTCCCGTCGGTCAGGTCTACAAGGGCTGTACTACTGAGTGCAGAGAGCAAAAAACATGCGAAGACATCGCAAATGGTGTTTCAGACTCTGATCGCTGTCAGAATGACGACATCATTACTGCAATGTGCGGCTGCGCGGACGGCAAAGTTTTGCATAACGGCGAATGTATTGAAGAAGAAGATTGCCCCAAATACGCCGTTTCAACTGGTTCTCGTCGATGCACAGGACAGGGAGATCCTCATTACACAACTTTTGATGGCGGAAGACATCATTTCCAAGGAGCTTGCAAGTACACATTCGTCGAGTCAGAAGGAGATTCTGAGTTTTTCAATATGCCCGCTTTCAAAATTGATGTAGACCAAAGACAATGTGGCAATGTTGCGAACGCAGTGTCTTGCATTAACGGCTGGACATTCGAATTCCCAGGTCAAACTCAAGGTCCGGAAGAAGTTCCGCGATACATTGTGACTCTTATGGGAAGAAATATAGTTTTGGACGATCGTCAAGCAGGAAATTACGATCTGACATTCGAAAATGATGATGTTCTTATGGAAATCAACGGAAATCATTTCAGAGTAAAAACATGGTTCGGCGCTGATCTCAACTATTTCTTCTTCGCTCATCTAAGAGTTGATCTACCAGACTACTACATGAATCACGTTTTCGGCCTTTGCGGAAACTGGAACGGTATTGCATATGACGAGTTTAGCCGAGCTCAAGGTCTTGGAAACTGGAGAGCTCATCAAACTGAGCTCGTTGAATGGGCGAACGACTTTGCCGAGCCTGATCCTCGATGCCGAGAAGTTCACGATTTTGAGTGCGATGACATCGATGAAGTCACTGACATGTGTGTTGCGCTCGATAAGAATATTCTTGGCGGGCCTTTCAACCAGTGCACTGTTGACAAAGATGACTTCCATCTCGCCTGTCTGGTTGACACCTGCGAAGATAGAACGGCTCTCTGCTCTACTCTAAAAGCATACGCGACAGAGTGCTTGAACAATATTGCGACAAATCTACGACCACAAGTCTGCTCTTGGGCGAATGAGCTTGGCTGTGAGGAAGAGTGTGGCGAAAACATGGTATTTGATGGATGTGCTAATGTCTGCTCGGCGAGGAGAACATGTGCGAATCGACATTTGACAGATGAGCAACGATGTGGAGACTCAGTTGACGAGATCGATAGCATGTGTGTTTGCCAGCCGGGATACATCTTCGACAATGGACGCTGCATTGAAGAAAGTGAATGCGGCTGCTTCTATCTCCACTGCTATTACGAACAAGGCGAGTTCAGACATGACGATGAAATCTGCGAGTGTACGTCGACTGGAGTCACTTGTAGACCACTTCCTTGCGAGGAAAGAAAATGGGCGTTTTGCAAGGCCCATAATGATCCGTATATTAAACCTTTCGACGGTTATTATCAACTCGGCTTTCATGGTGATTGTCGATATAATCTTGCAAGTGCTGAAGATACAATCGACTTTCCTGGCTTCAATGTTGATACGAAAAATCGTCGTCCATGGCTGCCTTTTGTTGGGGCTGTCACTGATGAGCTGTGGTTCGATTTTCATGCAGCCAATTATGTGTTTGGAGATGAGAAGAGATATTCTGTTCACATTCGCAATATAGACGATTCAGCAAATTATAGGAACACCAAATTAGAAATCACGTTCATTGATAATCTGACTGGAGAAAGGATATTTGATGCTTACTCAAAGATGCCTGATCGGACTCAACGTCTTAATACTGATGATTATTACATTTATTTATCAAAATGGCGAGGCAGCGATGATATTAAAAATGTATATATAAGGGTTCATGAAAATTTATATGTCAGATTCGAAGCATATTACTGGAAAGCAAAAGTTGGTGTTTCAAGTTGCTACCAGAATAAAGTAACTGGTCTCTGCGGCAATTTTAATGACAATTTTTCTGAAGAAAGAGAGTTTATAAGGCAGTACGCTCTCGACAGTGACGCTTTTGGAGAACAATTCAAGACTGATGATGACACAACATGCTCACATGGTGACAGAATAGCACCATGTGAAGATTTATCTACAGCAGAATACAACGAAGCAGCTGATCGATGTGACCCTGTTCGCCAATCGCCTAATGTTTATACAAATCGCAACATATTCGCAGGCTGTGAATTCCTTGGAGATAGAACACCAACTTACGAAGCTTGCCTTTTCAACAGCTGCATTCAAGATGATCTCCATTGCGGTATCATGCGAGATTATGCGTCAAGTTGTCTCGAAGGCAAAGATCCACTATCTGCTGATTACGATAGAATTTGCAATTGGGCTGCGGCTACAGGCTGTGAAGAAGAGTGTCCCGCTGGCCAGGTCTATAAAGGCTGTGGAAACATGTGCCATGAGCTTCAAACATGCGAAGATGTTGTCCGAGGCGTAAGCAAGGAGAATCGATGTGAATTTTCAACCCTCAATTTTGTCGAGGGAATGTGCGGTTGTCCAGAGGGAAAAGTTCTTGAGGGCGGCGTCTGTGTTCCTGAATCATCGTGTGGCTGTCTTACTGAAGACGATGATTACGTCGAACTCAACGGTGAAATTTTCACTGAAACAGAGAGATGCACTTGTGGAAGTGAAGGATTGACATGCGAAGCATTGTCCTGCCCATGTGATGGTTTTGATACTTGCACCAATTTTGTCTGCGCGACACCTCGCGACTATGTCGGTGGCACAGAGGGAATTCTCGGAACATTCGAAGTCACAAAGAACTACGAGCTCGGTTATGAGTTCACTTGCGAGTACCCAACCGCAGCTGGAGAGCACATTGGTCCTCACATTTGGGATGGGGACTTCACTCGTGTATCAATGGCTAGGGATGTTATGACCAATCCTGACACGAAGTTCGCAAGAAGACAAGCACGAAACTGGTGGGAAGAGGGCAATTTATGGTTCTTCCATTCTCGTAGCAGCGGTGGAAGGGCGTGGATCGGCCAGTAAGTTTTTAAAATTCTTATAAAATATACGATAAAAATGACCGCTCTCTTAATTGTATTCTTAGTGAAAACCAAAGTGGAGCAACTTTCAACGAGCTCATTCACAACGCTTGTGTTCCTGGTTTCAATAGCATTCGACTCACTCAAAGCTACGATGAAAATTTTAACATGATAACGAAAGAAACTTTCCTCAACGGCGAACTTTTGCAAACGAGGATGTTCGCCGCAAGTGATGATATGTACGAAGGAACAATGACTGCGTCACTTGCCTCTCCTGCTGTCTTCGCCGCGCCACCAGGGCAGATTCGAAATTTTTACGTCAGAGACACTTCCATGATTTCATTTGTCGGCGAAACGCCAGAATCCGCCAGCGGTGAAAATGTCCTAATGGATGTTGACTTGGAAAAGTCGTTCAAGATTCAGTTCGAGATTGATTGCGGCAATTCGGTCTTCGGTGCTGGCCACATTTTGGACATTCGCGAGCAGAATGCAGAAATTCTCGCCTCAGAAGAAGAACTGACGAATCCAGAAGAAGCTCCTCGAGTTACGGCTGCAGATAAGCCATTCCTAGCAATGAGCCGATTGCCCGGCTTCCTTTGGCTTGCATTGTAAGTTTGTTTTAACTTGATGAAATTGAATATTTTTCAGTGCGGTTGATGATGATGCAATGGTCACGAACCACGAAAACTTCAATCTACTCTTCTCCAGTCCAATCGTTCAAAACAACTGGGATGGCGATCTCGACCACGAAGTCGTCCTTAGTTGGGTCGATCAATGCCCTGGCGATAGCTGGAGCACCTTTGTCTTCGAGCACATCTTCGACGACGAAGCCGGACTTTGGACAAGCATGTGGTCAATCAACGGCCTTCCAGTTGTGTCTGCCACATATGCTTCTCAAAACTTCCCAGGAAATTATCAACTTGGCTTCTCAAATAATCCAGCGGGCAGTTTCATCAGTGACGTTGGAGTCAGAAACTTCTTTTACAAAGAACTTGCATCACACTCAACCGCAACAGTCTCGACAACAACTTCGACGACGACAACTACGACCTCATTTACTGGGTTTTGATTCGCTCTTTTAACGACTTTTAAAAATCTCCGTCCAACTGTTTAAAGTTCCTTTCCTCATATTTTAAATAAATATGACGTCACCCTTGACATTTCTTGGAGATATTCTGTTAATATCATATTGATTATCGAAATTTTGATAAATTTCAAATTGACTTTTCTTTATTTCAAACACAGAAATCAAAGCTAGTCAGCATAATGTGAGGCCTTGTGGCGATCGCATAGTTTCCAGGTCGCATGGAAATAGTTCTAGTGTCAATAATCTCCTCATTTATGATCAGATCGTTTTCCAGCGAAAGTCTCCGTGTTGTATATGTATTTTCTTGTGTTCCGTCTTGTTCGTCGACGAGATAAACGAAATTGCCGATATTGATGGCAGAACCGTATCCATAAATCTACGAAGAAATAAAACAAAAAAATTTTGAAGATAGTAGCTCACAGTTGATGATAATTGTCCAATATCCGTCCATTGATCGTCCTTGAGTCTCCAAATCGTATTTGACAAGAAACAAGAAGTCGAAGTGACAGGTTTTCGAGTGCACCCGCCAAATACAAGCATTGCCCCGCTATCAAGGCCCGTCAGAGAGTAGCCGTACACGGGACTTGAAGAAAAGTTTATCAAAGAAAAATAATAAAATTGTTTCTTACGTTGGATGATCCGGCATAGAAACCCACTCGTCCCCAGTGAAGAATTCCACCTTTTGAGCGCCATGGGCTGTGCTGCTACCGACAACTGTCGGCTTTCCATTGTAAAAAGCTAGCCCAGCGCTGTTGTGTTTAAACTCGGTCGAAGCCGTCAGTTGGAGTTGACTCAAACTGCTTTCGGGGTCGAAGATCTCACAAGCTCTGTGCAACTGGGGGCCCTCGTAACTTGCGGTCACATAATTGTAGTAGGGAAAACAAATCAAGCCTAAAAAAGACAAAAAATATGTGTTTTTAGAATTTAAGAGGGGCAAAATTTGGCCAGGAAATTAAGATTTCAGAAACATATAAATTATATATATATATGATATAATTTACCTTTTTTTCCATCTTCAATAGCAAGAACAGCGCTGTTGAAGGCGTGAAAATAGTTTGCTGTCGGTGGAATCAGTTGCCAATTGCAACCATTAAGCTTGGAGATCTAAGAAAAAAATATGGGTTCAAAATCCCCAAAATTAAAAATTACATTCTTATATTTGAAGCTGTAGAGCTCGTCGCGGATGATAACGGAATGCGCTCTTTCAGTTGAACTGCCAGTCAAAGTCGCGGATGTAGTTCTTGATCCATCGCCGGAGACGATAAAGGATTCGCTATTATACATAGGAATCACCAAAATATTGATGTTGGTGGAAGAAGGAGAAGAAGTTGTCGCTGGAGAAGTCGTTGTCTCTGTATCACAGGGAGTGATGTAAGGGAGGCCGTTTGGCTTGGTTTCGTCGATGCTATATTTTTGTTTTTTTTTTTACATAAAAAAGCACGTGTCCTTCATAATTCGACCATCTTTTTGATTGATCTTTTCGCAAAAAAAGAATTTGCATGTTTGAAAAACAATTTCCTTGTTTGTTCCCTTCGGACATTAAAAACATAGTTGCAGCTGTTTCCGTTGCAGACGCATTTGATCTTTTTGTTCGAGGTGAGCTTTGTTCCGTCGGGCTGAAAAATGGCAGTTTATCTAGTTTCTGCTGGAATTTTGAAGCACACCTGATTGCATTCTCTGAAGCATCCATTATTTTCCACTTCTAGTCCGTTCTCCGTATATCCTCTTTTACACCCATCAGCTTCAGTGTACGTCTTTGTATTCCAAATTCCCAAATCAGAAGGGTCACATCCTCTTTCAACACAATCTGGAAGGTCTTCCAGGGTGTCTAAATTGGACAAAATTTTCGGGTCTGGCCGCCCATTTTCCGGCCAATAATTTTTTTTCGGGTTTGATCCGGCCAAAATCCAATCCAATTCCAATTTAGCCCAATAATCCAATAATTTGCCAATTTTGAAGTTCCCCAATTTAGCCAGTTTTCCAATTATTTTCCGATTCCAATAAAAAAGCTGGATCCGATAAAAATCCGACAAAGTTTACTTCCCAAAAATATTTTCGATTTATATTATCTTATTTCTTCTCTAAGAAACTAAAAAAAGGACTTTAAAAATTGCTCTTTGGACCCAAAAGTGCATTTATCCAACTGATTGTAGTCATTATTCGGTTAAATTTAGGAGTATTTTTTGGTTAAAATTTGATTAAAACGGCTGATTCGGCTGGTTGCCCAACAATTTACCAGTATTCCAATTTATTTTGGCCGCCAATTTGCCCATTTTAGCCCCGATTTCCAATTTATTCCAACTATCCAATAATGCCCAATAATCCGAAATATCCAACAAAAACCGGGGCCAGATCCAACCAATTTCCGGCTATTTTCCAAAATAGGCCAATCCAACTATCCAATCCAATTTTGTCCGTCCAAATTAGACACCCTGGGTCTTCGACCAAGCTCCCGTCGCTGTAGCATTTGATGGTTCCGACTTGTTTTCGGTAGGCGGAGCATTTTACGAAATAGTCAGAGAAGGGGCCAGACTCGTGGACGAAAGTTTGAGCTCGTTTTCGGATCTTGCCTCTGTTGGTAAGGAGGTCAAGCCTGTTATACGGACGGAGACGAAGAGTCGAATTCGAGAGCAAATGCGAAATGTCACATTCTCAAAAGATTTAAACCTCTTTTTTATTTTCTCTATTTTCTTACCGACAGTCAGAGCCGCTGCCTGAGAAATTAAAAATCCCGACGAAAGTTTCATTTTTCTCTCTTTTTTCAGTTACTAAAATTTTTACCTTTTCGTAGACGCTCAGATGGCGCCCGAGAGCAAAATAGAAAGCTCATTACTAAAATAACTCTGTGGCCTGCAGCAGCTTATCACATTTCCATTCCACAGATCTCAGAAAAAAAAACCGCGAGAGAAAGTAACGTGAGCGCAGATGTGAAAAAAGCTGGTGAGTATTTATGCGCTCAGCAAATGTTGAACTACCATGAAGTTTAACTCTTTGGGGAGAAAGCCCTTGGCCCCATTCCCTCTATCCCGCGCAAATCAGTGACGGGGAAGTCTAGAAAATTTCTTGAACGCTTGCTTGGCTGTTTAGAAGAATCTCTAGATTCTGAAGAACAGAATCTGGAAAGTCCGAGCCAATGAGAGAGCTGACGATGGTTTGCGCGGCTTCAAGGAGGCTATCAAGGAGAGGGTTTTCGAAAGAAAATTGTCACGAACGGCTTTGGACGTCATTTACAAATCATCAAAAATCAAAAATTTGACGTTGAATTAGCTTTATTCACAGCAAAGAGACGTTAAATCTTGCAAAATCACCAAAACCAGCTTCTCTTTTGTATTTGATAGATTGTCGCCTTCCATCCGCCTCACTTTCGATTTCTTGATGATTCCTCTCTTCCCCGGTTACACGATCAATTTGTTGCGCGACAGTTTTGAATCCTCTGCCGCCTTCGGAGAGAAACTTTTAAAATATCGGAATTTTTATTTTTACCTTTGCTCCATATTGAGGCGGAGCTGAGAATTGTAGTTCGATTCAGAATTGATTTTTAAGTACTTCCTGCGTATAAAACTTGATAAACATCGTCATAAATTATGACTCACAATTGACTATTTATATAAAAAATTTATTTTAACAAGCATGAACAGACCAGTGAAATTTGGCGACTGTCCGGTATTCAAATGTGACAAAATTTACAACAGATTTTGGTTTTCAAATCCGGCGGCTAGTTTTAGCATTCTCCGACGAGTTTGCTTGTCCCGTCTTCGCAGCACTGGTGCGTGGCGGCGTGGAAGATGTGTCGGTTTAGTCCAAAGCCGCAACACTGTGGGCCGGAGGATGAATTTCCGGAGCTCGATCCGCCAACGCTCGATGATGATTTACCGGAGTCAGTGGCGAGATTGGCGACCGGTGGGAGATCGGGTTCGTTGGCGGGGTTGCCGCACTCGGCTTCGCGGTCGAAGCCGTTTAGGATGTGAAATTTGGCACTCCATTGATCTGCCGCCTTAATTTTTGTTGAGTCTTTGGGAGAATCTTGCTTCAACTTACGGAAAGCAAGCTTCGAGCGAATAGCATATCCAGTCTGCAGACATCACCGGCGCAGGTGCCTTCTTCGTCGACTGAAAGAGAATTTAGCTGAATGTTGATGGAAAAAGGAACATACCACAAACAGGAACATCGTCTTGCAATTCCCAGTTGTAAGGTGTTGTGGAAGCGCATTCTTTGCCGTGGTCAACTTTCAAACAGTTGTAGCTAAAATTTGATGATAATTTTCTCGAAATATGAAATTCCAAACTGTACCTTTTGTGAAGATCATGGCAGAGATGATCAATTCCGTCAACTGGGATTCCAACACCGAGCCAGTTCGAGTCTGGTTGACCGATTTGGCTGGGCGAGCAGTAGCAGCCGTAGTTGATGAATTTCTCCTCTCCTTTGACTTTGTTCTTTTTGCCACGGGCGGAGAGGGAGTCATTGTCGTTGACTTCACTGATGCTGCCGCCGTAGAGCTCGAAGAACGCGGCTTGGAGGACAGTCTTGCCAGCGAAAAGAGCAGCTGAGACGTCGGCCTTGCTGACTGGAGCGGAGCCGCTGTCGATTGCGGAGTACATTCCGATTGCGGTGTTGAAGAGCGTGTCTGCGCTGACATCGATGTCTTGGGAGACTTGACTGCCTTTGACGAGGGAAAGCTGGTTTGCCATTGAGTTGAGGTTTTCCAGATCTGTTGCAAATTTATCCTGAGCGAGGGCGACTTTGAGAATTGATGCGAAAAGGCTAAAGGTTTTCATCTTTTTCAGGCGAAATATCTTTTTTATGTGTATAAAATTATCTCGTGAAAATGATTGATGCAAATGCTCGAGTTTGCGATGATTTTATTGCCCTGCTGCAGCTGCTTTTTCTGCGATAAATGGAGAAAAACAAGACTTGTGGAGATAAAGAACATCGGGTTTCTTTTCTGCCAGGAAATTGGATAAACATGTGTTTATTTGCGCGAACGACAGAAATTAGTTGAATCATCGTCGGTTCTTTGAATCAAGAGACAAAGTAGAAATTAGAACGGAGCGGAGAACTACTGGTTAGAGGAGAAACTACAAGTTGAAAATTTTGAAAATGGATTTATTCTGCTTTTTTGGTTCTTCTTCTTGGAGATGATGGAGACGCAGCGCTAGAAGTAGATTCGCCAGGACATTTGGCGTCAGAATCTGAATAAAGTTTTATTTTTTCCGTATCACGGAAGAAGAAGAAATTTGAAGAGTTCTCTTCCTTGATTTCAATTGAATTTTGTCATTTTTCGAACTAACCAGACGAAGATTTTCCAGAGACTGGGCAAGTCCCGCCCGAACTTCCGGCTGGAGGAGGATTGATGTATTTCCCGACATAAGGCTCGATCGCTGCGTAAATTGGCTTCAAAATCGGGCCAAGCACTGGCGCGAGAACTGGATCGAGATATTTTGCCAGGTAGTTTTTGTAGAGCCAGATCAGGGCGGGGATGATAATGCACGGAACGCAAACCATGTTTTCTACAAAATGAAAAAGGAGTAAATTGTCTATCCGTCGAGTTTTTATTGTTTGAGTTCAGTTTCATTTTCGAGAAAGGGGGCTCCACAAAGAGCGCCAGAAAAACTGGTTTAGCTTTTTGCTTCATAAGCTCGAAAAATCAACAAACTATCGGTCAGTGAATAAATAAATTAACAGTTTTTAGCTCAAATCGGCAATGCTGGATTCAATAGCCTTCGCGATCTTCTGAAATTTCTGCCTGGAATCAACTAGTCCGTCGCCTTTGAGTTTCGAGTGCACGAGCTCTTCATTTACGAAGACTTCGAACTCTCCCGTTTTTCCAGACGCTGGGTTTGTTTTGAAATAGATCTTGTCAGTTTGATCGTCGAATTCTTCTTGAATCGCCCAGACGACTGATTGAGCTTTGGGGAGGTAGGATCAGGAGGAGCAGAAGTCCAAGCGAACACAGACTCGACTGGGCTTAACCGATTTTGCTGGATCTCCAAGAGCAAGGCGACCGACTGCGAATGCCCCGCCAGCAGCGGCTACTGTGCCTGCCGCGTATTTTAAATACTGCGACATACAGTAGTTCTAAGCGAGAAAAATATGAAGGACGGTTTTTTGAATAGAATAAATAAGCTTTTATTCGTGGCATCGCAAGAAGTACTTTTTGAAGTTGTGCAGTTTTTGAACAAGTGCAGGGAATAGAAAAATTGTCAGCAAGGCATGTAAAGTTGAAAATTGATAAAGAAGAATTTGTGATAAGAAAAAACGGATAATTATTCAACGAGGCTCCAGGCAATTTCCGCCATTTCGAAGTATTTCGCCGCCTGTTTTCCTTTCATCGCGCAGGTGGCTTCTTCCGCCGCCCATTCGAACGTCTCTGCGGCTTCGGTGGGATTGGCCTCGAGTCCGTGGCCCCCTTCTTGGAGCATGGATGCTTTTTCTTCCATGAGTTTGTAAACAGCAACACCTATTTCAGTCCTCGAATCGATCAGTTGAGTCAAGAGTGTGCAAGCCTTTTCCCAGTTCTTTTCCACTCCTTCGGGAAGACCATCGCCAGTTCGATAAGCATTTGCGATAAGAAAAGTCGAGTAAGAATCGCCCAGAGCAGAAGCTTTTTCAAGATATTTGAATCCTTCATTTCGATCGGGCTCGACCACGATTTCTTCAAGAATATCCGTTTGGATTCCGAGCAATTTCTTCGCATAAATCGTCAATGCTTCTAAATGACCAGCATCGGCCGCGATTATCAGGTGGAAAATAGACGCTTCGTTTGAAAATTCAATTCTTTCTTGACAATAAAGCTGGCAGATGGCGTAGTGGATTTCAACTAGAATTTCTTCTTTGGAAACTTTTGGTGATAGCGAAATCACTTCTTCTTCGATAGTTTTCAACGAGAGCGAGCCGCAGGCACCAGAATCATCCGAAATTTGAGAGCAAGCTGAGATATGACGAATTCGAGGATCGATAGGCTCTTCCGAGAGTGATTCTAGCCCAGAATCGTGTCTTGAAGAAGTTCTGCTTTCGAACCTTTTTCGCTTCTGAGTTTCGACTTTTGTCAATGAAGCGAGAGTGGATTTTACAGCTTGGTGAAGCTGGGAGCCTGCTTCTTCGGACTCGTGTTTTTCGAACTTGGGCAAATTGAAGAAATCGCAAAGGGAAGAGCAAGTATGCGAGAGGAGAAAGAGCGCCATTCCTCGAACACCGAGATTTCCGTCTCCGTAGTCGAGGCCATTCGCGGAGTGGATTTGTGGATCGGTCCAAAGGTCATTTACGCCCTGGATGTCGATAATCATCTTCTCTCTTCAAATTGCGCTCATTAGCAAGTTCAGAGTAAGCCGCTAATCTACCTGTTGGAGACTTCGAATGAAAAGTGCGAAAATGTTTGTGGCGTCATTCGATCATTTCCGATGAAGCCAGAGTTCGAGTTGTATTTCACGTATTTTCCGTCGATGAAATTTTCCATTTGAAAGAAGGGAGCATCATCCCGATCTTTAGATATCATCAGTCAAGGTGAAAAAAAGAAGGAGTTACCGATGAGCTGGACGATGCAAATCTGCATGACGTCGATTTTCTTTGGCGGGTTTCGACGATTGTACTCGTTCGCCCAGAGCTTGGCTTCCATTTGAAGCGTGATGTCTTCGAAAAGAACGGATTTCTCGACCTCCTCGATGTATTTTTTCAAAACAACATTTGAGGCATACTTCCAGTCGGCTTTCAGAGAAAAGTTCCCGAGCTTTTGAGCTCTGTAGCATTCTCGCATCGCACCTAAAAACGATCATCTCTCATTTTTTGGGTAAATTCGAGTACCATTTGCAAAAGGACTTTTTTGTATTCGAAGTTTGATTTTATCTTCCGACCATTTTCGCCCATCGAATCGAAGTCGTTTGGCAACTTCAACTGGTTCATCTCCGACGATCTTTGACCAGTCGGTTTTCAGCGATTCATCCAAGCCTCGATCAGCGGCTAGTTTCCAGAGTTTGGCATTGCGCTTTTTAGAATCTAAAGATAATTAAGTAGGGGAATTCGATAAATGAAAAGAATCGAAAAGTACGTAATCATCCGTAAAAAAGAATCAGCTGATCAAAAAGAGTAGATGCCAATTTCGGTCTACTTGTTTTACTGCTTTTCTAATTAATCTTACCACGTACCGATATTACTTCCTAGAAAAAAGTCAGCTCCGAAAATGCCTGTTTTAATCATTCACCTTGAATTTTTCTTGTATTTTCCATCATAGCAAAATGAACGACAGAAGCACTTCTATGCTGTTTTTTGCCATTTTCCTCTTCTCCCAGAGAAATTCCCTCATCGCCCACAGGATCGTTAGCACCTTTATCTTCTGGTATTCCTTCGAGAATATCGTCAAAAAGGCTGGGGCAGACTTCGTCCATCTCTTCAAAAAAAGGAGGCTGTTAAACTTTTTATAGCTAAAAGTTTGTTATTGCACTCAGGCAAGGATAAATATATCCCCACTTGCCGAATTCGACACGTGACTGTAAGTGTAAGTAGCAAAGGTCGTCAACTGTCGAAATAGATATTAGAACTACAGTAAGTACAGAGGGGTTGACGCAGTACATGTCAAAGGTTAACTCGAGTTTTCAGTGATTTCTAAATCTGGAAATGTAGAATGGCCAAAAATGTCGAACTGAAGGAATTTGCGTTGCAGTTTTTACGAGAAAAACATGATCTTGAGACCGAGGATAATGCAGGCTAGGGAAACATAAGGAGATAGTCGTTCGCCGACTCGGGCGAATTTCCAGAAGATGCCGAGGAAGCCAGTTTTATGCTTGTCCAAAAGGCTGGGGAAAAAAGAGCGGATGTAAGCGCAGGTGCAGATTGACAGCAAAATAAGAGTAACCATACTCTAAAAAATTCAATAAATAAATGCCAACCCTTTTCGGTTTTTACCTCGAAATTGAAAATTGCCACCATTTTCACTAATTTCTATCGATTTCAATTATCAAATTCTAAAACGAAAAAATAAGCGTCAGATTTTCTTTTGAGTCGGTTGGGTGGGCGGAGCTAGAATCGCTCCGAAATAAAACAATACGAAAGAAAGATAATTTATTCTGCTTTCAATCCAGATCTTTTTACATGTATCCAGCAATTATCATAATGAGATTTAGTCCTGAACTTCTCCGTCTTCGCCGTCTTCTTCCATTTCAGCTGTCGTGTCGAATTCATCGCCACTTTCTTCTTTCTTCTCCTGTTCTTCATCACTTTCCCTAACTTCTACTACTTCTCCTTCATCGTCGGATATCACCATCGATTCATCAACAATCTCTACCGGTTCTTTTTTGACGGGTTCTTTCTTTGATGCATCTTTTCTTGGTGTCTTCTTTAGCGTTTTCTTTAGCTTCTTGTACGCGCCAGTCTCACAAAGAATTTCAAAAAGAAAGACCCATCGAGCAACTCTTCAAAATTCACTGAAAAGAGCTGTTTCTCTTTCGGTTTTGAAATTCTTTCCTTGGTCGGCTCAACTTGGTAAGCATCGTGGGCGAATGCAACAACGCCAGTTTGCCACTTATTTCTTCTTGGCAGCCCTTTTTCAGTGACTCCTTCTTCTTCCTCTTCTGGCTCTTCCTTTTTGACCCATCCAGGTTGGAACAGCTCATCTACATCTTCGAATTCTTCCTCTTCTTCCAGCTCCAGTTTCGGCTAAAACATTTGAGGAAAGGGTATAAGAGAAGATGAACTCACAACTTTGGAAGGATTGGAACTATTGGAATCATCCGACGCAGCTCGTTTTCGTTGAATTCTTTCGCATCTGTTTGCTTGCAAATAATAGTCGATGAAGTTTTTCTTTGACTGGGTTTTGTTCCACTTTGGCTTTGACGGATCCTTGACTCCCTTTGGCACTGAATTTTCGTTAAGAAAAAGCGGAAAGGGAAGAGCTCACTTGGCATATTGAAGCCCGGGTATTCAATGATCTTCGACACGTCAAGACCGACGAGTTCTGTTTTCTTGCTTTCGTCCTCCGAATCTGATGATTCATCGCCATCGCCAAGTTGCGGGTTCAGCTCGTTGATTTGCCCTTCTTCGTTTACGCTCACTGTTGCTTTTCGAACCTCTGCTACTGCGAGCCATCCTGGCGGGTAACCTTAAATTTCGGTGAAAAAACGCATTAGGAAGGGGTCATTCTACCTTCTACTCGCATGACTGGGATCCAAGGCGGTAACTGATCTTTTTTCAAATCCATTGCTTCCTTCAATTCATCGGAAATCACCCCTGGCTTGAAGGAAGAAAATCTCTTGTTGTTCGTATGACCCGCTCCCACTTCAAAGAGTCTTGCTTTCGTCCCCGCTCGTTTAGGAGTGTTTCCAACTGCCTTTTGAAACTCTTGCTTTCGCTTGTTGATTTCTTCGGGGTTCTTTTCCTCGGGACAGTTGGCGATTCCGTGCTGGTCGGAGCCACAGTTGAAGCAGACGTTGAAAATCTTGTTCTTCTGCTTCTCCAGCTTGGCAGTGTCGTCTTCTATGTTTTCAGTGAGCATGTCTTTGTACAACGTCTCGTAGCTTGGAATTATCCAGTTGGAGGACTCGGGATTGGAGTTCTTGTCCAGAGGCTCGCCAATTCTGTCCAAAATGTGGCCATCAGGAAAGATGTGCACACTCTGCATGACCACAAACTCGTCATAATCCTCCCCTCGGCTTGGTAAGCAAACTGCTGATTTTTGCCGGGGGTAAGCTTCAAGATCGTCTTTTCGGGAGGCTTCTTTTTCGAGGAGAAAATCCGTGATGAGCTTTATCAGGTCGTTTTTGTAGTAACGCGAAAGCTGGTTGTGGAAGAAATTGATTTGGCAAAGTGGACCGTCGTCTTGATCTAGGAAAGAGTGATCAGCTTCGGAACTCATCAGGGGAATGTCTTACCTTTAATTGGTTTTGAAGGCGTAAGAATTCCGACAATGCGTTTCAATTTTTCGTTTTCAAGCTCCAACTCGTATAGCTTGTCCTTGTTCGTTTTCTGCGGCAGCTCCTTATACGCCTCCTCGATCGTTGGCGCTTTATCTAAATCGAGATAATACGCGCTCTGGGAAAAAACTGACTTACTGGAGTTCCAGCCTTCATTGTCAAATGCTGTGAAAAGTGCTTCTGATCCGAATGACATGATTGCTTTTTTACTGCGAAATCAATTGAAACAACACTGCTGAAAAAGAAAGAGTAAAGACAAGGGTTGATATAAATACGATATTTATTATTATTAATATTGCACTAACATTCGTCAGAAAAAGGAGTTGTGAAAGAGTTGCTTTTTCTTGAATGATTTTGTTCGTTTGGGAATAACTCTGATTATTTGATATGTGAAAAGAAAAAATAACAGAAATAAAACAACAGCATCTTGATCGTCAGATTGTCTTGAATCGACACTGGCTCGAAAGACTCTTATACAGAAAATTGAAAATTGAAAGTTGAAAAGTCTTAGTTTTGAAAACTCACAATGTTTCATTTTGTGAACTAGCGGTACTTTTTTCTTTTGAACAGGGAAAAATAAAAGCTTCGAGACGCTAACTCGTCTCGGATTTGTGCGTTTTATAGTGACAGGTTCTGAAGCTTGAGCTACTGGTCAACTGGGATAGTGAGTTTTACTTTTTGGCTGGGATAGAATAAAGGTAGACGGCACCGATGACGAGGGAGGCACCGAACGTGAACATGAGGGTGATGCTGTAATCGAAAAGGAAAACGGAGAGGATCGAAGAAAGGACGATCGAAAGGGAGGTGGCGAAACCCTTGAGGATGTTGTCGGCGTACTTGATAACCATGGCGACCAGAAGACCTCCGCAAGCCTAAAAATCAGCTTTTGGAAACAATTTTCTTGATTGAAAAACGCACCTGATTGGCAACAACACACCAGACGAGCTTATTGTATCCGAAGAAGAATCCTTTCTCCTGAATCTCAGCTCCGTCCTTCAAATAAGCGGCGATGAAGGCGATGATGGAGCCGAAAATTCCAAGCTGAACATTTCGGAGCCATACGGAAGCTTTTGATCCTTTGAGCACTTTTTCGAAGTAGACACCTGCGAAACCGGAGAAGGTACACGCCAGAATGACGGACATGAATCCAATGAAGGGGCTCTAGAATGAGGAAGAGGGAGTTAGACTATTGAAACGACAACTTTAACTGCACCTGTCCTTCAGTGCTGTTCGAGCTACCGATATTTTGAACTTGGACGATGGCGATTCCGGCAAAGAGGATCAAAAGCGAGAGCCACTGAGTTCTGATGAGACTTCGGCCAAGCATGGTAATCGAGAACATGGCGGTGGTGAGAATTTTGAGTTGATAAGAGACCTGAATAAAATTGACAGTTGACGACAGCGCGAATTTGCGCGAAGCACCTGGAAGACGGCGGCGGGGAGGTTGGAAATTGAAACATACAGGAGGTTGTTTTGGACGGTGTAGATGAAGGCGGGGACGGCGACTTTGAGGGTTTCCATCGGTTTGTCGAAGATTTCTTCTTTGATGTGGCCGGTCCAGTTTCGGATGTTCCAGCCGAACGAGTGGAGGATGATGATCAGACAAACGAGCACTGGAAAATGGTATTAAAAATACTCCAAACCCTCTTCTTTTTACCTTTTGTAATTTCGGCCATGCAGACAGCAGAAGTAGACAAGAACATATCCCCAGTCTGAGTTCTAGCAGCGCGCATCGTCAACGCCAGGGAAGCATTTTGCACGACGAGAAGAATCAACGAGACGTATTTCATGTTCAAGCCGGCCACAGTTGGCTAATTGGAAAAAAGACGTTAGCGTTGAAAAAATGAAAGAAGTAGGGTATTACGTTACTTGGTCTAATCACATGCGGATCTGCAATATTGAGTAAAGGCTGCTTTTGATTTGAGTACATTTGAATATTGGCCATTTTGTCTTCCTCACTTGGCTGCGAAAAAATATTCTTTAGGGTTAGGTTTAATGCTACTCTTTTGTTAGTGTTTTTTCTCTTTTAAAATTTCGATTTTCAGTGAGTTTGATAAATGACTAATACAGTGACAGCGTATTTACATTTCTAATTGAAGAGTTAAAGAAAGAACGAAGCAAACTAAAATTGACTCCAGGATCTATTTTAGACACTCTTTTCTTTTCCAACTGTCATTTTTCTTCAGTTCAATTTTCCAGTTGAATCAGAATCTGCCCGCCTTTCCTGATTACTGAAACCTGCTTTGACTAAATTTGAAGCTGGCAAAACTGCTTGAAAAATGACCGATAAAGATTGCTCTACTGTATATTCTAGAGAAAGTGAATATACCCGACGTTACCTCCGTTTTTTTATCAACGCTTTCGATATCTACCTTCTTATGGTCCGCCATTTTCGATCACGCAACCGATTCCTTTCTCTAAATTAAATATCGTTTTTATCAGTCTCTCGCAACGCGCTTGCATATTGATATTCCGCCGACGGTTTGATATTTTCGCCGTCGAATATCGCCTCACGGCCAGGCCAAAAACCAAAACTAGCGCTCATTATTTTCCAGCTTTCTTTTCAAATCAACGCATCTGACGTTTCTCGTAAAAACAACTCCAACAAAGCTTCGAAAACGGCTCTTTTTGGAATAATAAATCTCGCTGCCCGCTTTTCATTTTTTTAATAATGCGACCAAAGGCAACCAAGCCTGGTAATAATAAGAGTTGACTGCCCTTAGGCGGGCGGTGAACAATTCTTGTAGCGATCAAGTGGATTTCAAGTCATTGAATTCTAGGCTCAGAAACTTGAGTCGGGATCCTGAAAGACCTGAAGAAATAGCCCAGTAGCGGCTTTGACAAAACAAACTTGACAACCAATATTTATATCCTTTACTTTTTCGCAGCTCTACTTTTTAAAAGCCGCTACGCAGCTAAATATTCTAGATCTTTCAAAACCCTGACTTATTTATTCGATAAATTTTGCCTTGCCAAAACAGATGTTTTTTTCTTCAACCATGAGATTTTTTTCACAACTTTATTCATTCAAAAGGAAACACAGGGAGACACTTAGAACTTCAAGTTGTGGGGGTATTGTCCGCGGGAAAGGCCGAACTGCGCCTGGAGGTATCCCTTGAGGTAGGGAGTGGCGGCGATGGGGGCGAGGAGAGCGGCATCGATGCTCTTCTGGTCAGCCTTTCGCTGCTCGGAGGCGGAGTACTTCTCCTGTGTCTTCTCGAAGATGCCCTCCTCGGTCTTCTTGGCGGCCTTGGTTCGCTTGAAGTAGGCGTCGTTGACGTGCTCGGGGACGGCGATGTTGGAGACATCGACCTTGGCGGAGGTTGCGATGACCTGGGAAGCGATGGCTCGTCGGAGTGGGACTCCGTTGACCTAAGAAAAGCGGGTTAAAAGGGATTGAAAATTTGACTCTAGAAATTGACACCCATCTTCATTTGATAGAAAACTCGACAAGCCGCTTGCAGCTTCAAGTTCTTAAAATTGATATCAAGGAAGAGTACCTTGTAAGGTCCGGTGACGAGGAGAAGTCCAGACTCGAGCTGCTTCAAGAAAACGACTCGCTTGCCTCGGTGGACACCGGTGAGGAGGATGAGGACGGATCCTGGGACGATGGAGGATCGGAGGCTGTGCTGGTGGGCGGAGAAGGTCTTCTGGCCGTGTCCGACGAGCTTCTTTCGGATGGAAAGAGTTGGGTAGTACTTGGGCTCTCGTCGAGCGACGACCTACACATTCATCTTTGAGAGCTAGAATTCAAGGAGGTGCGTATCTGCACTCTTGTGCTGTTAGCCAATCAAATACAGATCAGGCCAAGGGAACACTTGGTAGAGATTCAATACGACTGTCAGGAAGAAACTCGATGATTTACCTTTCGGGTGCCGCCGTTCTTGTCACCGCCGACGGTCTTGGTGGAGACGAAGGCAGCCTTCTTGGCCTCGACCTTGGTCACTGGCTTGGTTCGCTTGTGCTGGGCTCGTCGAGAATACATCTTCGATCGAGAGTACTTGGCGACGCCATTGACGGTGCTGTTGCGGGCCATTTCGGGTTAAAGTCCGTAAACAAAAAGTCTGAATAGGGAAAGGTCAGAAGCCGTGATTTTCTCGCCCGTTAGGGACCAATCTGAAGTGTTGCTTGTTTGGCGAACAAGACGAGACAGAACAGAGAGAGACGATTTAACGGTAAGATTTCTGGTATCGGGCTCGGGCGCCTGGACCGCCGAACTTCTTCGATTCCTTTCGTCGAGGATCGGAGACGAGGAGCGATCGGTCGTAAGAGATGAGGAGATCCTAAAGGTTAAAATGCGCTAGTAACGTTTGTTTTCTCGGAAACGAGGTTGTCACTTGCTGTAGCTTTGGAAAGAAAAGGGGCGATCATCATGCGAAGGGCGCAAAGCACTCAACTTCTTCAAAACGAAGAAAAGCTGTCAAGGGGTTCCCCAAATCCCTTCCGTGCCTACGCCCTTCGCACTCGAGCCCTATCAGAAGGTCTTTCCAAGATTGTTGTCACAAAGATAACTTTTGTCCTGTTTCATTTCGTTTGATCCGACATAAAAGCCGCAAGCGCCTTCTCGATTTCTTGATCAAATAAAATGAAACAAGATAATTGTTATCCTTCTGATAAAAATTTAAGAAAGAATTTCCGGTCCATTCCAAAAGCTGAAAATCCGTGACAAAGCTCACTGACTGGGGCAACAAGTAACCCTCTAACTGGAGTCTCCGCCTCGACAAACCTTGATCTCTTGTTTCGATTGTTCGTCGACGTACTTTTGGTAGTAAGCGACGACGGCTCGGGCGACGGCCTGTCGGATGGCGTAGACCTGGGCGACTCGACCACCACCCTTCACTCGAACTCGGATGTCAATACCAGCAAATCGTTCTAAAAGAGAGATTCTAGATGAAGTACAATTTATAAATAAAAATTTGAAAAAAAGGAGGAAGAAACTTACCCTTGCCGATGATGAGAGCAGGCTCCTGGAGTTTGAACTGGAGAGCTCGTGGCTCGATGAGGTCGAGTGGCTTTCCATTGACCTTGATGAGTCCCTGGCCGGCCTTGCAGTGGGCGACGGCGATGGCGGTCTTCTTTCGGCCGTAGACCTGGACGCACTGGGCATCGGCTCGTGGAGCAGACATTTTTTGATGATCCGGTTTCTGAATTCAAGCGTTTTTAGTCTCTTTCAGGAAAAATTTTCAAAAGCGCAGGAACTAAGATTAGAAAGGAAAGGATTCTTCATGAAGATCTCAAGCTTTTTCAGTTTTTGCGTAAAATCTCTGGATTCAGTAAAAAATTAGAGTTTTTCGGAGAATAGGAATGAGCGCGGCCGAAGACTGGCGGATCACGCGAGCGCCCACGCTAATTCGCAGCGCTGGCCAATCGCGAGCGCGCTGATCGTAAATTCTCTTGAGCTGAAGCGCGTTTGATTCAACAATCAAGGTCGATTTTTGATGAACTTTTGGAATTTATTGATAATTTACAAAATTGATAAAGAGGCTTAGGCGCGGAAGGATAAATAAATAACACGTAAAGCGAGTGAAAAGCCGCCGAGAATGTACAGTAAGACGACGTAAAATTCGATGCCGTCGTTGGCCATGATATTGTATAAAATCGGCATCTCGAAGTTTTCCAGCGATAAGCTTTGCTTTCAAAAGTTGAAACAAAATTGACTTTTCTTACATTTTCAATCGGAGATTCTCAAAATCAGAAGTCGTCATTTTCTTCATTCTTTCATTTTCATCAACTTTTCCTTTTCGGATTCCTTCAAATCTTTCGACATGAGAAGATCTCTCGCTTTCTGATATCTCTCCAAATCCTGTTTTTCCCTTTTCGTCGGAACCTTCGCCGCGAAATCCTTCATAATTTCTCCCAATTCGTAAATTCCGTAAAAAATCAAAATCCATCCAATAAACTCCAAGCTCCTCTGTTTTCTCGTGCTTTGATAAACCGGTAGTCCAGGAACAAGAGGCCCGACATTGGGAGCGATCCGATCTGGCGTGTTCCAGCCGTACTTTTCTGCGCGTTTCTGCATGTATTTAGGAAGAGCTTTGAGGTCTGTTACTTCTCGGCGTTTTGTGAGGGAACTGATCTCCAACTGGTCCTTTTTGTTTGCGACTTTGAAATGGTTACCAATTGATTTTTCTTGTTCAAAGGTTGATGAACATTTTAGGAGGCAAATGCGAAGGGTTTACCGACAATTTAGGCCAGAATTCTGCTAGTAATCACTGATTACTAATCAGTAATTTCCCGGATTCTTCTTCCTGACTGACTAAATTTTTAGTCTACTTTTCTTTTATTAGTCAAATTATCTTTAGTCAAAAACTGTTTGTCGTCAATACTCGAGAAGCCCCTTGCAGCTTCGAGATTTGATATTATAGCCGCGCGAAGCGCGGCTTTTTCAACCTCGAAGCCGCAAGCGGTTTCTCGAGTATTCGCGACAAAGAGTTTTTGACTAAAAGTAATTTGACTAATTAAAAGAAGACTAAAAACTTAGTCAGTCAGAGACAAAAATCGCGATAGAATTGTAACCCTAACCTGGATTGAGACCTGCCAAAGGAGAGTGTTTATTCGCCCTAATCAAAGTGGTCCTCAGCATTTTTGAGTCTGAAGACAACGATGATTTTTTGTGTGTCATTTCATTTGTACGTTTTTTATTATTGTATGTAGATTTTGAAATAATTAGATTGCACTCTGTATTTTCATGGGAAGCAAGAAAGTTGTAAAGAAATAGTGAAACTGAACGAATATTTGAAATATTGGGACGTGAACAAAATACACTCTTTTACTGTAATAAGTAATAATGAGCAAGTCAACCTGTGCAGAAAACCTGAGTCAGGATCTTGAAAATCTACAAAGTTTCCATTCCAGATTTCAGGCCCTGACTCAGGTTTTATACACAGGTTGCTGAGCCCAGAACAGAAGCGACTACAGTAATTGAGTTAAATTAAATGGTAAGTTGGGATTATTGTTTTGTTGTTTGGGAGGGTCAGCTCGTGGTGGAAATAAATAAAAACTTAAAATGAAAGTGATCGAACATGCAGTTGCTTGAAGTGTAACTAAAGTGGAGCTTAGGCACGTATTTTTCTCAATAAGATAAGACTTGAAAGTATCGTTTGACTGGGTTTTTTGACAGGAGAGTGATCAGGTTGTTGAACAGAAAAATGGTACTAGAAACTAACTCTTGCTTCGCGAATAAATGCGAAACAGATTTCAAATAATAGTAAATAAGTAAATAAAGAAAATATTAAAGAAATCATGAAATTGTAAATTTTATAAGGTTTGTTAATTATATCTAGATTCTTTCCCCCTGTTTTTCGGGAGTAAGACTGTAACTTTGTGGGCTTGACTGAAACTAAAACAGCTGGGCAATTTATTTCTTCTCAGATCGCATGCCGAACTCAGTATCGTCGTCCTCGGTGATATCTCCGTATCGCCAGAGATTGAGGCGGTTCTTTCTAGCGCTCTCCTGGCTCTCGAGATATTTCTTGTGCAACTCGGTCAAATGGGCTGGCGATTTCTTGACAGTCGTGCAGAAGCCTTGAGAAAGGAGCATCTCGCCGATGTCTTCTCCCTTTTTGAGAAGAGTCACCTAAATTGGAAGGTTCTCTTCGTTGATTTCAGTTGGTTTTCAAACCTGGGAAGTGGATCCTTCTCGGAGGTTCTCGTCGTTGATCGAGAATTGTTCGGGAGACTCGAGCATTGAGATGAATTCGTTGAGAGCGATCGAGCAAGAGTCCTAAAAGAGCGAGTTTTACTCGATTTTCTACCAAAAGAAAGGTCTACCTCATCAGATGGCGGCTTGACCAAAGCAAGCTGGTACTCGTTCGCCTGGGCAGGAAGAACAGCGGTGGAAAACTGCGCAGGGAGCGATGCAAGCTTGGTCACATGAACAAGAGCTCGGTTACCGTAATCAATGAACGTAATCGTCGCCATTTCGGAGCCATCCCGGCTGATTTTCTCAACTTTTCCTCGATACCAAAGTCCATCCTCGGCAAAGATCGCTCCGCAGACGTCATTTCTCTTCGCTAAAAATCGCTAGCGTCAGCGAAATGTATGGAAACTATAAAGAATACCTTTGTAAGCTCCAGCGGTGGGAGGAGTTTCCGTAAAGTAAGCACGCATTTCGTCAGTGAGTTTTGAAAGTTTCTCCTGCTCGGAGACCATTTGGCCATAGAAGCAAAGGTTCGCCGTCACTTCTGTAATGACGATTTCTTTCGGGTCGACGGCGCGGGAGATGGCTTTGCTTTCGGTTTCAACTTTTAAAGAAATCATGAGCAAGCATTCGCAAAAAAACTTTTGGTACCTGGCGCAACTTCCTCAACTGGAGGAGTCCAGTCCTTCCAGAGGCCGAGTTTGGCAGACTGAGCTCGTTCCTGAGCGGCGAGAAGTTCATTGGCGTACTTGCCCTGCTGGCCAGAGTAGTGGACCTTCGAGAGACCCTGCTCGACCAATTTGATAGACACATTGACTCGGTCGACGAAGAGATATCCGACGAAGCCACCGACCTAAATATGGGAAATGGTCTGATGCTTATCAATGCTAAATCACCTTGTCCATGGTATCGACTTCAATGGTGACGTCTCGCTGAGTCAGAAGAGACTTGGTGAAAGCAAGGGCTTCCTCGCCGTATGGCTCAGCTGGCTCGATGACTCCATTTCCGACTGGCCGCGCACCTCGTGGGCATTGAATACCACCGATGAGGAAGGTGAGGAGACAAGTTTCTGAAGATAAATTTAGCTACGGGTAAAGTGTCAGACATTAAAGTGGAAATCAAAAGTCACTGGACGTTTTTTCTTGTCTAAAACGTGGCCATGAATCATTACAGCAGAGAATTCTATAGATTTTCAAATATTTTCAAGTCGTTTTTAGTCTGGCACGTGTTAACAAAACTTTTCCACTGGAACAGAGTATGAATGGACGAGTAATTTTACCTTTAGGGACGAAGAGTTTCAGTCGAGATCCACTGAAGACATGGTCGACGATAGCATCGTTTTTCTTTCCCTTGAGGAAGGTAAAGAACGATCGCGCCTTGTGCTGCTCCTGGGAGACGTCAGACACCTTCATTGGCTCGGGCACGCTCTTGGAGAAGCAACCCTTGCCGGCTTTTTCGGCCTTGGATTCGGCATCTCGGAGAGCGTCGTACTCGGAGGATCGGTTGTTGTCGTCGTGACGATGTCGGATAGGCATGGCGTATCCTTTGGCGACAAGGCCTTCTGCTACGTTTTGACCTTGGAATCGGACGGTGCAGCAGGTTCGCTCGGGGTAGACCTGGCCGGCTTCTTCCGATCGTGGTCGGATGTAATCGATGACGACGTCGACCTTTTTGTTGACGAGTTTCTTTCGAAGGAACTCTCTGGCTTCGAACATGTAGGGAACGGTGTAGAGGTAGGGCAGACCTCGTCCCTTTGGAGCAGTTTTTTTCGATACTCATCTTGTCGAACTTGCGCCTGACATCTTCCTGGAGATCGGTCGCTCGAACAGGTCGAACGGAAGCGAAGAAGATCGTCTTGTGAGTTCCAGCAGCGTCGACAGTAATCGAATCAGTGTTCTCGATCTTGATGACTTTTCCGCTGAAGGATCGCTCGCTCTCGGGAATGTTGGCGTCTGGAGCAATGAAGTTCTTCCAGATTCTCTTGTTGGCGAGTTTGGCGGCTTTTTCAGCGTTTCGATACTTGGCTGGGTCGCTGCTGAGCATGCCCATTGACCAGTCGACGCACTTGGCGTATCCTTCCTTGAGAAGAGCCTCGGCGATGTTTCCAGCGGGGTGATGGACGGTACCGACAAAGAGGGGCTCTTTCTGGGTATTGCCCATGTTGGGGGCGACGCCTTCAATAGTGATGCTAATGTCCTTGTTCAGAAGGCGCGATTCAACGAAAAACTTGGAGATATCGAAGTATTCTTCCTTTCCATTGGGTCCTCGCTCGCCAGGAGCTCGGATACCTGTCAAAGAAAGGGTGATATAAGTGTTCAACGTGGGAAGACAGATTCGCATCATCGAAGCGTTGAAAACATGCTCGAGGATGGCCGGGAGCTTCTTTTTGAGATTATTCGCCAAGAAAACGTCCGCATCGGTGACAGCAAATACGATGTTTTGTCGAGGAGAAGGTCGGTCAGTCGCCCATCGTCCAAGACCTTCTTGCTCGGCTTTTTCTTGAAGATCGAGGAGTTTCTGAAGCTCAGCAATTTCCTTCGTTCGCGGATCGTTGTCGATGTTCGCCTGGCTTTCTCCATCCTTGGCTTCGGCTTGAGCTTGTCGAGCAGCATGTTGCTCGACTTGCTTCTTGACGTTTTCGCGAAGCTTGCAGTTTCCGGAAGCGATGCTCCACTCTGTCAAGTTCTCGCCAGAATCGTCAGCGCCGAGGTAAACGACGCCATAGGACACGTTCCTATCGGCCATGTCCTGGACCTTGAAATAGACCTCTTTGCCGATGATCTTCTTTCGGAGGGTCTCTCGCGCGGTCCAAGCGTACTCGCCGTCTCCAGATGCTGGGATGGCATCGTTGCCTCTCTTGGCAAGCTTGCCAGCGTCGATGTTGGAGAAGATGATGGTTTTCTCAGCTGGAGGGCCGTTCTTTGGCTGACCACGGACGATGATATGGTCACCAGAGGTAACAGCCTTGACGACAGCGCGTCCACCAACCTTGAAATCAATAATTTGGGCAAGAAATTCATCATTTACTGAATCATCTCGATTCAATGAATGAATACCTTTGTTGCAGAAGCCATCTTTAGATCAATCACGAGTACGCACCGATTACTATGCAAACGACTGAAAAATTAAGCGTCAATCAAAGAAAGTTGAAGCGGGGAAAATATCAGAAATTTCTATTGTGGAAAACAATAACAGAAGGGTTGGAAAAAGTATCTTGCACAGTTGGTGGTTCGACGATGACGTTGACATGCTCCACTCGCTCAGGAGGTGGGTCAAATAAACTGAAGGAGGGGTTAGAAATGGATGGTGGTTTTTAGACTTACCCGGGAGCGTTGAAGTCGGAAAAGTGATCGTCAAAGTTTTGAACTGACAAATAATCGGGCACGTACTCCTTTCTTCGAATAATGACGCTTGGGTGGATGATTTCTTCTTTCTGAAATCGGTCGTTGAGGACAATGACAGATTGCCGATCCGGAATCTGCCGCTTGTCGCAAATTTTCTTGTGGTTGGCGATTGACTGCGCCGAAGACGCGCCAAAAGGGCAGTCTTTGTTGGTGCACTTGAGCGGCTCTTTCGCCCAAGTTTCGATGTGCTTCTTGTTGTGCCGCTGCACTTTTTCTTTGTCGTCGGTTCTGAAGCAATGGGCGTAGAAATTACAGCGGTATTTGAATGATTTGTGGCGCTCCTTGTGCTTCGCCAGGGACTAAAAAGTAAACAAATGAAATTGAAATTGACGAATAACATTTTTGGGCACACACGCACCTGAGGGCACGAGACAACTTTCCCGCAGGTTTTTCCATCCGCAAGTTTAAAGTCGCAAGAAAACGGCGTTTCTCCAGGTGGAACAACTCTGAACTTGCACGAGTTCAGATTATGATTATTGAGCGTCGCGGTCGACTTGAAATTCTTCCCGCACATGTCGCAAATGAAACTGCTGCTACCCTCGCCCTCTTCAGCTTTGTGATACGCCGATTTGTGTCTTTCCATGTTGCTTTTTCTCTGGGTTTTATAGTCGCATTTGTCGCAAGAAAGTAACGGTGTCTTTTTCGAACGGTGCTGCTCGCGCATATGTCTAGTTAGACTTTCCCTGTGAATCGTGGTGAACGGGCAGTTTTCCTCGCTGCATGAGAGCGTTTTCTTATCAGCAGCTTCTGTTGAATGCTTGGTCGAATGATGACGTTGGAATTTATTCGGTAGGGCGAAGCGAGAAGAGCAGTCGGGAAACGGACACATTAGAATCTTCTCATGGTTGCCTCTGAACTTCTTGCTGGCGGGTTCTTCGACTGCGCAACTGTCCATATTTGGGCACAATCGAAGCGAACAAGAGGCGCATTTTGGATGAGATTTGGTGTGGGTCAAGTAGTCCGGGAGGGGAACTAGATCATCGCAGATGACGCATAGATACTCTACTTTTTCTCCCATTCAATTCTAAAAGTTCATTGATTCAAAAACGAGCATAAAAAATAAAACTACATTTTGATCTTGAGAAAATAAAGAGTTGCAAGAAAAGGCAGAGAAAAGAATAATGTAAAAAGAATGAGGCGCGAATCAGAACTCAGGGAGATCAGCGACATCCTCCCGATCTTCCTCAAGGAGATCAGCGTCGCTTTCAGACGTGTCAGAATTTTCAAGGGCTTGTTTCATTTGGTTTTCAATCTCTTCGCGGGCGATTTCTTGAAGCTTTTTGGTGATGCGGGTTTGGGCTCCGTGTGAAAGAGGTTTTTCTGAAAGGGATTATCGGAATGAAGAAAAGAGAAAGAGGAACCTAAGAGTTTGAGAATGTCTAGGACGAAATCTTCGTCGAGATGCTGAACTTGATTCATCATGCTCTGGACGAGTCGATCATGTCTGGAATTCGCAGTTTCCAGCAGTTCTTGTTGCTCAAGCTCGTTTCGGAGGATTTCCAGCTCGATTTTGTCCACTTCGGCTTGTTTGATAGCAATGGCGAGGTTGTCTTCTATGTTTTCAACCTGGGGAAAGGTCTTTTTCGGTTGAGGTTTTTGTTGTTTTTGCTGCTTCGGCGTGTCTCTTAAAATGAGCCCTTGGAGTAGTGCGATGTCTTTTTCTAAATCGTCCAGGGCGAGATTCATGTTCATCCTTTTTTTCTTTGTTCTGAAGAAAATGGATTTGATACACTTGGTAATTTTGAAGTTTTGAAGGTTTATTGTAGATAAAGTTTTAAAATATAGATTTAACATCGTTGAGAAAACGTCACAGAAAAGTTGGGAAGAGCATTTTTAAAATTATCCGATGTACAGGAAGGATAAAACGAAAAGGCACGAATTGGGAGGAATTGAGAATTGTTTCTTGAATATTTTCGATATTTTTCGATACAGATTAGGGCATCAAGGAAGTAAGGTACTGATCAGCGAGTTGGACGAGATCGATGCCGTAGGACTTGTTCAGTCGGCGGTAGATTATGAAAGAAATGGCTAGAATCAAAAACCACATCAGGAAGAATGAGGCAAAATCATTTTCACGACGCGGGCGAGAAATTTCCACTACATCCTCTTCCACAACTTCTACGTCTTCTTCGGCGTTTTCCTCAATTTTTCCATCGGCAAGCGGATTTGTTTCTTCAGGGGTAGCTACCGGAAGAGCTTCGGATGACTCTTCATCTGGGCTAGCAGCAGTCTCGTTGTCATTTTTATCTGAAAAGAGGATAAATGAATCCCAGCGAAGAGAGGCGAAGGATTATCGCGAATGTCAGGATAATGTCAGGGAAAATCGCAAGAGAATTTCTCTTCTCGACTTTCACCTGGAGAATCTTACCAGTAGCTTGTTCGGACGAGTCATTCCCGCTGGGCTTGCTGGTAGTCAACTGGCTCGAATACTTTTTGATTTCCTCCTGCTCTTCGCCTTGATCGTCTGATTTGTCGAGGAGAAGATCTTTTGTTGCACCACAAGTTTTGCATTTGAAATCGACGGAGCGTTTCGTCAAAACGCTTCTTTCTTGATCTGTATAATCTGAAAACACAAAATTGAAAAATAAACCTTCAGAAGAAATTTAATTTAAAATTTTTAGTTTCATTTACCTAAACTTCCAATAGCGCCATTTCCATGAGTCGGCATAAACCCTATCATGGCCAAAAGCGCCGTGCGAATGGACCAGCTGGGTCGCCAAGTTTCGGGGTGATAGCCGCTGATCGAGAGACAAATCTTTTTGTGCAGCTCAAAGCGGCCATTCGGAGTCATAAAAATCACATTTGGCGGCTTCATTGGATACTCTGGCGGGAGCACGATTCGCCCGTGATAAATGCCTGCAAAATTAAATTTTGAAAATCGATCAGAAAAATGGATAGTACCGTTTTCAAAGACAGTATCTTCCGGACCGCGGATTGTAAAATGCCACTCGAATAAATTCTCCTCCAAAGGCTGGGCGTAGTAATTGTAGGTGGGTTCGTGCAGTTCTGCGGCTTCTCGGAGCAATCTTTTAACTGCCTAAAAATCGTTGAATTTTATCATAAAAATAAAACATGGGATACCCAACAATGTTGGGCCAACATTTTAACGAATTCATTTATGATGTCCCCATTTTAACGGATTTCAGATGCTTGTTCATTCTAAAATACATTAAATTGGGGACATATTTAATGAAAATTTCCCGGGAAGGGGTATCCGCTTTTGGATTTCAGTTGACTTCAATGAAATCTAAAAGCGGGTACCTATTTTAACGGAAATTTTTTATCAAAGATGTCCCCAATTTAACGTATTATAGGAATAACAAGCCTCTAAAATACGTTAAAATTCGGACATGCTAAGATTATTTTTCCATTAAATGGGGACCCCAAATTTTATTGAAAATCATTTTCTTGAACTATTATTTTTTTTTCTTTATTAAAATTTATCTTTTTTTAAAATTACCGGAGATCTTGAATTATATCTCGCCGCTGCCATTTTTCAACTAATTCTTTTCTTCTCAATAAATTCTTTTCTCTTTTTCTTCTGAATTTTCTCTCTTCTGATTTCCGAATAAAAAAATCCGCGATCCATTGAAGCATGACGTGGCCCTTGACGCAGCTCAGTGGCCGGCGGCGATTGGTCAAGCCCGATTTAGCGTAATTTTTTCTCGAAGTTCGAAGTTCTCGTCGACCGAGAGGGCGAAAAAATGGACTCAGAAAATAACCGGTTTTCGAACTCGATAATTCATCAAGAATGTAACAACGTTGTCGAGCAGTTTTCGTCGGACGAGGACGATCAGTTGGAAACGCTAGAATTGAATATTAGCAGGTGCAGATTAATTTCAACTCTAGAGTCAGCGATTTACTAGAAAAGGGTTCAAGATGGTCTTTTTCGAGGTCAAAGATGTCTACGTCACGAAAATTGACCTTTGACCTCGAAAAAGACAACCTTGAACCGTTTTTTGATAATTTTAGATTCTAGAATGATTGAATCACCACAATCACGATTTTTTTTCCAAAAGAAAAGATTCGTAAGATTTCTTGAAAAATCTAGAAGTAATTAAGAACGGTCCGAAAAGGGTTCAAGTTCGTCTTTTTCTGGTCAAAGGTCAACTTTTGACTCAAAGACAACCTTTGACCCTGAAAAAGACAATAGCGGAAACCCTTTGTCGAACCGTTTCTAGTTGATTCTAGATTTTTCAAGAAATCTCACGAATCCTATCTTTTGAGGAAAGTTTCGTCATTTGGGTTCAATTTAACTTTCTCGCGTCAAATTTGCCCCACTTTTCTCAGAATAGTTCCCAAGAAAAGTCAAACAATTCCAGAAGCTGGCTTTCTTCCCAAGAAATTCTGTCATTTTCCAGAATTTCAAACCCTCGCCATTTCCCACAATTCCGTTTCAGAGATTATTTTACCAAAAAAGCTGATTTTTTCATAAATGAGAAACAATTTTCTTATCCCTAACAGCTACTTTGTAGAATGGCCTCTCAAAATTCTGAAAACGACAACGAAGAAAGCCTAACTTCTGGTTTCGCCCCTGTAGTTCGTTTCGAAGAAGACGAAGAGGAAGAAGAGAGTGAAGAAGAAAATGGACATTTGACAGAATCCGAGTCTGAACTTTCAAATTCATCGAGTTCGGAGACCCTACTTCGCGACGAGCAATCCTCTTTCGACGAGGAAGAAGATTACGACATGCCAGAACTGGAAGACGATCCAGTCCAAAGAATCCCAGCCGGTGTTTACGCTCCTCGAACCGAGCCGCTTCCAGAAGAAGAGGAAGAAGGGGACGAGCGCGAATGCTGGGTCTGTTTTATGGGCGACGATCCAGACAGTCCTGGAGCCGAGTGGGTCCACCCTTGTAAATGCACTGGCTCCGTTGGTTTTGTGCACCAAGATTGCGTCAAACGATGGGTCGCGGAAAAACAGAAGAATCGCCTTGATCTTGAAGGTTTCTTTTTCTAATAGTAAAAATTTGGGCGAAGAAAGATTATTAGTCGAATATTTAGTCGAATTCTTCAAACGCAGAAAAAATAACCCTTTCTTTTTAGTGGAGTGTCCACAGTGTCAAGAAAAGTACCGCTTCGTTTTCCCAAAAATGAGCCCTCTCTTCTACGGCGCCGCCCGACTGGACCAGTACATCAACAACGGCGTTTTCGTCGTCACCTGCACCGGCGTCATCGCGGCGATGAATCTGGCGACGATGTTCTACTCCCGAAACGTGATCAAATGCATCGTCGCCGAAGAGTTCGAAATCGACAGCATCTTCACCGACAACTGCTACACTCTCGATCCGTATCGACAAATGCTCGTCGAAATGAGCGGAATGAACTTTGAAACCTTCGATCGGGTGATTGGATCCGTCAGTCTTCGTTTCTTCCCGATTTCGTTGTTTCTTCATGTAAGTGGATTGCCAAGTCTAGAGTTGGAAATTTTTTTGAGCTGAGCTGAGCCAGTTAAAAACTAAATATTTTTAATGAAGCAGATCGAATTGAGCCAGCTCATTTTTATTTGAACTAGTTAAGCTCTTCTGGAAAATCTAAGCCAGCTAAGCCAGCTTAGCTTTTTCTGAGCTAGCTCAGCTCACTTTAAGCCAGTTAACTTAAGTTTGTGCCCGCTCAGGTCATTTTAAGTCAACTCAGCTCACTTTGAGCCAGCTCAGCTCAGATCAGTTTTAGCTAGCTAACTTTGCTCAAAATAATTTGAGCCAGCTCAAGTTCCCCTTAGCGTAGCTGACTTAGTTCACCCATAAACTCGGAAAATTATTTCAACTCTGGCGCAGCCCGGTTTCGGCGAATATTCTATCGATAATCGAAAGGTAATAATTCCCTCTTTCTAGATCCCAAAGAGTCTCATCGTCCTTTCAAGTAGAACGACGAGCTTTCTTTGGAGACACATGGTCAGGTCGCTGAAAGACACGCTCATCAGTTGGGCCATACCAGCGACGCTCGTGACGCTGAGGAAAATTAACTGGGACGAGCCGTTGTTGAATAAGGTAAGCGGCCATTTTCTTACAGAGGGTTTTTGAAATATTTAATTAATATAATTTACCGGCGGATATAAGTACCTGAGAGCGAGATAGAAGTTTCCAGGGGGATTAAGGGAACTCAGAAATATCGCTAACAATTTTCATGTCAATCAAGATAAAGAGAACCTGAGTTAGGGTCCAGAAGGAGCTCTTTTTAAAGCTCTTTTAGGACCCTGACTCAGGCTTTTACACGGTTTGCCGAGCTCAAAGTAAAAATATCTAGCTGCTAGTTACTTGCCCATAATGTCTACCTACTAATAATTTCCGTTAGATCGCGGAGTACCAAAACACAACTCAAAGATACGATCCCCCTCGCGCCAAGTCCTCGCGCTACTTTATCGGTGGTTTGATGATGCCTTTCTGCGCTAGAATCGTCGGGGACATCGTCTACCCCCAAGTTTCGCCTGGAAGAAGGTTTCTCTACGGAGCAGCAACGTATCTTCTTGGAAAGGGAATTTACAACTTCACAAGAAAGTATTTGACCAGAGAATGGCAGAGGAAACGAAAAGTAAAGGATTACGTAGGAATGGGTCAGAAAATGTTGAATATCCATTTTTTATGAAAATAAAAGGGCTCTTTCTGACCCTGTTTCCGAGAAGGCCAACCTCACGAAGACGAAAACAACCTTCCGCAAACATTTTCCATCGAGCTTCTCATCGGCCGCGAAGCTTGATTATTCGAAAAAGCGACTTCCTGCCATTTCAAATTCAAAACATATTCTCCTGTATTTAAAATTGTACATTGCGAAACTAAACTCCGACTGCTTCAATCAAAACTTCTTTCGATTCATCCTTTGCAATTTCTAGAGCTGCCATGGCGCCGCAAAAAGGGAAGGAAGGCACGAAAGGGCAGAAGCAAATTGATTTGGAAAACAAAGAAAGCTTCAAATTCAACAATTTAATCGGCCTCTTCGGCTTGGCTGTCAGTGCACTAGCGACGTATCTTCATGATTATGGCTACTCACTGCCTCTTTTTGGGTAATTTCCTAGCTTTTTAGTCCAATTTTTAGTCAAATAATTTCTAATTTCAGTCGTAAATACGATTGTATTCAAGGCTTTCTTTTTAGTCAAGTTTTCATCGCATTTTAGTCGTTATTAGATAAGCCTCATTTAAGTCATTTTTAGTCAAAATAGTCATTTTAGTCTAATTATGCTCTAACTCAATTTTAGCCAATTTATATTTAAAGTTTTAAGTCTTATTTTTATCCATTATTGACTTTTATCATCTATTAGTCTTTTTCAAATCAATTTTAATCAACTTTTTTAGTCTTTTCGTCCACATCGCCATTTACTGGATGCTCTCCGCGATGATCAAATCGGGATTAGACATCAATGTTTCCACAGGAACAGCGGAGCAAGCGAAGGATATTCTGTACATTACTGTACTTTGCGAAGTTATTTCGCTCTTTTCCATCTACGGCTGGTGGCTTTGGATCATCATTCCAATCGTAGCCGTCGTCAAAATCTGGACGAATTTCATCGGTAAGAGTGAAAATAGATTCATTATGTTTATTTTTCGTAGCTCCCTGGATCTTCCAAGCTCCATCTCCAGAAGAAGACGAACGGGCGGACAAGAAAAAGCTAAAAATGGAAAAGAAAATGAGAAGAATACAGTCCCAAGGCGGCTATGTTCAACAGCGCTGATTTCATTTTCTGTGAATAGTAGACTATTTTACTCTTTCTATACGAGAGCAGCTTTATTTAGATAAATTTACACTTCTTCATTCTGAAAAATAAAATTGAAATTGAAAACATTGATTGTCCAATTTTTCGGCATCATTAATTTTCAGAGTAAAATAAAACAATGTCGAAGCGTCAAAAAGTCCAATATTCCGGCATGGGCGGGGAGCCCGCTTTTCTAGCGGCCTTCAAAAAACGAGTCGGTTACCAAGAACCGGAAGAAGACAAAGATATGGAGGCGAAGAAAGCAAAGTTGATGAAGGATTTCGACGAAAGAGAACTCGACGATGAGGTAGAGTTTCACGCCTTTCGCGGTTTTTTGTTCATATTTTTTAGCTTCCCCAAGTTGAGCTAGGAAAAGGCGTTTCCGCTAACGAAGCTGAAACATTCCTTCAAAGGTAGAAGTTTCCAAGGATACAGATGTGACCTTTTATAAGAGATTTAGACGCACAAAAGGCCGAGAAAGCGAAAGCTGAAGGCAAATCACCCGAGGAATCATCCAACACTGCCAAATCCACAACGGATGAGTCAAAACCATCTGCTACGGACCCGGAAGAGAAGAATACTTTGCCCCAAGTTGAGCCCAAGAAATCGACGGTTATACAAGTCGGGCTGAAGTCTGAAAAGTCCGAAAAGAAGAAGAAAAAGAAGTCGAAAATGAAAGCCGTTAAAAATTCGAAATTACTGTCTTTTGGAGACGAATAAATCAGTTCTTGATTCATCCAAAACAACTTTTACGAGGCTTTAGGAATGTGGAGAATAGTTGTTACGAAAGCGTTGTTTACCACTTTCCCTTCTTTCTTTCCCTTCTTTCCAGCACAATGAAAAGTTGCGACAGAGTCAATCTTGCTCACTTGAAAAACATCGCTTTTCAGAGAAAATAATAAATAATAATGAACTCACTGCCTGGCGATTTTCATAATTTCTGCCCAGAAGAGCATATAAACTCATCCGCATTTCCTCAATATTCAGGTAACTGAAAGCTTAAAAGAGTAATTACCAGATCATCAGCGTCATTATTCAGGCGCCCTTGATATTCACGGAGATGGTTCAAATGTTCATACTCATTATCCAACGAATTCATCTTCTCTGCCTCATCTCAGTGAAATCGAAGATTTTCCTACGGAGAAAACCCGACAATTCGACAATATGTTTACTTTTGGATCTTTTGATGACCTTCATGGAGAGGTAGTTAACGGATTTGTTGCAAATAATATTAACTAATCATCAATTAGATGAATATCGAAGAGAATCCCACTATCAACCGCGAGATCCGGTCTTCAACCGTCCTTCAGGAAGAAATAGTCGTTTATGAAGACACAGGAGCGAAAAGAATCAGACTCCAGGGAAGTTTCGTCGAGCTCAAAGATGGATTTACAAAGAACTCTCTTGAGGATTCCCATGCAAAGTCATTTCAACAAAACAACAACGATAACGTCGATTTTCATGCTGATAATCGGATTGTATTGACGGATCTCGACGAGATACAGTTGCACGAACTTCTACCCATTCAGCCTGTGTCTTCGTTTCAAAACGACGATGTCCAGCAATTACCAATTCAAGAAAATCCACCTGAAGACAACCAAGTTTTGGTCGTGCCACAGGCTTCTGATAATATGATTGCGTCTTTCAAAGATATATTTTTGAAGAAGCATCTCTTTGCTACCACTCCTGAGGAAACACGAAAAGCTGCTGCAGAAGTAAATTTAAAAATCAATACAAATTTTTTATGAGGGACGATTTTAGTTTCTCCTCTCTCACGACCAGGTCCAACCGGTGAAAGATAGAGCGAATGGAACCTGCGATCGTGATCGTCACTTTCAGTGTGATTTCTGCCCGCTATTCTCGCCCCAAGTTCGAAGCTTCAAAACAATGGAAGCTTTATGGCGTCACTTCTGCCAGCACTTAGGACATTTCAAGTTCAACTGCAGCCACTGCCCAGCCTGGAACCCGAAAGGATTCTATCGGCAAGACAAGTTCGATGAGCACATGAAGGTAAGCTCATCTCATGAAATTTCCAATAAAATTTGTCAAGAAAAAGCATCCACAAGTTCCACTCCGCGCAAAACGACCTCGAGCAGCGAATAAGAAGAAAACCCTGCGAGATTCTGCAGGTCATTCTGGCTGAATCGACCGTTTCACTGTCATTTTTAAGTTAAATCCGCCTTGTTTATTCTCGACTGAAAAAGCTATCGCTAGCCTATCGCTTCAAAAGCAACAAAGTATATTCCCTTCAAATAAAGAAAAACTATTTTACGAGCGAGTTTATTAAATAAACAGTGTTCCAAGCAAAATCATCAGAGAAGCAATTCGAGAACTAGCAGATCTATCTTCATTCTCTCATTTTCCGAATTGATCATTGATTGAAAATGGCGAGTGCGAAGGTTAAGAGACAAGCAGATACAGCAGCGGCACTAGAAGTTGTTTCTTCTGTCGTCGCTTCTGTTGTCGATCCAATGTCATCTGCAGGCTCAGCAAATGTTATTCTACCTTCTAAGGCACTTTTGATAGGCGAGAATAGCTTCGTTGCTTCCACAGTTACTTCAATGTCAATTCCAAGGCGTTTTCTAGTCAGTTGAATTTCTGGATCTCTATTCAAATGATTCTTTATGAATTCTCTCGAAAACAACGAGGAATTAGCAAGAATCCTGTCCTGAGCAAGTCATATCCATCACCTCCCTTCGCAGCCAAGAAATCGCTCGAAACAAAGCAGTATTCTTTTTCCTCGACGATTTCGGCGTAAGAAAGTTCTCCAGTTGTTTCGTCCTGAGTTTTGACTTTGAGATCGGCGACTCTGGAAAATGGTTCTTTTTCCATGTCATAAACGACTTTGACGCCTGAGAACTGTAGGAATTCTCCAGGGTTAGAGTCTTGAAGCGGGTTCATAAAATGAACTCTATTCTATTTTCCGGAATTTATTGAAAAAAGTTTTCTGCGGAAATAATGATTTGTCTGGAAACCTTCAGGCTCCGATTCATTCATCTGATAAACAGTCCTAAATGTCAATGACGCTAGTATGTACCCCGATTCCTGCAGCTTCGACATATCTCCGCACCCCGGTTTCCACAGTTTGCCTCAATATAGTCCCATTGACCACAAGTGAGTCGAAAAACCCATCAAATGGAAAAACCGTCAGCATCTGCCCGTAATTGACTTTTCCGGCTGAAATCGAGGCTCTTATTCCTCCTGAGCCGAGCATAGCTATGTGACATGCTGTGGGAGCAGCGTCGGAACCGGCGGAAAAAGTCGATTTTGGTGGTGAACTACGGCATCGGCGGCCCAGTTACCCATCGTGCACTCTCGACGACGGCAGCTGGTTCTGTCTCCGTCTAAGAATGTTAAAGCGTATCCGATTTCTTCCTCGGTCAGCTGGTCGACCGCGACTTTCCATTTCTCGATTTCAGCGAGAACATCCTTGTCCTTCTCAATTTTCTCGTCCAGGATTCTAGGAGCGCCGCGGACCAGATCTTTCTGCAGAACGTATTTTCCATCAACGAGGTGGAATTCCAAGTCTACTACTCCCAAGTATTTTCTATCCAGGGCTCAATTCTCTTTCCCACAAAAAGCATGAGAGGATCTTGAATCGAGCCCTCTCCCATATTCGAATGCGTGGCAAATCGGAAGATCATTTCCGTGGACGTTTTTCTCCCACGTCGGATAAGGCCCTTTTGACTTGTCAGCATCAATCGGATCAATATCGAGCTGGTCCGTGTACATCAAGCTGTGGCTGTGTCCTCCAATGATCACATCAAGATCTACCTGACTGGCCATTAGCTTGTCCTCTGACAGACCGTAATGGCCGACTCCGATGAGAATATCGGCATTTTCGCTCATTCTGAGTTTTGCGCTCTCTTCCTTGACGGTTTCGAAAATGAGATTTCCTGTGTCGGAAATTTCCGGAGTTTCTTCCGTTGTGTAGCCGATTATTCCGATCTTTGGCGATTTTCTTTTCATATTCAATTTCAATTTCGAGCTTTTTTCTGATAAAATCGTTCCTTTAGTTGTTCGATATCGAGAGAAAGGGTCTTCTGGAATTCGCCTTGGAGAGAAGGCTCGTTCTTTGCGTCAATATTTGCCGATAGAATCGGAACTTTGCTGCCAGCTGTGAAATTACCGATAAAATGCTCGACGAAATTGTCCACGCCGCGGTCAAACTCGTGATTTCCGATAATAAACGCATCGTAGCCGAGGACAGAAACAAAATTTGCCGCGGCAGCGCCTTTGTAAGTGTTGTACCAAGGAGTGCCTTGACTTTGGTCCCCGGCGTCGAGAACGAGAACTGGGTTTTCACGGTTTCTTCGGATTTCGTTGATCAAAGTTGCTCTTCTAGCTGCTCCGCCGTAGCATGGACCTTCTGGTTTACAGGCATTGCCGCTGAAAATTTGAAAATGGTTTTGAATTCAAATAAAAGGGCGATGATTTCTGTAGGATTCGGAGGGAGGGTCGCTTTCGTAGATAATTTCGTATATTCTCTTCTATGATTTCAAAGGGGTACTTACTATGCATCAGATTCCACAAAATGAGCGTGAACATCATTTGTATGCACGATGGTCAATTTGAATGTCTCCGGGCGGGGGTTTTCGGAATCATTTTCGTTCCCAAAAACAGCTCTGAGGAGCAAAAGGAAAATCTAAAATATTCACAATTTCTCTCTCATTTCCATATTTCTCATAAAAAAATTACCTGGCGGGAGGAAATCATCGATCTTTCGACGATTTATGATGCAAATGAGCTCTGGGAGGAAGTAGTACTTCAGTAAGTTGATGAAACTTTTGGCAAATGTTTGACTTTTGATGACGCGCTATAACGACAACTTTTCTCGACTGATTTTCATAAACACCTCTTTCCCTCTGAAACGCGATCGAGAATCTTGGGAACTCCCTTTCGATTGACACGAAGCAAGAGGGCGATAAACACGATTATGAGAATATCTACTATTTATAACTTTAAATATTATTATTTACCCGTTTTTTTTTTGTTGTCGACGATTTTACTGTTGTTGTGGTTCGTCTCGTAGTAGTTGATTTTGTAGTTGCTTGTCTTATTTTTGCGATCAAGATTTAGCCTTGAAGGCAGAGTGAAAAATGCAACCCTAAACTTTAATCGATTTGGAGAAAAAAAAAAGCGTCCCGTTATCGAATTTCCTCACCCACCAAAATTTTGCCTGAAATATCATCGCTTCCTTTTGGATAATTTCAAAAAAAAATTTGCGGGTCCAGAAATCACAAAAAATCTGAAAGTGCAGTTTTCTTCAGCTCGTCGAGACGAGTCGAATGATGTGTCAAACTTTTGATGACTCCAATGATTGACCGGTTAACCGGCAATTTCCCGAAAAATACATTTCCGGTCGCCGTTTTTGTTCTAGAAATGCTAGAATGACAAAAAAAGGGGGAAACTGGTCCTTGAAGTTAGTTCTTCTGTGGGCGAAAAAATGAGAATCATATCTCTAACCATAAGATGCTTATCACCAAAATTCTATTTTGTTATGAAAATGGGACTGAAATTTAGGAAGGTGCAGCAACAACGAAATACATACAAAATTTAGAATTTTTATCGTTAAAAAAAGTTACGCTATATATTTGACCAATATCCTTTTGCCCACAGTAAAACTGACCATAAGGATCAGTTTCCGGGTTCATTCATCATCCTAGCATTTCTAGAACAAAAACGGCGACCGGAAACGTATTTTCCGGTAACCAGCCGGTTAACCGGTAAATCCTTGGAGTCATCAAGAGTTTGAACCACCATTCGACTCGTCTCAAAAAGCTGAAGAAAGCTGCACTTTCAGAATTTTTACGATTTTCAGACCCGCAAAAATTTTTTTGAAATTATCTTGATAGTTCTTTTAGTTATCGCTGTTTGTTTGGTCGTTACTGAACCTTGTTGGCTACTAGAGTCTCTCTCATCTTTACCGTCTTCGCAATCTTTGAGTTCAACGCAGTTTGATCTGAAGTCTCATTATTTCACTTGATTTCTTTCAATAAGATCAACTGTGAACCCTTTATTGACCTTGAATGAAATATTTCTTGTGAACTGGAGAGCCGGGCCGCACATGCCCAGATTAAGGTATTTTTTGTCGATTCGATGGCACTGGTATTTTTTGTTGATTTGAAGTAGGCCCAAGAAAAACAGTCGCTTTCTTGCCTGAATTGAACAACAAATGGTTAGATAAAAATTATAATATTCCTTATTACAGTCATCATTGCATGAAGTGACCTGTACGTGATCAGAGTTTGAAAAAATGGTGAGCGCTCATGCTCACTCGCTCACCATAAAATTCCGGGCCGCCGCTCCTCCTCACTCGCGCTCGCCAACAGTCATTTAACTTCTCAATACACGTGGTCGGTTCAACCGACCACGGCGAGTTTGAGCCGCCGTTATTTCTCTTGTGATAATCCGTTTGACCTGATTTTTGTAATGTGAGCTAAGATGACTAAAACGAACCACTTTCTGAAATTTTGGATGTTTTCTCAAAAGTGGTGGCGTTTTGCATCGGATTCATCTTTCATTCTACAGCTGCAAATCCAGAAAGTGTTTTTCAAAAGTAATTGTTTATCCTGATAGGTGAGTGTTCAAGCTTTCCAGGGATATGAATTGTTACCTTTTTACCCGCCGCAAACGAAAGTTAAAGCTAAAAGTTTTGAGCGCTCTTTCTGACAATCCGAATTTTGCGCGCCGCGCGGGGCTGAATAATGCATTGTGGTCCCCTCACCCGACCCCGTGTTTTGAGCGCTTAGTTGCGCGCCCGTGTATTGAGAAGTTAAAGTTTATCTAACCTGGAGACAAAGTGTTACGATATTTGAGAAATTTTTCTTTTGATCGCGTTAGAATGCCCGTAATTGACTTTTTAAATTGAATAATGTGTTAAAAATCATAATTATTAAAATATTGAAAGAAAAACTCGCTAGAAAGGCCCCCGAAAAGCTGCGAGTGAGCGTGAGCGAGCGAGCGAGCGCTCGTGCTCGCTCACTCAACAAAAATATTTTGGGTCTGCGCTCGGGGTGACGGCGGATTTCATTCTTTTTAAAGAATCATTCTTTTTTCAATATTCTAGAGACAATTAGGTAAAAAAAGGTTTTTCCGTCCTTTTAGTTATTCTTATAAAAGAACGATTCTTTGCGAAAAAGAACCATTCTTTGAATAAAGAATCATTCTTCACAAAGAATGGAATCCGCCGTCTACCTGCGCTCGCGCTCACTCACTTACGAAAAAAATTGTTGAGTGTCTACTCGCGCTCGCTCACTCACGTCGTAAAACTAACCATAATCCACCATCTCAACGTCGATGAATAGCGAAATAAAACAAATCTTCCATGATTAGCTCTGTCGACTTCTTTGCCCTTTTTCCCTTTTGAAATGGATAAAACAATCGGTGCTACTGAACTTGGGCTCAGACGATAGAGAATATTCATGGAAGAGGCTTACAATTTTTACACCAATTGTTTTGAACCAGAGAGTGAATTCTTTGAAGGCATTCCAATAACTGCATTTCCTAATACAACAGGTAGACTTTGTTTATTTTAAGGACCCCCCTCAATTCGATAAATTCATTCTCGGTTGAAAAACAAATTTTTCAGCGGATGAAGATATCCAATCTGGGCATGAAGATTCTCTCGAAGCAAACAGTGAATTTTACAGATGGTTTCACTGTCAACCCATGAACACCTGCAACGGTAGTGGAAATGAAGGGCAACCGGGGAATTACGAAAATCAGCAAAAGAACTTGGAGGACTTTGAAAGCGCTCTCGAATTTATTGCCAGAATGGACGAGAAAGAGAAGACGCCGGAGAAACAAAAAATGGAAAGAGAAAGAGTTGCCGTAATCACCCAGTGGCTCATGAACGACACTGATCTGCCGGCTCCAAATCCGAGCTGCCCGATTCGACATTCGTTTTCCCCCTTCAAAATTAATAATCAACCTTTTTTTGGACAAGAGCAAATCTGCAGTCCTGGTAACGCCTTTCGTCATCCTCAGTATTTCACTTATTTCAGGCCCAATAGATTGGATGCCTTCGAACTCATCAACATCAATTGCTGACAATCCGATGACTTCACGGAAGAATTTCGTCCCTGATGATTATGGTCATACGGATCAAGTACTGTGATTTTTCATAAGGCCTTATCGGAGCGTATAAGTGTCACGTGACTATCATAATATGCATAAAAACACATTTTTAGCCAAATTATGAGGAGACTTCAAAAATGAGGGACATCCCTCCCCCCATCCGTCAATCAACTGATCATAAAGACCGAAATTGTGAAACCGTTAAAGCAAAGAAGCCAAGATTTGATGATTCTCTCGCACGCATTCATTACAGTCCAAAAGGGGGCCAAGCCGACCCGAAGGGGAGGCCACACGCATGCATTCATTCCAGTCCGGAACAGAGCCAAGCCGACCCGAATACCGATACAGACTTTCACGCTGCAAATCAAGTCATCGTTGGTGATACTGTAGAAGGCGTTGTCCATGGTCCTGTTGATAGTCCACACGAGACTTTTGACTATTTCGTGAATACAAGCCAGAGTTCGTTTGAACCCAAATCCAACCAAGATTTGGTGGTGGAAGATCCGCAAACAGACGCTCAAATTGCTGAAAAGATTACGGCTTACAGGAGCTTGTTTTTGGATAGAGGACAATACTCCGCTGCTTCTGAGGAAGAACTGTTCATGGCAGCACAGGTAAGCTTGATCATGAAACTACTATAAAGAGTTTTTCAGTATCTCTACGAAAACCGCGAGAGACACGACTTCGTAGAAGTAAAAGATAGAGCAAATGCTTACAAGGGCTCTGATCGACCATTCAAATGCAATTTTTGCCCTTTTTATTCAATGACTCGAACGTTCAATTCCAAAGAAGAGATCATCCGACACTTCCGCCGGCACCTAAAAGATTTTACTTTCGTCTGCAAGTACTGCCAAAAAGGATTTCCGAGGTCGGACAAAAGAAAGAGCATGTTAAGGTTGAGCATTCAATTTTCTTTTCGTTCAAAATTTCTTTAGAATCACCACACAAATCAGACTCGCAGATGTTGATGACCAATTCAGGCTGAATCGATCACTAGGCAAATTCAATCTTCTTCTCCGCTCAAAGTTCATTTTATCCGTACTGAAAAATATTGTTCTTATACCTTTCAAAGTAAGCATGTTCTTCGAATCCAAAGTTTCAATAAAAAAATCGAACAGTAATTTTTAGTCGTAGCAAATTTATTTCCAAAATAAAACCAAACTTGAAATCAATGAGAAATAATTTCTTTATTATCTCCATTATTCATGTTTAGGGAAACTCGATGAAAAATGAGCTTTTTCTAGGCTTAGTAGAGAGGGAGTATAATACAGATTTTGAAAGCCCAGAAGCTAAGGATCATTTTGACTACTTACAGTATGGGTAGGGAGGGGACACAAAAAATGAGCTTTCTCAGCAAACGTCGTAGAGACTTTATTTTTGGTGACAAGATGGAATCAGCCCCAGAAAATTTTTTCAAAATAGATTCAAAATCAAATTCTCTATCACATATCCGAGAATAAAACAAATCCATGTTTATTCGGCGATTTTGACATTTTTGGCACTTTTAATGGCGATTTTCATCACGTGACAATCAAAATTCAAATTTTTTCAAGAATTTTTTTTTGTTGGCAATAAAATATCTTTTCCCAAAAATTTTTTATCTTTGCTCCTACGAGTAAAAAGTCCATTTTTTTGTATCCCCACCCTAAGTATGGGGTTTGGGACATGTCCTGGGGCGTTTTTGGGCGTCTAAAGTCCGGAAAATGGCGGTAGTTCCAGAAAAGCGACAGTACTGAAAATGGCACGAATGGCACGAATGGCACGAAAACATGTCTTTTCATCGTGCCATTTTCAGTAAGATTCTAGAGACTTTTTGTTATTGTTTTTCAACCCTTGAGTTTCCTCCCATTAAACCCGCGGAGCGGGCGTTTATAACTTGAATATTCAATGAAAAATTGATTATTTATGCTAAAATCACTATTATTTCAATTTTTTATCAATGACAATGGCAAAATTGAGGAATTTCACTCAAAAAATAATCTCTTTGGGCCTGAATTTTCGGTCAATTCAAAAAAGTTTCAAATTTTTTTTTGTTTTTGATCATGATTAATGAACTTTTCAAGTTGTTTAATAACTATCGTTTCAAATAAATCCGTTAATTTTCCAGTTTAATTCATAATATTCCTCAAGGTTAATTCGCAAAAAAATGTGTCTCTGTTTTCGTGCCATTTTCAGTGATTTCGTGCCATTCGTGCCATTCGTGCCATTTTCAGTATTGACCCAGAAAAGGGATTAAATAAGTACCGGTAGTCCATCCTAAGAAAGGGCGGCTAACTTAAAGTTGTAGAGGAGGCTCTGGCGGTTCAGAATCTGTATAGAAACCTATTGGGACCCCCACATTCTAGAGGCGCTAGAGGCTCTAGAAGTTGAGGGAGTGACCTCAAAATCGGTACTTTTTTACGAAAAATTGCAGTAAGGGTTATATTTTTATCGGAAATCGTCTTAAAAACGTTCCAATCAATTTTCGGATGTCGAAGATATCGTTTGGGGTTACATGAGGTCACTTGGGGTCATTTTTTGAGAAAAAATAGAATTTGGCCAAAACTCTACCCGAATAACCTCAAATTACCCCAAACGATATTTTTGACATCCGAAAATTGATTGGAACGTTTTTAAGACGATATCCGATAAAAATATAACCCTTACTGCAATTTTTCGTAAAAAAGTACCGCTTTTGAAGTAGCTTCCTCAACTTCTAGAGCCTCTAGCGCCTCTAGAATGTGGGGGTCCCAATAGGTTTCTATACAGATTCTGAACCGCCAGAGCCTCCTCTACATCTTTAAGTAAGCCGCCTTTCCTTAGGATGGACTACCGGTACTTATTTAATCCCTTTTCTGGAACTACCCCCATTTTCCGGACTTTAGACGCCCAAAAACGCCCCAGGACATGACCCGAACCCCATACTGTAAATAGTCAAAATGATCCTCAGCTTCTGGGCTTTCAAAATCTGTATTATACTCCCTCTCTACTAAGCCCAGAAAAAAGCTCATTTTTCATCGAGTTTCCCTATTCATGTTCCCATTTCCCTTTTTTACTATTTCAGAGCGCACGTAATTTTATCCTTTTTTTACCCTGTCTTCTTTTTTACGATGGTCACAAATCAAATCACCGAGGTTTCTTGTCGATTCGATGGCACTGGTATTTTTTCTTCAGTTGAATTTCCTAAAGAGAGGTGCAAATGAAGGGAGGAATTTTTTCTTCTATATCTGGTTTAGGGAAAGTGTTAGGTGCTTTTTCGGTCAAAATAATAATTGTAGGGTCGAAACACATTCACTTCTTCCCTCATTTCTTTTATTAAGGGTGTCAACAACGATCGGATAACGGTCTGTCTTACGAGTCGACCAAATCATTTCTTTTTATTTAGCTTATGCGGATTCCAAATCTTTTTTCAGATCTGAAATATGATATTTCAAATATCTCATCTTGATCACGAGATACGCAACTTTCTATGGGCGCGCTTATGCACTAGCGTTCAGTAAAATTACACTGTTAGAAAGGTCATTTTTCAATTTCCGATTTTATATATCAAACTATATATTTTCTGAAAGCTGGAAAAATTCTCTATCTACAAGCAAAAAGTTATGATAAGTCAACTGTCAACTTTTTTTTACGATCTATACATACGTATTTTTCCCTTTCTAGGCTCCGATGAAAAACCGCACTCGTAGACAATCGGTGCTTTCATGGTAGAGAAAAATGGTCGCGCCGACCACTGAAAATCCCATTTTCGGAAATGGTTGTCATCAACTTCAAACACAAGCTTTTGCAGGTACTTCAATTCGGAACAATATATTTTAACATTGAAGAATCGTGTGAAATCTACACAGTAAATTAAAGTTAGAAAAGTCAATTTTGAAATAATTTTTCAGCGGATCAAACTATTCAACGCAGTCATAATGGCTCAAATGTCGTTCCTGCTACACCAAGCTTAGCCAATATGTCCCTCAATCACAACTTCAAGCAAAACGAGGCTCCCTTGCATCAAATGCAGACCAACACCAATTCAACCAATGCCATGCATACGAGAGAAAATCAGAACCATTCTGGGGCGTCTTCTCAAAACGCTGCTTTCGCTGTTCAAATTCTTCCTCAATTACAGAATCCGTGCTCCAATGGTTCTCAGAACTGTTACCTGTCAAACGTCGATTCTTATACAACAAGTTCAGTTCAACCAATAGCTTCAATTGCTTACAACAACGTCATTCAAAATACGGTCTCCTCGAATCAAATGCCGATCAATACCAATTTTCCCAACACGATGCATAACATTCATAATCAGAGTCACTATGGTGCGCGTTTTCAAAACCCTGTTCCTTCTAGTCAGCTGACTCCTCAATCACAGAATCTGCAAAACAACCAGAATACGGTGCCCTCAAATCAAATGCCAATCATTTCAAATTCAACAAACACAATGCATACACCGAACAATCAGAATATCGCCGACGCGCCTTTTCAAAACGCTGCTTTCGCTGGTCATCTGACTCCTCAATCACAGACTGCTGTTTCTCAGAACTATTACGTATCCAACGTCAATTTACACAACGATAGTGGAAATGATTGGCAAGTTGGGAACAACGAAACTCAGCAAAAGAACTTGGAGGAATTCGAAAGCGCTCTCGAATTTATGGACGCAATGGATGAGAAAAATATGACGCCGGAGGAACAAAAAATGGAGAAAGAAAGAGTCGCCAAAATCACCCAGTGGCTCATGAACGATACTGATTCACCGGGTTGGATGCCTTCAAACTCATCAACATCAATTGCCGACAATCCGATGACTTCACGGAAGCATTTCATCCCTGGTGATTATGGTCATACGGATCAGGTACTGTGATTTTTCATTCAGCCTTGTCGCAGCGTACTCGTGTCAAGTGACACATTTTTTAAGACAAATAATGAAGAGACTCCGAAAATCAGCGACATCAATTATGTGCCCGTTGAAGCAAAGAGGCCAAGATTTGATGATTCTCTCACAAAAACTGATAGATATGAAGATACAGACTATCACGCTTCGAATGAAGTCATCGTAGGTTATTATGAAGAAGGCGATGTACATGGGCCTGTTGGTAGTCCTATCGAGACTTTTTCTCCAATTGTCCAAAACCAAAATACGACCTCCTCGAATCAAATGCCGATCAACACAAACTTTACCAACAAGATGCATAACATCTACAATCAGAATCACACTGGTGCGCGTTTTCAAAACCATGTTCCTGCTAGTCAGCTGACTCCTCAATTACAGAATCCGCAAAATAATCAGTACGGGAACCTGCCCTTCTACAATGCCTCGCAGAAAAGTCAGGCATCGCAGATTGATTTTACGACAACAAGCTTAGGTTCGCTGGAAGACATTTTTGATCAGCTAAACTCGCCCTCGTCGAACACCTTTGAGGACCAATATTGCTCCAATCAGCAACATTACAATTTTCCAAAAATATCAGGTATTATTAAAGACCCTTCCTTTTTGTTTTCCGAAAAAACTCAAATTTCAAAAAAGCTTTTCTGAAAGATCGATGGCGACCGCGTGAAGTTGGACTTCGCGTTACTCGCCCGGGTCCCTTAAGGGATCCTCCCCCGGAATCGGCAACTTTGACTTGAAATAATTTTTGTTTGGCATTGTGAATTTATCTAATTTCAATTGCATATGAAAGTTTATGCCTTCATTGCAATTTGCAAGTAGCTTTAGCTCTTTTCGAAATGCCAAACGTGCCACCAGAGGCTCTTGAAAAACTCGAATTTTCAGAAAACGCCTTTTTGGGGTGTTTTCAAGCCGAAATAAAATTTCATTTGTTTTGATCTTAAAACTTGCAGACTAGAAAGAATAGACGCTTATCTGAATTTGCAAGTAGCTTTAGCATGATTGATAAAGCGAGAAAAATTTTTCTAAAGAAAAACTATTCAAACCCATTTTTGCCAATTTTTGGCATTAAATTCCTCTCTAGCGCCGAATTATGGCCGAAAATTCTTTTGCCGTTATTATATTCTTAATCAGTACATTCTGAGCTTTCGATAGACCCCTTATATGTATATTTTTGAGAACATTGAAAAGTCGAAAAAATTACGATTTCCACGCTAAGTACAATTTACATGCATTTTTGCGATTTTTGAAGCCTAAAATTTTTGGTTAAGATATTTTTATGGGGGGACTTTAATACATCAAAATGATGCACTGAACACGGGGAATCTAAATATGTCTCAAAGGGGCCCGTCATCAAGATTTGAAATTCCGGAGGGGGACCCCTTAATACCAAAATTTTTGGTTCACAGTGCGTCAGGGAGTTAACTCCGAAATTCGAGTTTGTCGAAAAAGTTGAAGGGGGGAGTCCTTAATACTGTTTTAGCTTATACCGAGTAAGCTTACCAAGGTTATCCTCAAATCTTTTTCAAGACTCACATAATTCTTCAAATGTCACTGACACTGCTCCGACAAGCACGAATGCCCTGCCAAACTATGATGCAATGGGCGATACAGAAACGGATCTAGTTACGGAATTCGACAAAATGTTCCCATACAACGGCTCAGAACAGGTAAAGAATAACAATTTCGACAATAAAAAAATTAACTGTACTAGATGAACGACGAAAACGATCTCGATTATTATCACGAGCAACTTATCTCATCAAATGAGCTCGGTAGCTTTGATAAAAAACCTGAATTTGGCCCGGTTTATGTGGAACAAACGAGTTCTGTTACTTTGCACGCTCAATCATTTCAGCAAAATATCCACGACACCGGCGATTACCACGCTGTCAATAACAATGTCTCGACGGGTTTTGAACCGAAAGCGGACGCTGTAATGGTACAGACTCAACCTACTTGCAAGAACTCTCCCAGTCTGAGAGATATGCTTGGAAAGAAGGAAATACTAAAAACTTTATCCGAGGAAGAACGAAGCGAAATTGCGCAGGTAAACTTTGAAAAATTTACTCGATGGGGAAAATTTTTAGCAACTTTTTGAACGCGGCGAGATTGTAGAAATTAACGAAAGATCGGATGCAGGCTACGACCAGGAGAATGAATATCACTGTGATATGTGCCGCTTTTTCCCGAAAAAAGACGCTTCTCGTCAAGTACGAACCTTCAACAGTTTGGACCAAAAGTTCCGACATCATCGTCGACACTTGAATTGGCCTACCCACACATGCAAACCCTGCCAAGAAGGATTTTATAAGAAAAATCATTACGATGATCATATGAAGGTTATTTTCCCTTTTTCTATCTTGTCGATTTACTTTGCCTTAGAAATACCATCCTAACGATCCAAATCGGACACCTCCAAAACCACAGAAAAACAAACGAAAAAATAAAAAAGACCAAAACGATCAGGTTAGCTTTATTTTTTTCTTCGTTTTACTCTTTTTAGACCAAACGACGACGACTTTAAAACTGAAGAAAATCCTCTGAAGCTCTTGCCGAATCAATCATTTTAAAACTCAACCCTCCGTTCAATTCTTTCTTCAATTCTCCATAAGTTCAAACCTCCCCTGACTGTTCATTTTCCAGACAAACAAATGCATGTATTTCTTCAAGAAAATCTTCGCGCCAAAGAAAATAAATCAAATAAAATCAGTATTTTTTTTTCTTCAAATCTTCATTTTTTCCATCATATCTCCTAGCAGGCTCAGCAAAAGTTATCCAACTTGTGTTAGTAAATGAACTTTTAAGAAAATACGAAGTTCACTCGATTGAAAACTGATTGACACTCAATTGCAAGAGAGCAATAAACACGATACCTTTATGAGGATTTTATATAAGCCAATAAGTTTACAAATTGTAATCCTACCGCTTTGAGTTGTGAAGGTTGGCTTGGCTGAAGCTCTTGTTGTTCTTCTCGTTGTTGTTATTCTGGTGGTTGCGGCCTTGGTTGTAGTTATTTTCTTAGTTGTCGTCCGTCTAGTGGTTGCTTTTGTCGTTGTCTGTTTTGTTGTAGTTGTTCTTTTTGTTGTTGCTGTTGGTTTGGTCGTTACTGCATCTTGTCGGATACAATCCCTCTCATCTTTGCCATCTTCGCAGTCTTTGATTCCATCGCATTTGTGACCTGAAGCCTCATTTTTTCAGCTGTTTTCTTTCAATGAGACCACCTCGAACCCATTACCTTGAATGAAATATTTCTTGTGAGCAGAGGCTCCTGGGCCACACATTCCGAGATTGAGGTATTTCTTGTCAATTCGATGGCACTGGTACTTTTTGTTGATTTGAATCACGTCCAAGGAGGAAAGTCGTTTCGCGCTTGAATTTTTATGTTTATTTTTCGACGGATGGGAGTTTTCCTTACTTTGGCACAACAGCTTTCTTCCTATCGTTGGCGTAGGAGATTACTGGCTGGGATGTGATCTGGCAAAAGTTTCCATCGTATTGCATCACCGAGTTATAATCGTAAGAGTCTCCGAGGTCCAGCCACTCGTCGTCGATGAATGGATGATTTGGACCAAGTTTACCGTAATTTACGGAAAATGCTTTATTGCGGATTCATGGAGGATAAGAGCTTGAATCATTCTTAGGGGAAAATTTGCGATTCGAATGATATTATATCATATATATTTAGTTTTCAGTAATCCGTGCCAAAATGGCTCTGAAGGCAGTTTCCACGGTCGACATAGACGTAATCATCACGATCTCCTCGTTGCTGTTCGTGCCAGAATCCTTCAAGATAATTGTTAATTTTAATTCCTTCGGCCGAAATTACAAAATTCAGCAAATAGAATAAAATGGAAGCGTGATTCAGGAACAGTCTTTTCCAGCCGCTGTGGGAATAAATTTAGATAGGTATATTTAATTTAACGGAAAGCCGATAATTATACCTAAAGCGTGCATAAACTCGTGTTGAATTTCCCAGACTTCGTCAGTGCACTGGACCACGTCGAGCGAGAGGTCCTGGGAGGACACCGAATCTACCAAGCCGACATAGGAGAAACAACCCTTTCCGGTGTCTGAAACTCGGATTCGATGATCATAGGATCGGTCGGAGAGTCTTGTCTCTGTGAAACGAATGCAGGTCCAGTCGGTAAAGTCCTGAATTGCTTTACGAACGCGTTCGCGAGCAGATTGTGGGAATTTCGGGTCGAAGTAGAATGGAACGATGTAGTTGCCTTGCTTGTCCGTCCAGAGCTTCCACTCCTTGTTTTTGATTGCAGTGCGCTCGTCGCTGGAAAGGGTCCGACCGTTTCCTTCCAAAGAACCGTCTAGGAACAGCCGCTGCACATTCGTTAGCATGATATCATTGAAGACACTGTTAGAATTGACGCGCTTTTTTTGATGGCCACTCGAGGAAAAATAGCCAGACGGAATTTTACTTTCATAATCATCAGTAACTTACTTTTGAGAATTAGGTGAGATAAAAAAGATTTGGAGCCCTAAAAAGGGCTACTGTTTTCGTTCGGCTGATTCGTCGAACAAAGCTTGCTGCGACCAGTTATGCGCTGACAGCGTTCGCTTCGATTTCTCGCTCTTGATCAGGTCCTTGATGACGGGTCATCCCTCGTGGCTTTCTTCAACTGCGCCTGGGCCGCTCATCTACTTTCACCTTTTCCATTTCCTGGACTCGTGACTGCGGTTCTGTCTTCTAACTTTTGCAAATACCCCGCCGCCTGGATGTACCAGACAACGGGGTACCCCAATTTCGGGTCGCCTCAAATGTGAGCTCGCTGCGAAATTTCTCCGTTTATATACGCGCAGGTGAGAAACGCAGAGCATTTTCATTTCTAGACCAGAAGAATCTTTCTTCAGCGGCGCAATTGCTGAGAAACACCATCAGAATTTCTTTCTAGATAACGCATGCTTCCTTTCTGTCGGCCCTTGGACACCTATTTTCTCTAGATCTGATGGTGCTTCTCACCTGCGCGTATATAAGCGGAGAAATTTCGCAGAGAGCTCACATTTGGGGCGGCCCCGGAAAGGGGGTACCCTATCGTCTGGTATATCCAGGCGGCGGGGTATAAGCAATTTAGAAGACAAACGCGTGATGAGGTCAAGGATCTTCCAATAGTCCTTCAAAATCACGAGCTGGGGGCGACACAGAAGACTTTCGAACTCGCGAGAGCATTTATTTTGAGAAGAACCGAATTCGGGAGTACAAAACATCGAAGCCCTTTTTAGGGCTCCAAATCAAAAATAACTTCGTTGAGAATAGGTTCATCTAAAAAAGGTGAACGGACAGAGGCTCGGGTTAAGCCTAACCCTAACCTGACTTAGGTTTAGATTTGAAAGATCATTAACCGTATGCGGCTCGCGGGGGGACTTTTTTTCCCCCGCGCCCCCTTTTTGCCAATTTCTCGGCCATTTTTGGTCCAAATTCAAAAATTCAAAAAAATAAGAATCAATATCAAATTTCCTATCTCCTAAGATAATAAAAATGATATGTTGGTATTTTCCATCAATGAGTAAATTGTAAAAAAACCGTCAAAAATGGCCATTTTTTGTCTCGAGAACATGAAATCTGTCTAGAAAATCGAAGGAACGCGCGTAAAGTTGGTGCGTTTTCGTCTCCAGAACATGAAATTTGTTACATAACAGTCTCTAGCTCGCCTGAAAAACACCAAAAATTGAAGATTATCTGTCTCCAAGACTCTGATAACACGAGAGTCAGCCCATTTTGCCCCGAAGACGCGTAAAATAAGGCATAAATTCTTCTAGATGGGCGGGTGAAAAAAATTCCCCCGCGAGCCGCACAGGGGGTGCTCTGACCGAGACGCATACGGTTAATGAAAAGCCGCGTAGCCTCCATTTTAATCTATTGAAATTCTGCCTACGAAGCTTTTCATTACTGATCTTTGAGACCTAAACCTAAGTCAGGTTATTTACACAGGTTGACAAGCCCAGCCTATACCATCGAAAATTCTTATTGACAATCATGGACCTGCATTTGTAGCCGTCAAAAATCAGATGGAGAAGAAAGACCAATTCCTGAGAGCCCGTGGAGTACAACTCCCCAACATCAGCCTGGTCCGCCTGAAACTGCGCCGCTAAAGCATCCGCTTCTTGCATGCCTTTTTGCAAGGCGGCAGCCATTTTGTTCTCTCGCTTTTACGAATTTCATGAATTAGTGGAAATCGCCAGACTCCATTAAGAGATTTACTATTGTTAATGCAAAACTTTTGAAATGCTCCTTGTTTTTTCCCGCATCAACGGCGGCGATTATGAGAGCTGCAGCTTCAAAATGTTGGATAATTATTTAAATTTTGTTGTTACGCTTGTTCATAAATACAAATAATTCATCAAAGATGCCCTGCGTCTGAAGCTTCTTCCAACCAGTCCTAATTTCATCTCTTCTTCACCTTTCTCTTTTTCTGCTTCTCTCTTTCAAGAACCAAAAAAGTGATAAAGAAATGATGATGCAAAAACAACCCTAACGCGGAGCTATCAAGACGTGCATGTTAGCTTGTTAGCAACACGTCTTTTCTTTTATCACAAGAATATCTGATTTATTAGAAACATTGAAAAAGAATTGCATGGTCACATAAGTTGAATGTATTTTTAATATGGGCAAAAAGGAAAAAGGAACATGTTTGATGTTGATTTTGAGGTCAGTCGAGGTCGAGGTCGTCGTTTGCTGGAGTTGGAGAGGGTTTTTCTTAGTAATGTTTACCGAAAGATGGGTTTTTTATATCGTACCTTTTCTAGGAGTCAACCCAGAATTCGCAGGGCTTCTAGGCGATCGGGCAGGAGATTCGGGAGATCGACTTAGATCGTCAATTTGCTGCGACCTTCCAGGCGTCAACGGGCCTGAATTAGCCTCCAACATCTGTTTGATCGTATGACAGTAGAACTCGGCGAAGACCATTCTGTTCATCCCGCAGACGCGGCCGAAGATGGTGGCCAGTTGGGCGAGCTCGGTTTGAATGTTTGATAGACCTTTGGGTGTTTCTGGGGCGTTGTTGGATGATGGAACTGCGATTTCAGACAGAAAGTCCATCGCTGAAAATATTGATTAGGCAGGGCTTATTGGAAACTTCATTAAAAATTCTGCAAAAGAAAATAGAAACTCCGCTTTAGCGTGAATCACAAAAATTGACGTAAATTGAAATCTGAGGCGGAATTTATTTATGTAAACTATCATAAGTCCTGACTTATAAATTTATTCTGTATTAATTATTCAGATGACTATTTGTTTCCGAAGATCATTTTTAATTCAAAATTTCCGCTTTGAAATCGATTCTTCGTCATTTTACCTCGTTTATGGAGAAGGCTGTAGATGGAATGGGTATCATTGAGGTCGGTAATCTGCCCTTGAATCACATTTTGGACATCGTCAGGCAAGTTGAACGATTTGAGCTCTTCAATAGCTTGGACAGCGATTGCCAAGGGAAGGTCTTCAAGTTTTGTTCGGGCGGCGATGGGCATTAATTTGACTTGAAAATTGCTTTAGATTTTGGTTGATTTCAAAGGAGAGCACCTTTGAGTTGATTTTTGACGCACATGTAGGGTCTTGGAACAGCAGCTGCAATGATCAAAAACGACGAAGCGATGAGAAGGATTTTCTTTAACTCGATTCCGATAATCGACAGTCGTTCTGCTTCATTCACAAGTGTTTCTGGCCATTCTTTCACTAAAACCGATTATAAATCACAGCTGCCGAATCCAAATTTTTCTCACCGTCCATGGTTCCCAAAGTAAGGCAGTAACACTTTCGCAAGATATCGAAAGGCTTTGGCTCTATGCCGGCGCGGGAAAGTTCCAGTATTCCATTCCGAAGCCATTTGACCGTCAATCTGGTTGCATCGTCTCCGCGACCTTGAGCCCATTTGGTGAAATTTTCGCGCTGGAGTTGCACGTGTTGTTTCTGAATAAATTCCGTATTTGCGCATCATTTGTTATGGAAAATGAATACCTGAATGGTAGGCCGAATTTGTCTGATAGCGTAGTTAGTCATGTCGATTCGCATGAGCCGGAGTAAATTGGTTATGTGTGCCATCTGCGAGACATGATCTGTCTCCTTCTTCGCTTTTTCCACAAGTCCATCGCGCGCTGGCGAGCACAACTGGCCAAGTAAGGTAATTAACCCGCCGAAGAGCTCGCCGTAGTCGATCGTTCCTTGGTTGATTTGCTGCTCGATCAGCTCGATGTCAATTTGACCTTTGATGCGCTCCCGTGTTCCAGAATTGGGCGCCAGGAAGGTGAGGATTTGCTCGCGAATTTCTCTGAAAAATAAAGGTGTCAAAATGTTAAATTTGGGAAAAAGCTGGGGAAAGTCTTCGATCTTTTTCAATTTACCTGATCATTGGAAGAACCATCTCATCATCCCCATTCTTCAAATTATCCCTGACGACATCCCAAAAAGCCTTTTCAACCGTAGACTTGATCTTCCCTTGCACGGAATCTTCAGCAGGGTCTTCTTTCTCCAATTCAAACTCGTCGTTAACAGAGATCTCGTAAGCTAGGACCATGTTCGCCGCGTCTTTCTCTCCTTTTGCGAGGGACTCCAAGAGGGGCGGCAGAGTTGTTCTTCTAAAAGGAGTTGTTGGGAAATTTATATTTAGAGATTATGCTACTGTAGCATCGACACATGTATCTATCTATGCTGCCTAAATGGTTTTCTTTTCGCGGAAAATAAATGTAAATATCAGGTAAGTAAAACCCAGAAATCTTCTGTGTTATCGCAAAATACTGGGCTTGGCAACCTGTGTAGAAAACCTGAGTCAGATTCTGAAGAGATTGAATGAAAAGCCGCGTTCTTTTTCTATGCGGCTTTTCATTAAGGCAATTCAGAACCTGACTCCGACACAGGTAACCAAGCCCAGGCTAAAATAGGGCACTACTGGACGTGTCCTGAAATTTTCTCTGTACATACCCATCATCTCCATGGTCAAAAACGTCTCTTTCCTTCTCGCTCCCGGGCGGCATGAGTTTCTTCTCTTATTATTTCCAAAAATCTGCCTTCTGAAAAAAGAATCGCTTATTGATTTGTCTCTTTCGTTTGGTTTGGCGACAATGACCAGCGTTGTAAAGAGGGCAAATTGGTCAGGAAGAAAAAAGGTACGACAAGTGAAGCGTGAAATCATACGAGCAGTGTCACTGGGTCAACATGTTGGCAGGTGGCCAACGCGGCGCGCCTCCGCGAGGAGAAACAAAAGAGCAAAAAAGGGATGGCAGGAAAGAGAAGCCAATGTACAGTTTGGTAAACGCCACCTCTGGCGGCTCCACCAGGTGGTCTTGTGGCGCAATGGATAACGCGTCTGCCTACGGAGCAGAAGATTCCAGGTTCGAGTCCTGGCAAGATCGCTACTTTTTGGACTTCCCAGATCTACTCGCTTCGATCTTGTCGATCTTCGACTGTTCCTTCACTTTTTCGTAGTGGTCTTTCAATTTCTTTCGTTTGAGTTCAGCTCTATCCTTTGAAAACGGAAGAAAACGCACTTATTCTGACATGAACTCTTCCTTGATTTCTTTGCCCAGTTGGTGTGGAAATTCGGATTCGTATCTACGCACACACTTGATGCTAAAACATGGAGTTAGAGGAGTTTAATCCCGGATTTGTATCTAAGGGGAGGCTAAACATAAGCCCTTCCACTCAGGAAATGGTCAAGGAAACAGTCACCGAATTCCAGCCAGCTTGATCCTCTACCTTTAGCTACTTCTATATCTACAAGAACGAACTCCTTCTCCCAGTGCTCATTTCTCTCTTCAATTTCCCCTCGTTTTGAAAAAGTTGCTTACCAAAATCTTCGACTGAAGAAAAGTGAGCACTCCATACAAACCATCTTTCGGTCGCATTCTGGAAAATTCTAGATTCAAATTGAACGCTCCCGAGGCCACTTACCGCTGCAAGGAGCTCCGACGACTAACGGAAGTCTTTCGGAAGGGGGTCGGAATGGATCCTGCATAATGTAACATTTTTCTCGGTATCGAATCGTCCTTTTTACGGAATTGAATGATCATTTGCTGTATATTTTTAGCCCTATAATTTTATTCAGGACATTACCTGGTGACTCCTCTTTTCGGAGGTCTGTCGTCATAAACTTCGTATGGCGCTGACATTCCACAAATATCGCACGAGAATTCGTCCAAAACTCGCCCCGTTCCGACCAGATTTTCTGAGGCCTCAGTAATTCCCGATGAGTGAGGGACGCGATCATCATGCTCATTCATCTTTCTACGATAATGGAAATGAGGCCATATTTACATTCGTTTTATTTAGTGTACATCTGAAGAGGCGCAAGAACTGTATCTTTATTGGAACACTCAGACTCGGACGAGTAAATTTCATTCTCTTCCAAGTACTTTCTCAATTCTTCCGGGACCAAATATTTTATCGACTGCTTCTGCCTCAGCAGCTGGCGAATGTAAGTCGAAGAAAGGCCATTTACGATTCCGGGATCGACAACTTCGATATTACTTTTGTATTGACTCAGAATCTTATTTTCATTGATGACATTTTCGACATTGCTTCCTTCTCTAAAAGAAAAGTTCAACTTGAAGTTCTTCCTTAATTTCATTGTTCTTGCTCAATGGCAAAGGCGAGAGCGGGTGCCACATTCAAATCCACGGGGAATTTTGAACAAATTTTGAAATTGTCTATTTGAGGGGCTCTCATAAAGCTTTTACCGCATTAAAAAAGCATTAGTACCTTGCAATAACGATAATGCCATTTGAAGCAATCATTTCTACATCCGAATCAGTCCATAGATTTGGTCGATTAAAGCTCGCAAATGCATCGCCGCCGACTGAAATTTACAAAAGCTTTGCAAAATATGATTTGAAAAAAATCCTCTTAGAACTCAAAACTTAAAACTGTCGCTTACGTAAAAGATAAGTTTGCGCGTCAAATTCTTCCTTTGACTTTTCCACATGAAATTGAACAACTTCAGCTGTCGGGGTCCATTCGGGTTTGTCCGCTTCCCAGGTGGAGACCTTGATCCAGTTTGAATCCCTGGTCGCGCGTTTTAGCATTTCGATGCGATGCTTTGAGGAAACTACGGAAACTCAATTATTAAAAAATAGACTTTTCGAAAATATTTTCAAAATAAACAGAAAGAATATGAATTTAATTAGTTTTATCCATAATCAAAGTTCCCATGTCGCGCTCGCCGGGCTTGAGAAAGTCGACAAGCTCACGTATGAGCGCTCACATGGCTCGAGTCGAAATATTTACCTAATCCCGTCTTCTTGTAACCATCTGATACCGGCGACATCCAGCCGGCAATCACGGTGCGTTGAAGCTTCTCCAAGTGGATTTTCGCCAGCTCCTGGCTGCGCAAATGCATCAGGTGCGGCGGATTGAAGCTTCCGCATTGCAAAAGCGTCACTTTTTTGCTCATTGCTCTTTTATCTGAAAACTAACTAGCAAAGGGAATTCATTAAATAAATTCGAAATTGAGTCATTTTTTTTCTTACAGAACAAAAGAGCGGATGTCGAACTTTTTCATAAAAAGAAAAGGCAAAATATTCTCTAAAAATGAACAGATTCGAACTCGTCGAAAATCGAGTAAAGGGCAGTTTTCGCAGATTCGTCGAAAATATACTCTTTCAGGGTTGTTAAATGGATTAAAGCAAATTCCACAGCTTGCCCTGGAAACGGTAGCCAGGATTAAAATTCATAAATCAGAGCTTTTGAATTGAAATCAAGGAGGACAAAGGCTGCTCAAGTCAACCGTTGCCAGCTGATTTATGAACTTAAGTTTATGAAATCTTTCGCAACCCGTTTTTCTATAGCTTTCTTTGAGATATCGAAAAGAGTCTTCTTCCCCAATTTGAAGGCGCGTTCAATATTTCTGTATTCGTCAGACAATGATGCTCCGAATAAACCCTTGTCGTCTGTGCAGATGCAAAGCGGGTGGTTCAGCTTGAATAAATCACCGAAATGATGGGTCTCGTAGGAATCCCGTGTCCTAAAGGAGTTAGAAACTTTATGTTGATTCAATTTCGTCGGATAGGATTATTGAATAAAATCTGGGTGAGTGATGTAATCACATGATTAAACGATTATAAATGAACTTATTTGAAAAGATTAATAAAAAAGAATTTCAAATAACTTGATCTGATAAATTTATAAAAAATTGAGGAAGATAAGGAATAGTTCTGCGCTTTTGAAAAGCGGCGCGAGCTCGGTGCGGGTGGTCCCTTAAGTATAAACCTGTTGATGATATTGGAAGTGAGACAGAGCTCAAAGGGTTTGTCACGCGCAAGATCCATTAGCTTCGAATCGCCAACAATAAATGTACCGTGGCCTGGGAAATTCAGTAGATAAAATTAAAAAGTTTCCCTCGCTTATAAAATTTCGACAGTCTTACCAATTCGGTCTGTAAGGCGTAGCAGGCTCTCAGCATCGAGCAGGGAATCTTCGCTCTCACTTAATTGAGTGCTTACCATATTATATTGTAACAAATAAATTCTCACAATAATTTCTCTCGCAAGAATTTCCGAATAAACATGCACCTACCCTAGATGAGCGGCTATCTTCAACAAGGATATCAAACATCATCAGTCCTATAGCTTTATTTTCGTCTGATACCCCCTTAAATCTTCCTCCAGCTTTCACCTCTTCCAAACACTTGACAATAGCATCTTGAGCGTCAGCTCCTTTTGCTGGATTTCCTGATACATCGATGCCTGATCGGATTTACGCTTCTTGATCAATGCTTTTAATACGCACCTACTACATATTTATGCGTGCTGAATTCATCGAGTAACCTTAGCACGGCTTGTACATGCTCGACCCCGCGTGCTCTATCGATTGAGAGGAGGAAACGAACTTGTATTTTGGGATGACCTTGTTCAGCTTTTTCGATTCCACGCTTTAGATAAGTTAGATATTATTATAGATATTATAGATATATTATATAGGTAAGGGATAAGGATGACGGTTAAGGTTGTCTCTATTCAAGTCATATTTGAACTCGAATTGTTCCAAAATCTTAATTTTCTAACCCTTCCAAAACAGCTTCAACGTACCACTTTCCTCTTGGCGTAGATCTTAGGAAAGAATTCAACACTTCTGCGAAGGATGAAGAAATAAAGGTGTCAAAAGTAAAATCATATATTCAGGAGAAGACAGAGATGAATTCCGACTGTGACTTAACTCCAGATACTTGACACCATCTTCCGCGAACTCCCTCGCTGTCAAAAACGCAGCCAACTCGACCGCTTCTGCCGAGTCCGTCAATTCTAGCACTGAGGATCAACACTTGCTCAACTCAATATCTGCCACTCGGGCCGCTACTTTCGAACTCCTGATCCTTGAACTGCCTTGAACACATCAAAAACGTTTTCCAGGTCGATTGCTTCTCCTTCTTTTATTTGAAAATCTGGTGGTCTGCAGCCTTTTAACTCTGTTTGCAAGTTGTATAAATATTTTTCCTACAAGAGAAAGTTGGTTCTAAATCTATCTATTTCTGCAATTTACAACGCTTCCTGCCAATTTACATATGGTATTTTGACTGAGGCTGCCGTTAAGGTGCGCATGCAGCTCGACCTTTGGTAACTCCTCCAGACTGGGCTCGGGAACCTGTGTAAACAGCCTGAGTTAGGGGTCTGAAAGAGCTGAATGAAAAGCCGCGTAGCGGATTTTTTATGAACGAAGCCGCAAAGCTTGGAATTGGTATTTTCTGCGGCTTCGTTAATAAAAACGCGGCTTTTCATTTAACCCTTTCAGAACCCTGACTCAGTTTTTCTACACAGATTGCCGAGCCCAGCCTCCATTCTCATCCTTTCACTCTTTCTGTAATGCAATTTGCAATCTATAACAACAACGATCAAACAACGAATAAACAACACTTTGTTTTGTTTTTTTTTTTGTTTTGTTTCCGAGTTCAACGCAATTTTATTACGTAAATCGAACAGTAATCCAGCCGAGCAGAATCTTTAAATTTCAAACCTATCGGAAAATAGTGGCAAAGGCAGTTTTTTAACTGTTTGTTTTTTGTTTTTGTTTTAATACTTTTGCCAAGATTCGAGGAAAATCGACAGGTGAGTATTTTAACCGGACGCGTGTCCTAAGGTAAATACATTTTAACTAAACCAGAACTAGCTGGACGGACCGGCAAAATAATATTTTGCGGCCGCTAAATTAAGAAAAGTAAGAAAGGACAGGATAATACCAGTAGTAATAAATGTGAATAAAAATAAAAGGAGAAAGTATAAATAAAAGATCTTGGAGAAACTAGGAGTGGGAACTTAAAGAGGATCAAATATTATTATTTTTATCATTGAAATATACAAATTAATAAATATTTTATGAAATTGATAAGGTAGAGGTACGCGAACTTTTTGATGGGAAATAATAAAAATAACAAATCTAGCACTGACGCCAGCGCAGCTGAACGACTCGCGTTGCAACTCCTTCAAAGGCTGTGTAGACAACAAGAATGTGGATGGATCTGTAGGAGGAATGAGTCGGGGAACAAATGAGTAGAGGGCCAATTTTTTTGCGTGTTGGTTTGAAAAATCATCGATGCTTTTTTTTGTAAGGAAACCGCCCGGGTCGGGACAGATTAAATTGAAGAAAAGATGGTCCGACTTTAGATAGCGGGTTATTCATGGAGCTTTTTTCCAGCCGAGAGAAATTCCCTCGGTGGAAAAAAGCTCCTAGAACTTGTCAGAGAGAAGCGCAGATGCGCGTCATCTTCGGAGATACTTTCTTCCTCCAGAAATGATTTTTTAGAGGAAGAAAACACCGAAAATGACGCGCATCTGTGTTCCTCTTTGACAAGTTCTATGAACAGTCGGGTTTAAAATAAATTTGTTGTCCGTAGAAACAAGGGTCGGCTCAGAATTACAAGCATCGATTCTTTTCGTTTTTGAAAGTTTACTGTATAAAGTAGCTACGAGCCTTTTTCAGTCGTTCCAACGCAAGGTGAATATATGTTTCGTGAGTTGAACAAAGAGAGAGTCGGTTTGTTTTTAAAAAGAGTAGAAATATGATATGTTTTTTGGTTATAATATTCACCTCAAATTTTAAAGAGTTTTGTTTGGCGCTCCTTGAACATTTTTTTTAAGACTGAGCAGCCAGTTTACAAAAGTATGTTTTGTAGGAATCACTGTACACACAGATATGATACTGTGAGGGTGCCGCGTTCTGGCGGAGTCGGGCAAGATTCGATATTTTTCGAGGCGAGGATTTCCTACAGAGCGGGAGCTTGATAGTGTCCAGTCACGTACGCAGAGTGCGGACGTGAGAAAATAATAAAAGCAGCTGCTCTGTTCCGAACTCTGCGTATTTTACCGGACAATTGAGAAAACTCTGACCTCGGAAAATAGCGCTCTTGAATTCAAAAATCTTGAGCCAAGAACGACGGCAAAAGAACGAGGTTTCTGTGACGTTGTTTCATGTAATCAGCCCTAATATCTTAGTAACTAATCCGTATTCTTTCTCGCTTGGTCCAAATTTTACTTTAAAGTTTTTTCAGGATAAATAGGGATGATTCTATGCTGCCGGGAAGAAGAAGAGCAAAATAAATTACTCTACTTCAAATTGAAATATCCTAAACTACCCATTGATACACCTAGTAAAGTTTGACGACAAGTAACTGTACATCTGTAAATATCTTTTCAGTGATGTCTCTTTTTGGCTCTTGGTAAAAGCCGGATACATAAACGACCTAAGAATGAGCATCGGATCGGGCGCAATACGGGAATTAAATAATTAATAAAAAGCCAGTGGCTCGAAACAACCCCGGCGGGTTCGGGGTCGCCCCAGCGGGGATCTGACCATTTGGGGTTCGCCTACGCACCGATCACCACCTGGTAGGTTTTTACAAAATTCTTTATATATATATAAATTACTAATAAATATATCTGTCAGGGATTTTGAGAAAGATTTAGTTAGATCTCCCCTAAATGCGATTTTACGGTATTTTTTTTCTAAAGAAGGAAAGATTTAATAAGCGATTTCGAAAACGGCCAAATTCGTACCGAAGCTGTACCAAATAATAGTAATAATTAGATAGTAGAATAGGAATCGAGTAGTGGGTTCTTTTCAGGTCGATTCTGAGCAAAATTTGTTACACTTGCAGGCAGAGTACACGATTTCTTGAAGAGAAATAAGTGAAAGAGGCAAAAACGATCTATCCCACTTTGATACTAAGAAGGGAAAGAAGAGAAGAGTGATTCTCTGGAATATAATTACTAATTTTTTTTGATAATGAAGCCCGATTTCTCCCTACGATGGAAATCGCCTGCATGCTTTTTTCCACCGGCAAGCGGTGCACCACATCGATCGGTTGCTGACGCCGTACACTTTTCTACATTTTCGCCCAGATCGCTGGTTTCGCAAATGATCCTGAATCAGATTTAATTGTGTTGAATTAACTAACTCTCTCAAGCAAAAGAGACTTACGTTGTCTTGTGTAATGGTTTGAGGAGGGCCGACGGTGATCTCTGTCGTGTTGGAATCAACATCGTTTGTGCGAGTGACGAAGAACTCGGGTTTGAGCGAAGTACTGTGTATGGTTGGGACAGCATCGTTGATGATCCTCACTTGCGACACTTTTGGCGAGACGTTCTGGCTCGTCAAAAAGATCTGCTGCGGTTGTTGAGGCTGTTCGGACAGGGTGATCGTGGGCAGCGACTCGATGCCGATGGTGCTGATCTAAAAACAAGCCCGGTTAGAAATTTGAACAAGATGATTCGAAATTGGCTTTTATGAACAATTCTGTACCTGATCTGTGTGAACACGATCACTGGGGATGGAGTTAATCGTGTGCAAGATAGTGCGATTGTCGGCAACTGAGATCGGCGTGAATTTCGGAGGGTTTGCAGGGATCAGATTGATCGGGCCTAAACTTTAGTTAGGGATTGCTTATTCGAGAATCTTTACCAGGACGGCGTTTGTAGGTAGGTTCTCCTTCGACAATGGGGCGAACGGAGGGCACGTTATCGTCTTGGGAGGGAAAGGACGAATGTTGGATGCGGCAGCACGGATTTGGTAGGACAGTCTGTGACCGGGCAGTCGGGCTGCGAATTTTTAATTAGGAAAAATAGGAAAGAATGCACTGGCTCACCTTGATGAGGCAGATCGTGTTCTCGTATTGTCTATTGGCGTCGTCACTTGGCTCAGCGGACTAGCAGGTGCGGAGGAGGTTTTCCAGAGCGCGCCGTTCGTGCCAGTGATCGTGTGCATCGTCGTGTTGCTCGGCGCGGCGTTGATGGTCGGCGTGTTCTGCAAGAAGATCGTCTGCATGGGCTCTTGCTTGATGTCCTGGTTGAGAATGGGCGACGTGTCGTCCATCTTGTCCTGCTCGAGCCATTTAGCGATTTCGGCGATCTTCTTGTCCTTCATTTCGTTTTGCTGGCTGCCGGGGATCTCTACTGGCACTTCGACTCCGCCGTGGATGTAGCCGCTATTCGTGCTAAAGGAGGATGAGTTACGAGAGGAGTCTCTTTATCGATCTGGGACTCACCTATCGACTTTGACTGGGAGACGAACTGTGGGGCAGAAGCTCGCATCCGTCTTGAAGAACAGGCGGACGGTGACTTCTTTGTTTTGAGTGATTCTTTCGGTCATCTCGAAAGGGGGGTAGTCCTTCGTGTAACTGGGATTCGGGCAGTTTGGATTCGTAAAAAATTCCACTTTTTCAATCCTGAAGAAACGAATGTTAAACTAAGCGCTGGCAGATTCCGATGGAATATGTGAATAGAAAGCGGGCTTTGACGTCAAAAAAGTCGGAGGGGATTTTGACTTTGAGATGAGTCCTCGTTGATTTCAGGGCTTCGAAAGAAGGACTTACATTGACACTTCCCCTCGGACGTAAAGGCTACATTCGTAAACCGGGGTCTGAGGGGTCGAGGAGCCGCTGATGTATTTGGTGTTGGATCCGACAACTGGCAGGGAAACGTCTTCGGGCGGCGTTGGTGGAGTGTGCGCAGGCAAGATGTTGACCTTGGCTCGAATGTTACGCAACGTTGGCTATTTGTTTGCTCGGACTCACCTCGTCGTAGTCCTGGATCTCGGATTTGACGAAAAACGACTGTTGCGATTGCTGACATTCTTGCTTGATCAAAATGTGCGGCTCAGTCTTGATGTCGTCCATCGGGTAAGAATTGAGATCTGTGGTCATTATACGAAGACGATCCATTTCCCCTTCGACTGAACAGATTCACAGTTAGTTCAATAGTCTGCTAATGAAAAATATTTGAAGTTGAGCTTTCCAATTTTTACTTTTTTTTCTATTTCCTCTAAAAAAATCGTGTTCACTCACAGGACAAACATGAGAGTCAAACTTCATTTCAACTCAGTGTGTTGACTTCAGATCACTGAAAAAGGAAATTCCCTTGTTTATTTTGGACTTAGTGAGTTCGAGCACGAAATAAGTCTTATCAGTTACCTTTTCCTTTTTCCATGATTTTGAAAAAAAACAATGACATAAAACTAATAAAGAGCCAGAGTAAAAATAAGATGAAAACAAAAATGAACTTGACCCAGTTTTCCGCCCGCTAGTATTTTCTTTTCTAATAAAATCAATACTTCTATTGGATTAATTACCAGAAGAGGTGATGTAAGGATCGCACGGATCCGGGGACATCATTTCTACGATCGCATCCCATTTTTGCCGCTCATAATACAACGCTTCTAACTCTTTATTGTAATAGGGGTCGATTATTTTAATGTTATCATTCTGATCGGTGACCATTTTCAAACTGAAAGTTAGTATCGTCTGAGCTCTAGCTGGCCCTTCTGACAAAACAAATAACAGATTCATAGAGCGACATCATCTGGAGAGAGCCAGGACGATGACGCCCTCCTCATCTACATATATCCTTCTCTGTCGAAAGGATTACAGCGAATTTCAAAATAAAGTCCACGCGCACTAAAGATTCTTAAATTTGTCTGAAACTCAGGCTAATCAATCAAACGCTCGTTCCTTGCCCTGAAGAACATCACGTACAGGAAACGAGCAGAGTCTTAAATTGACAAAGAAGCCACCTTGAATTAGAGCTTTTTTAAATAGCCTTCGACAGAATATAATTCTAACTCACTTTTATTCCATCAGCTTTCTCTTAGACCTTCTATTTCTACACTTGACTCACCCTATTACATAACAGTCATCAATCTTTTACAAAAACCACCATGGCAAGCAAAAACGATGCGTCCTTTGTACTAACATGCCCCGCAGTAAAAGAATTATAAATCTGAGGATATCTTATACCCTCATTTATTAACTCCGTGTTTCTTTTCCTCCCTCCTAATTGCTAATCAGTGGGCCACTCTGGCCAATGAATGGTTCCATTTGGCAATTCTTAATGAGCTCATAAACCAGACCAATATTTACGAAATCAATCGACTTCTCCGAATTGGCCAGGCCCTCGGGAGCGTTGTGTCTAAAAAAGTTCACTTGGAAAAATTCTCTCAAAAGACAAACTCGGATATTCTTCATTCAAGAAGGCAAAGATTGGCAAGACTGTCAGAGTGATAAACTGCCACTTTATGGAACAGTAAAACTTTACTGGGACAGTTTTCTACGTAATTCAAGCAAAAAGAGAAACTTTCTTTATTCCAATTTCAACCTAATTTGGGTTACGCAAACGCATGAATAAAAAATCGATAATAAGGCCTTGATCAATTAATAGATTCATTTCCTGAAAAAAGTGGTCCCAGATTGTTGCAAGATGTGATAAAATATATTCAACAAAACAGCTTGAATCTCGTTTGAATACATTGCCACGCCCGAAGCTTCAATCCTCATAATAATCAACACAGTATGAAGCCGTTAAAAATTGACTAGTCAAAAAAAACTTTTTCAACTAAGGCAAATGAACTTTTTTGGAAATCAACAAAGACTCTTCCTATTTACTCTTCCAATCAAAAGATTCCAAATTCGATACGAGCTCTTTCCCAAGGTAACTTTTTTCCCCCTCCTCCACGAATTCAAATAAAAAGAAGATCATGAACTTGGCCACGAATTTTCGCCTTCTTGCGATAAGCCCCTTTAGAAAGATTAACACGGGCGAAGGCGCGCAGGTCAAAAAAAGGAAAGTGGATTTACCTAGAATCATTTTCTTCTGCAGAAGTTTTCTTGTTTAAAATAATCTCTTCAAAGTTAGCTCTCTTGGATTGGAAAAGAAAAGGGATTGGGCATTTAAGTCTCTCTGAGGTTGGCTTGGGAGGAGCTTGGTGGCAAGTTGCTTGAACGCGTGCTCGTCTTATTTCACGTGGCAATATCGAGTCGTTAAGAGTGTGGCTGGCGATCTAAAGGAGCGCGCCAGGACGTGTGTCGATCTGCGTGTACGATTGACACTGTTTGTCACAGACCGAGGTTACATAAGCAGCAGAGGCGACGCACCTCGATGCTCGATGCCAAAAATGTTAGAAGGGACACAGAGTTTTGGCGCCTCGGGGCGCGCCACCTCCACCACCAGCCAGCCACAACACGCTCAATGTCATACTCAGCGCTGGCACGGATATAATTCAACCCCAGCCACCACTAGCCACCTCGTTTAGAGACACCACTGCCTCAGCTTATGGCACAAAGCCAACAACTGACTGGTGCTGGTGTGGTGCTGCTCCTCCAACAACGTGGTGGAGTAACAATCTCAGTTTCCGTCAAATAAAAAAATCAATTCGAACATCATCGATTCCAGTCCAAAAATCCTTGATTTCCGGACTCCGGAAATGCGCCCTTCCTCCAATGATGACCATTGCCAATCATCATTCACTCGATTAACCACAAATTCAGCTCGCCTGTGGATTAAAATAAAGTGTGCTGGAGTAACCAGCCCTCGACCAAAGTCATAAATAATCAGACAATCGAAAATTGATCACTTTTTACTTTCTCGTAAAATTGATAACACGGAAAATGGACTAACGACCAAACAACAAAAACTGCCCTCTTTGTTGTTTTTTCTTATGGCCTTTTTCTCTTATGATTTACAGTTGAAATTGCAAGTTCGGGGAAATATCACACCACAGCGATATTTAATTTGCGAATAGGGAAATAATGAGTTAGCACAAAGTTCAAACTGAGACTCGTAAAAACTTGGGCAGGGGAGAAAGTTTGGTCAGTCTATTTGCAACTGACATGCATTTCAAAATAAAGTGACCTTGCTACTCATTTGTTATGTAACTTTTTTCAAACTTCTTTCTGTCAGAAAGTTCTTGACTAATCTGATCTTATCTTATGAATCTATTCATGGATCATCTACGCTTTTGATTTTAATAACTCTAGTCAAGTTAATTCAGTATTCGCTTGAATAAACTCAAAAACAGAAGATTTCTAATTCCAATTCTGACAAAAGCGCTTACCTGGATTATATTCGAGGGGATTCAGCAGCAAGGACATCGTTACATACCCCCCCTAAAAACAAATTTCTTTACGGAGAGTCCTTAATTTTGGTTGATCTTATTTTATGAAAAAATAGTACTCCAAGAGAGACACTCTTAGGGGAAGATCTATTGTTGCTTTTTTAAATGTTCAATAACTGTAACTTTTTTTTGTTGTTTTTGGACAGAGTGAGCTGTTTTTTAATACGCCAATAATTGAAACGAGATTATTTTTTTAAACGGGATAAAAGAGAGAGTGACTGGGTGATAAATGGAAAACATGAGGGCCTAAAGAAGAAATTTCAAATTCATGCTTCGGAATTTACTTTCTGCTACTTTAGTTTAGGGTTATAAGTGGACAGAAAAAGTCTTAAATGCAGGAAATAAGGAGATCACATTGATATCGGGAAAATTTAATAGATAATTTAATTGAAAAAGATGAGAAGGAAAGGGAAATAATAATTGTTGAAGGAACTCTATTTTTTATTTATCTTTATAATTGGTTTTAATATTTATTCCTAGAAAATATATAATAAACGAAATTCTAAAAGAAAGAACTCAAAATACAAGAAATATAAAAGAACGAAAAATGAGCAGTTTTTTTTCACGCCGAGCTAATAGTAGTTTCAGTTTCAATTTTATTATCTTCTTTTTTAACTTCTGGCGAGCTGCTGCTTTCGTCCTTGTTTGAAATTTCTTCTTTCGTTTCTTCTGATTGCACAGGCTCTTTACTTTCCTCGGTCACTTCGCTTGGTTCTTGCGCTTTTTCTTCCTTGTTTTCACATGCTGCGGGCTCAATATTGGTTTCGTCCTCGATTTTGCTATTTTTAGTATTTTCTTCCTCGGAAGCATCATTTTTCTCGACGACTTCTTCCTCGGTGGCTTGATTTTCTTCGACAGCTCCAGATTTTTCTTCTACTGGAGGGCTCTTTTCTTCAATTTTAGTGTCATTTTTTTCTTCCGCTGAAGAGATCGTCGCATCAGCAGCCTTGGGCGTTTCAGACTCATCTTCTAAGGACTTGCTTTCGACTGTTTCTTCTGTTTGGATGTTTTCTGCCTGTGTTTGGTTCGTGTCGTTTTCGGCGGATTGGGTTGTTTCTTCGATTTTTCGATTTTTAATTTCAAGATCCTGATCGTGTTGATTCTCGGACTCGGACTTCTCTTCTTGTCCGTTCGTTGCTTGCTCAACAATTTCTCCACTTTCACCTCCCGTGGCCTCTGCGCTTATCGGGCGCGATTGTGGACCCGTCTCTGACACTGGCTGCTCCTCGCTAACCTGAGAGGGTTGTTCTGTGTGATCGGTCTCGCAGACGGGCTCAGATTAACACTCGATAAAGGCGTCTTGTACGCGCGAAAAAACGCCAATATTCTCAATTATCTGCACTTTCGAGTGCGTCTCGGCCACCAAGACTTTCTGGGAGATTCTCACATCTTTATCAAGCAGATAGAGCTCGGTTCAAGTCGGTCACAAAGAGAATTTTCCCTTGATCCCAGAATGAACTCTTAAAGATACACCCCCTCTAGTTCCTTGAAGACCCCCTATTAAAGGGACTGTCTCCCATAAACTATCGGTCGTCCCCTTAGATTCCCAAAACCCTAATCAATGGACCGTTTTTTGAGCCCGTGCCTTTTCTACGTCACTGGCGGATGCAATCTTCGCTTCTTGCAGGACCTTGGCGAGCTCTTCTTCGATCTCGTTGCTTGCCGAATTTTGATTCGTGCTGTTTTCTGCTTGATCTTCTTGTGGAGAAGGAGGGGGCTGCTCATCCTCGTACTGGCCGAGCGCGACTTCTTGATCGTATTTCTCGTAATCTTCTTCCGTCGGGCTGGAATCGATGCTCGGAGGAGCAGGAACCAGGTTTCCGTCCCCATAATCCGAAATGGAATTAGATCCGGGATGGTCATCCTCTGACGAAAAGTCCGCGAGTGCTGCATTTTTTTCGTTCAACGGGTTTATCCGTAGATCCCCACGAATCGTTCATGAAGCCAGCTTCTTGCTCTGGTTGGCCCCATCCTGACTAAAGAAAGGGATAAATTATGACCGCGATAGACTCACTTACTTCTGAGTTTTCTTGCATTTCGTTGCGAGCCCTTCGATTCTGTCGCTTTTCATATCGTCCTCCAGGGCGAGTAGGACCTTCTAGCGGATTAATCGATCTCGTTTGCCGGGGAGGTCGATTATCGGAGCCAAAGTCTCGGTCTCGATTACCGTGCTCCCGGTTATTTCGATCTCTATTACGATCTCGTCTGGGCGGAGCTGGCCCTGCATAGCCTGGTTCCAGATCGCCGTGGTTTCTGCGGTTGTTCCTGTCGCGTCGATTGTCCCGGAACTGGCCGTATCCGCTGTCGCGAATTTGACGATCTCCTCCGCGATCGCCACGATCGTTTCGCCCACCTCGAGAGTTATTGTAACGGTCAGAGTTGTTGCGATCCTGGCGGCCGATTTTCTCGTTGTTTCGATTTCGTCCGCCGGAGTTCTTTCCCGAGTAACTGCTGCTACGCTCATCGTCTGGGTGTTTTTCACGATCCCACTCTCGTTTCTAATAGAAAAAGGGTTGAACAATCGATCGTGTGAAAATTTTACTTACCCAGGTTCCATCTCGTCCTCTAGCACGGTTGATCCGGGCCGCATCGCATTTTGCTTGCTCAGAGCGCCAGAATTCGGAGTCACCGATTCCCTAAACAGAAAAAGTTATTCAATAAATTTTTTTAAGAATTCACCCTTTGGCGAGCTTCATCGATCTGCTGTGGCATATTTCCATATCCCCCCTTTTCGCGCCCCTTCTTCTTGAGTTTGACATCGCCTGGTTTGCCCCGCTTGTCGCGCGGGACTCTGTCCTTGCCGTACGGATCGGCGGGCAGCGGGCGACTGTCGAGGCCGTCTTTGAAGCCGTCTTCGCGCGAGCCGTCGTAGTCGGCTGGCATTTGAGTTTGCATGGTGATGCTTTGCGAGGAAGAGACCATGTTGCCCGATCGTTTGGCGCGTTGCTTGTCGGCCTCCACCTCCATGTGGCGCCGCTTGATCTCCTCGTTCATTCGAGCCATTTCGGCGAGCCGCAGCTCGAGCTGGATGTTCGGTCCTCCAGAAGCCATTCTCTTGTGATTGTAGATTCTGACGCGCGCTTTTCTTTATTGCATGAAAAGACCAATCTTATCGAATCGAACTGAAAATGAGATCTATTGGAGAGTATTTATCGACATATTTTTGGGATATGTAGAACAATTCAATCAACTCTGGGCTCGGAAACCTGTGTAAATACCCTGAGTCAGGATTTGAAAGGGTCTTAGCGAAAAGTTAATGACAGCTCTTTTAAATCCTGACTCAGTTTTCAATCCCTAGAGGCTGATCTTATTAGCTTGAGTAGAAAACCTGACTCAGGATTTGAAAGGATTCGATGTCAGCTCTTTTAAATCCTGACTCAGGCTTCCCAGCTCTGCTCAGAAGATCAATTTGCTAGCCGGCTTTCCTCGAAAATAGTGGGAAAACCCGTCAGAATAATTATCCCTAAATTGCCTGAAAAAGTCTACATGTAATTCATCACGAATCATTTTTTGAAGGAGAATAATTCTCGGGTTAATATATTTTTCTTGAACAGAAATAAAGAAAGAATATAGAACAGGAAAAAAGTAAGACAGAAATAAGAGCGGTAGAGAACGAGAAATAGGATTAGTTAGAATAAGGCAAGAAAAGTTGAAAGTTTGAAAAATTGAAACAGTAGGAATTTTTGCGGCTTGAGTTTAGTGTCATTTAGGCTGTACAGAATTCAACTAAAAACTGAGCGAAATATGTACACAAAGAGAACGAAATCGTAAATATTTTCAGGTCACAGAAAAAAGAAGCTTTTTTGATTGTAGGGTTATTTTTTTGGTAGATTGTTGCTTGCGGAACATTGAAAGGAAAGAAAATGGCACTTTGATAATAAAAGAAAATTGTAAAGAAATATTGCACAGTGTTAATAAACGGAGCTGAAGTAATTAGGAACGATTTTATGGCTTGGCGAATTTTCTTCGTGATTTTTATTCGACGAGTCTTTCTCCGCGGATGTGGTTTGCATCGCTAAAGAAACGATTACATATTGTGATATTGAAATAGATTTCTGTAGCTCAATATCAATAAAAGCCTCTAAATTTATTGGTAAATAAAAAAAGAGAATATTTGACTCTACTATTATTCTCTCTTAGAGTCTTATGTTATCAAAAATCACGTGAAAATTCCCAATTAGGCTCAATAATCAAAGATATTCCTCCAACTGTTATTACAGAATTATTACAATAAAAACTCGCTGGATTAGAATAAAATGAATTGAATCGTGGGATTAATTTTGAATTTGTTACTTCAACTATTTCCTCATTTTATTCCTTTTACAAACGAAAACGCAACCGAACGAAGAGCTTACCTTTCTTGTGGCTCTTGAAACGTCACAGTTGTTTGTTTAGGCGAGCTGGGAAGGCTCAAACCTGCACGCGCGAGATGATTGATCGTCGATCGACTTCTTCTTCTCTTGGAAGTCATTCTTCCGGACATGATCAGATCGGCAAAGCCCCGCTGATGCGAGAAAGCATAAGAGCTGCCTGGACGCTGGGTTCCAGGTCGCTGGCTGAAAAAAGATTGTAATAAAGGGACCTTTATTTGAAGCTCTCCAAAATCGATTTAATCGAAAATGACTCAAGTTCATTTTCATTTTCGCTGTTTTTACTCACCTTCCACCACGTCGCGAAATATAGCTGATTGGTTTCTTCTGCTTTCGTCGCTTCTGCTTGTAACGCTGCTCCCGAATCTAATGAAAATCGATAATATTATCCGATTTTAAGGACCCCCCCATCAAGATGAAAAAAGTCAAAATTTTCAAAAATTTTTTGCTTTTTTGGGAAGTTTTGACCACGAGGAAGAACTTTTATTCAGAAAATTTTTTTGATCTTATAGAAAATTTTGGCAGAAATTGACTTCAAAAATTGAATATTAACATTTTACATTTCATAAAAATCTTTAGTTAGCTATTTTTTAACAGTAATTAAGGGTGTACCAACCATCAAAACTATTTCTATAATAAACACGAGTATAAAAACGTTATTCAGGGCAATTTAGGAAATGATTACTAAAAATGTAAATCTGGAAATTCGACTAAGATTCGACTTATGAAATTTTAAAGGGGCTGTCCTCCTTAAGTTCGTAGACAAAAAACTCTCAAAAAGCAAACGGTCGTAGCTTAGGGCCTTAACTTTACCATGAAAAAAAATTAAGGGTATACCCCAACGAAAACCCCGAAAAAAACGTTCACTAAGCAACTTTACCTTTAACGGCCTGTATAACCTTAAATTTGGCATCGAGAGATCATCCTAAGGGGAACGGTTGCAGTAGAGGGTTTGATCTAAAGGATGCAATTAAAATTAAGGGTCTAGCTAAGATAGTTTTGGAGAAAAACTTTCACTAAGATGCCCTATTTTCGCGATTCTTGATGGGGGGGTCCTTAAAATGGAAAATTCGCAAATGGAAAACCCAGGAGGCAGAAGGCTTAATTTCCGACAAGCTTACCTTTTCAGCATCTGTTGGCTTTGTAATCGATTTGTAGAGTCGAAAAGCAAGCACTGGAATAACGTAAATGATGATCGTCAGCAAAAGGGTTAGCCAGAAGACGGGCTGAAATTGGATCAACATTTTAAGACTCCTGAAGAATAATCGTTTACCTTGTCAATAACAAATCGACCAACACCAACGAAGGGAAACATCCAAGGGAAGAGGGCGTAAACACCATTTGAGTACATGAAAAAGTGCAGTGCAAAGTAAAGCAAAATCGAGCCCCAGATGAAGAAGTGGTTTATCAGCGTCCAATAAGCAGTGTCAAGGGCCACTTGAAGATTGACAATGACGACTGAAAGAGTAATTTTGAGAATTCAATTGATATTCTCTTGGGAAGTGATTGAAATCAATGAAGAGTTCCTCTACGCCCAATTAAATAGCGATTAAAACGCTTTCGAAATGAGTGGAGTTCAACTCGCGTGAACTTTTCTATTCTTCTTGGAGGCGAAAGAAAGTACTAGGAGTCGAAGTTACCTAAACATGTTGCAACGAGAAAGGCAAACGCTTGCCGTCCAAAGGTCATCCCGTCAGAGTCGTTATCAGTCATCCCCCACTTTTCATTGCCCGTGGCTTCCATAAATATACACATAGGGACGAAGAACAGAATTAGCGATGTGATCACAGCTCGGAGGACACTGCAAATGCTCGTTAAAACCTACGTCTCAGCCCTTGAAAAGTACCTATACAAGAAGATTCGCAAGTTAAACAGCTTTTGTGCTTGTCCAAGGCGATATAAACTGGGGTTAAGAATACACATTTTGTCGTTTACATCCTGAACTCAAATATTAGACCACTCTCTATCCAGGCAAATATGTACTGACCTTGTCGAGCAGACCAAGGCAAAGGGGAGGAAAGGAGGTGAAGAAAACATTATAAATCGTGATCATCCACTGATCATACACATTAGCAGCACTGAAGCCGCACAGGAACGCGAACCAGAAGTGAATCAGCGTGAAGGCAAAGTTCTTGTAGAAAAAGTAATCCAGAAAGCGACACATTCGAAAGTAGGACCAGCGCCCGTGCACGAGCAGAAGGCGTTCTAGATATTTGAACTGGGCGATTGAGTAGTCGGACGCTAGAACAGCTTGGGTTCCTTCTTCGCCGGAGATGCCAACGCCAATGTGTGCTTCTTTAATCATGCTGACATCGTTCGCTCCGTCGCCGATCGCGAGCGTCACTGCTGCCTGCGTTCTCTTCACTAGCTGCACAACCTTAGCCTTTTGCAAGGGAGTGACTCTGCAGCAAATGACCGCCTTGCATTTGAGCGCTACTTTGAGCAAGTCATGTTCTACATCTGGCTCGAGCGCGTGACCGAGCGCATGGCCCGTGATCACAAGGCCGTAATCGTTGTCTGGATGACATTTCTGGCACAATGTTTCGAAGTTACGTAACAACTCCCTCTTGACTTCGAGGCTAGACTCGCCATCGACGATGAACACGTCGAGCATGTCATCGGTGAGCAAATTGCACGAGTAGCCAATATTGATCGCAGTTTCCAGTTTGTCGCCTGTGAGGACCCACAGCTTGATTCCAGCCCTGCCCAAATTCGCGATCGTCGCGGGAACATCTTCCTGTAGCTTATCCTCCACGGCTGTTGCGCCGAGGAGAATCATCTGTTGCTCGATCTCCTCGTAGGAAGCGCAGAGTTTTTCCTCCCGATTGTCAATGGAGCAAGCAGCATCGGTGAATTTCTGATTCCACTTGTCAAACCACTCCTCGTCTATCTCCCTGTACGCCAAGCAAAGCGTCCTCAATCCTTCCGCAGAAAACTCATCAAGATGCACTTTTGTCTGTTCGATGACGTCCAGGTCTTCATCGGTCGTTTCTCGCAGTCTTTCCATAACAGTCATATCCGCCCCTTTACAGTAGAGCATGATTTTACCCTTCGTCCCGTCTGGTTCGATTTTCCGCACGATCACAGACATCCGTTTACGCACATTGTCGAAGTCGAGGATCTGTAAAAGCTCGAAGATGATGTTCTGATCCTGCGTGGCATCATAGATTGTGATCGTATCCGGACTTCGGCTTCGGAAAACAAAACCGAAACATCTGGCAGCCTTTACTAGGGCTCCTTCGTCTGGTGATTGAGCTTGGTAGACTATATTTCCATCGTCCTTGTACTCTGGCATGACAGTATGATTCAGCGCAAGAAGAGTAAAGAACTCTTTCTCTTTTTGATGCTTTTGGGAAAGAGCCGCGAGCAACCTGTTGTCGTTGAAGGTAAACTCGTGATCATACCATCTTGGGTTGAAAGTATCGAAGTCACAAGGCTCCGACTGATTTCCATAAACAAGCCCGGATATAGAACACATCTTGAACTGCATGATGTTTTGCGTCAATGTTCCAGTTTTATCCGAAAATATGTACTGAACTTGCCCCAGCTCTTCATTAAGCGTCGTTTTCCTCGCTTCTGCGCACTGATCTTTCAGAGGCGAGTACATCTGCCGATCCCAGTTGATGAAGTACGACTGCCCGAGACGAATGATTTCCACAGAAACATAGAGTGAGATCGGAACGAGGGTGTTTAAGACGATAATATAACTCCAGAAAATCAACGAGCCACTGATCAGCTCGGGAATTCCCTTTTCGCAAGGATCCTGAGTCATGTTCGTTTTTCGCTCGCACTCGTCGATGAACTCCCAAGGGAGAAATGCTTGGAAATGATCCCCGTGGTACATTTCAAAGATGATGTGGCCGACCATGGATACTACCGCCAGCATGATCAATCCGCCACCGATGTAAACGACTAAGCGATTGAGAAAATTATCCACAGACGTGCGTTTAAAGTAGGTTTTGCCTGCGTTTTGCATTAGCTTCGTGTCTGGCCCAGCGAAAATGACAACGCCAAAGGCCCAGTCGACGTTCCTCATCGTCGTTCCTCGCAGGAGAATGTTGTCGTTGCTCAGTGGAAAACGTTTTTCCTGTCTGCCCGAGTCGTTTCTCCATGAAAGGGTTCCGACAAAGTGGTCTAGTCGGTTATTTGGTGGCTCGCAGAGTATCTTTCCATCGAAAGCTGCGAGCTTGTAGCAGCTGAGGCCATCTGGATCCGTTTCCGGGTCCATTAGATTTCCAGTCGCTTGGATTGCGTTTCGTACCTTGAGATTAGTCTCTCCGTCAAGTTCTGCTGTTTCAATATAAGCTAGGTGATGGGGGTCGCTTGTCGAGAGCAAAAGGACGTCAGCAGTGACGGATTCATCCTGCTTGATTTTAATAATATCGCCAGTTCTTATATTCATCCATTTTTCCTTTGTCAGGAGATTTTCCTCGGTCATATTTGTCGGATCGAGGACTTCGACGATGCGATTGTTGACGGAACGATCGGAGCGGTGTCGGTTGAGATCGTCGAGGCCATCTTTGACGGCGGTGATGCCCAGGACGATCACCAGTGGAATGATGGTGGTAATAGGCTCGAGGGAGGAAATCACGGGAATACATTGAAGAATGATTAGAATTGCGAAGTAAGCGTTGGCCAAACGAGTGAATTGTTCGTACAGACTGAAAATGAGATGATTAAAAATTTTCATCAGCGATTAGAGGGGGGGGCAAGAGGGGTAAAAACTTGGGGGGAGAGACAGGTTATAATGAGGTGGGAGGGGGGTCATAATAAGAGGGGCTTAGAGTTAGAAAAATGATATTTTCGAATATGAACTTACTTTATGGGAAGATAGCTTATGATTGTGTACTTTGATGTTCTAATTTTGTTATGCGCATGTTTGAAATTTTCGTGTTTATTCCCGCAGCGAGCGTTTGCATAGATAGTCCTTTGCGTTTCTGTCGATTCCTTCCCCTTGTGACCTTTGAGAAGCTTGAATAAAAAGCTTGACATGGCATTTTCTAAATGGCTCTGTTTTACGAAGACATAAAAACCAGATTGATCACCTGGCATAGGAGCTCATCGAGTCGCTCAGTTTTCACGAGAGGGAGGCGAAATGCTGATCTTTCATTTCTTTGCGTTCTAAAGGCAATTTTTGGTGCGACTGGTTCTATTTCTGGTTTAATCTTGATGGAATTTGAACAGGTAGAGTAGAATATAATGAAAATTTTTCGCAGTTACTTTCAGTTTTCAGTATTTTTAAATTTGTCATAAATGTAGCCAGAAAAAAATACACATAAATTGCTGTAAATTGGAGGATTAAAATAAGCAGGAAAATTGTTAAACTGAATTCAAAATTCGAATTTGTGAAATATTTAAATTTTAAAAAGAAGATAAAAGAGACGTTGATGGACAAGGGTTGCTTCGATGGAGGAAAAAGAACGGACAAGGGGCAAATTTCTAATTAGAAATCGGATTTGAATTGGAAATGATTGAACAAGCATGCTAGGGGAGAAGAAAAAGCGTATTGAGTACAACGATGATTTGATGATTCTTTACGGAGTCGGAGTTTTGACCGTTTCTTACAACCGAACTTTTGAACACCGACTTCTGATACAAATGTTTATGGCTCCTACAGGTAGTAGTAATTCGAAAGGATATGGAAATTGAAGACAAGACATTGAAATTTGAACGGTTTCTGTAACAACTTGTATAAACTTGTTCGAAAAAAGGTAACTTTTTAATCGGATTTTGTTTTGAAAAAAAATTATGCGTAAAAATCATCTTGGTTAATAAAAAAGAATGAAAGAAATAAAAGAAAATGAACAAACTAAACATGTCAATATATTTTTTGAATAAAGAAAATGTGAAGATCCGAATGTGGTTGTGGTTTATTCAAGTAGGCGAGAGAGAGAGTGTCTTTGTTGTTTTCAGTTTACAAACTTTACAATTTGCAACAGGATCCGGGTCCGCCTGAGCTCGATTGGTTTCCCCCTTGCAAATTAACTCCTGTGGCTACGTTGTTGTCCTCAATTGGCCTCTGCTTGTTCAGAATATCCTCAGCGAGCTGAAAGAGGCGTTGGAGACATAGAAGAGTACCATATTGAAAAGTTAAATTGCGATATTTTACCGTATTAAAAGCGAGTTCGATATTGATATTCTCTTTCGCCGAGGTCTCAAAGAACTTAATTCCATTTTCTTCAGCGACTTTCTTCCCACGCTCCTCCGATATTAAACGCTTATCTTCCATATCGCATTTATTTCCTGAGAGTGTCATTAGCTGAATCGGCGGGAGAAATGAGCGACTTACCTATCAGCATCCTTTCGACATCTTCGGACGCGTGCTCGTTGATATTTCGTAGCCATTTTGAAATATTGTCGAATGTCTTCGGCTGCGTGATGTCGTACACCAGGAGAATTCCGTTTGCTCCGCTGAAAGAATGATTTTAGTCACGTAAAAAAGAGGTTCAGCTGAGGGTTCGACCTCGTAGCTCTGTTGTTCAAAAAAAAACAGCATGACACTCGATTTGATGATAAGGCCTTCATCATTTTTATGAAGAATAGCAAAAGGCGAGTGCGGAAGTGGTATGCTCACATGATGAGCGACGGGAACTCCCGTGGACTAATCCTGTCAGAAACTGGAAACATATTTGCTTGTTTTGGTAGCGAAGTAACCACTCGGCCAGAGCGCCTTGAGCACTCGCCTTGAGAAACTTGCTTTTTGCCCGAGAACTGGGGCTTTGCCGTTGAATCAGTGTGATTCAAGTTAAGAATAAGTAGCTCTTCATTGAAGTTAGACAAATTTAACAGATAAGCTATCGCCGATAAGGGTACTACAGAAATACAAAAGCGAGGATAGTTCCGACTCAATGGTTCAGGCTCGATCTCAATAAATGCTGGAGATAAAAGAGCAGAACGATAATATTAGGACTTTTCTAAATATGAAATATGAAAATTTTGACATGGAAGAAGAAAAACCATCTTTCTTTCGGCGATGTGTGAACTCAAGAACGAAAAAAGCAGTTGCATTTTTCAGCATTTCGATGATTGTTTTCGCCATAACTGTCGTCTGCGCTTTTTCACTCCAGAATCCAAGCAATTCAGAGAAAAACGAATCTTGTACCACTCGACCCTGTGAAAATTCCGGTCGTTGCATGAGCTTGCCACACGCTGCTACTCGCAACGTGGAGCCAACATATTCAACCCGATGTTCCTGTACTCTTGGATTCAGCGGAAAATTTTGCGAACTTACGCCCTGCTCGGAAAATCCTTGTCAAAATGGGGGTTCATGTGGTGTCAGATATGGGACTCACGAATGGCCTAAAACTCTTTTCGCAGTTCCTTACTGTACTTGTACCCCTAAGTTTTACGGCCCTCACTGCAAATTTAGTGTTGCCAGTGGGAACATGACAGAATGACATGAAAAAATAAACCAAAAAATGCATAAAAATCAGATCGGTTGACTGTTGTTGATTTTATGAAAGGCCCTAATCATTTTCAAAACATTCTTGAAAAGAACAAAAGGCGACGGCGGGAGTAGTATGCCAAGATATTGAGCGATGGGAATTTATTCCCATGGAAGTGATCCTGAAATCATGCTTTGGACTGGACGCCCTCACGAAACTGGAGACTGCTAGTCGGTGAAACGAAGTAACCACTCGGCCAGAGCGCCTTGAGCTCGAGTAACAAAAAGGCTGGGTTAGTCTTGAAAATGAGTGTCGAACTGAAAATAATCTGTTTCATCGTGATTCGATCACGCGCCTTCTTTGATTATAGCGTCAGCAAATGCTGAAAAATAATGCCACTTCAACTAAGTTTATCAAAGAAATAACACTGTTTGAGGCTACTAGCCTCAAATTACTGTCAAATTGAATAACAATAAATCAAAATTATAAGACCAAAATAAGCCGAAAAAACAAGCCTCCGACAAGACTCGATCCCGTGACCTCACGATCCATCTCTGTCAATGAATTCAGAAGGGGATTAGGAAGTCTTGAGATTGTTTAACTAATGATGACATTGAAAAATGAAACAAAAGGCGAGAGCGGGAGTAGTTTGCTCGGAAATAACGAGCGACGGGGATTCCTCCCCGCGGGACTTTTTCAGAGTTCAGGAGTTGAAAAGAGTTTTGAGTAACGAAGTAACCACTCGGCCAAAGCGCCTTGGGCGAGGAGCGGTAGAAAAACACTTTTGTACTCTATCTTACCGATAGTAGCTGGTGGTGATTGTGTGGAATCGCTCCTGACCGGCAGTGTCCCAAATTTGAAGCTTGATTTTCTTTCCTTGGAGCTCGACGGTCTTGATTTTGAAGTCGATGCCGATCGTGGAAATAAATGTTGTGTTGAATGTGTCGTCCGAAAATCTTGAAAAGGGATGAAAAAGGGACGAACGCAGCCTCTTACCTGAAAAGAACACATGTTTTTCCAACACCGGAGTCGCCGATGAGGAGGAGCTTGAAGAGCAGGTCTTCAAAAGGTTAAATATGAAACTTGAGCGCGAATTCTAGCGCTTTTAGAGAGGATTTTCCGTATTGAAACCTTGGCATAAGTCTTTTTCGCCATTTTAGAGATCTCTTTGTTTCTTGTTTTCTTTCTTCAATTGAATTGGAATCCGTTTATTTGCGCCTCTTCAGGATGTAAACGAAAACACAGGTAAAACTGAGTAACTTTTCTGAAAAAACGTTGTTTCAAAAATTTGAAAGATTCATTTTTTACGAACCCAGTTCTTCGCTTTTGAAATCAACAAGGAAAATGAAACGACAGGGAAATTTTTTGAAAGGAACACGGTGGTATTTTTCTTGGAAACACAACAGTACTTTTTTAATTTGATAGTTTTACGTTGAAACTATCGAACTAATTTATCGCAAAAGTAAGAAAAGGAACAGCTTGAAGCAATATTTGAATATTTGAAGACATTTTCATTATTTGTATTGAAAAAAAAAACGGAATTATAAATATATATATTTAGTATTGATGAAACGGTATTTCAAGATTTTTGAATCTTGGGCGGCAACAAAAGAGGTTTGGATAATAAAAAACAGTACGACGATGTTTTTTTTTGGTTTGCTTGTGTTTGAGTTTGGGAAAGTTTGTCAGATCATGCAGCTCTTGAGATCATTGCAGGGGACGAGTTAGACGTCGACGACCATCTTTTTGTGAACATCAAGTCCAGATGAATCGACGAGCTAAAGAAAATTATTAGTAACCGTGGTGCAAAAGTGATTCATGAATCATGGTTCTGTTTAAATTGAGATCAAGGAGGAGTACATCATCTATTCAAATATGACCGTAAATTACAGTCAGGAAGTCTTCAGCCAATAAGAAATAAGGTTTGGTTGCCTTTTACAAGGACATGGAATGTGACAACCTACGTGAGTTGTAGGCGTTCTTTGATTGGCCAAGACAACGAAAACTCCCCTTTTATTGGCTGAAAACCCCTCAATTTCGTATAAAACCCAACCCCCGTCTCAATTAAAAACAGGCCATATTGTTTCTTCAATCTATTTGCCGCTCTCAAATAGATTCAGAAAAAACGTAAAATCAATAATTGCCGATACAGAAAAATAGAACAAATTATTATGAAAATTTCTCTGGTTGGGAATAAAAACATATGTCGATACTAATAACGCCGCGAATCAGACGGAGTGATGGTGATTAGTCCCCTTTTTCGGTGGTGAATGAGGTCTTTTTTTGCTCTAAGCTACCTACCCCTGGTGGCTTTGAGTCAGTTTCTCGACTATGACAAGTTTAATAGCTACGCCGACATTGACTTTTGGCTACGCCAGCTAGGGGCTGATGTATTTGGACTTACTCACGAGGGAAGAAATTTACGAGCTTATGAGAAGACGAATTTTTCAAATGAAAAGGTAAAGACGAAAGGAGCGAAAGCTATGTGCTTTGAAATTTTTTGCTTCATTTTATTCTCTAATTTTTTCAGCTCATCGCGATTCAATGCGGAGCCAAGGGAAATGACCAGCTCGGTGTCGCATCCTGTATCAAGTTGATCGACGATCTCTCTAGCGGAAGGAATCCCTATTTCGAAGACTTTAACTGGCTAGTAATCCCCCTTCTCAATCCAGACGGTTATGATTACGCGCAAACTTCAGGAAACGAGCTCAAACAAAAAAGTCGCCCGCGAAGGATCACAAGATCCCTAAATTCTTTTTTTTTTATTTTTCAGACGTTGTTTAGTTCGTGTGAGACAAGTTCTGGACGAAGAACAGACAGCGACACGGAGACGGATCTGGCTGCGTTGGAACCGCTATTCAAAACAACTTCAACACGAGCAGTTGGAGTTACGGATTCGTGGACAACAATCCCTGTTCTGATCAATTCGCAGGATACGAACCCAGTAGCGAGAAAGAAACAGAAGCGCTGGAGGATCTATTGAGACGGCCAAGCAAATTCCCTGATCAGTTCTTATCTGTTGAAGCTGACGGAAGCCTGGTGGCTGTTTCCTGGCCATATTCCTCCGACAAACAGTCCCGATTTTGGAATGAGCTGGAGCCATGGGCTCGAAAAATTGCCCAATCGATGAGTCGAAATTCAACAGAAAAGTACTCTTGGACTCAAGGAACCGGCGCTGGCGGACGACCAGAAGATCACGTTCACGAGATGGCCGAACGATATAGAAATATTCCCTCTTTCGGTGTGAATCTAAATTGCGATTCGTGCGAGGAAGATGAAATTTCTCAAGCCTACGCTGATCTCTACGCCGGCGTGGGAATGGCAGTTGATCAACTCAGCCGGCCGTATTACCCCAACTTTCGAAATATTTTCGACTACATCGCTTGGGACGATGGCATGTTCAAATGGGACGTTGTCGATTCCAAGGTCTACGATGGATTCGACTTCTACACCCTTAACATTACCGCCCAGCAGTGGCTAACCGACCGGGACGTTCGCGCTCCAATTTGGTGGCATTTGCTCTGCATCGCCGTTCCCCACAATCTCGACCCGCAAATGGCTGGATCTGCCATGCTAATTATTGATGGTGGATTCAACCCTAGCACTGGAGGCAACCCTATTTATCCAGAGGAAAATCTCAACGCAGCGTTTGTTGGAAAAATTGCCAAAGAAAGTGGAGCGATTGCCGCGAATATCTACTTTGTTCCGAATCAACGGGTGTATTTCGTCGACGACTGGGACGAGTACTACATCTCTCGTGGAAGAGGAGAGGATGCAATTATCGCCTACACCTGGAAACGATTCATCGACACGCCCAATTTAGGACCACAAATCGACGAGCCACACTGGCTTCTTCGATTCCCCATGGTCAAGTCTGTCGTCAAAGGCATGGACGCAATCAGCCAGTTCAACATGCAAGAAGGTCGCGAGGAAATCAACAAGTTCACAATCACCGGCGCGTCCAAACGAGGTTGGACGACTTGGATCACTGGTGGTGTTGATCCACGAGTGAATGCGATCATGCCCGCTGTCGAGACCTTTGTGGGCATGTCTGATGTCTTGCACGGGCATTTCCAAGCGCTGGGAGGCTGGAGCTTTGCTTTTGCGGACTATATGCGCGAGGAATTGACAAAATACATGGACAGTTATGAATTCAACGAAATGTGCAAGCACATCGACCCAATTAGCTATAAGGACAACCTGACAATGCCTATATACGCGATCATGTCCGCTGGGGATGAGTTTTTCTTGCCCACTGATGCTAAGTATTTCTACGATAAGTTGCCACAAGTTTATCTCAGGTAAGACAAACATTTCAGTAAATAGCTAAATGCCGAATCAGAACAATGCCAAATTGCGAACACGAAATGATCGGGCAAGGAAGATCCTCTCCTTTTATCCAGTGGGCGATGACCTACTTCTTTCTGGCAGTAAACAAAGGACTCGATATTCCCCAAATTTCTTGGACCACCGATGACGATGATGAGCGATTTGGATTGATTGCCGAAACAACCGGAGATTGGGAAGCTGAGGGCGCTTTTCTCAAAGCCGGGGAAACACCAGACTCGGTAAAATAATGAAAGACACGAAATTTTGCTTACAAAAAAATTAGATTTCCGACTGGCAAGAGCTCGATATGAGGATGACCCGCCACTGCCCGATGCTATTCTTGAAGAATTCGATTTCTTGGAGAAAATTAAGATCGAACGAATTTGGTGGAATCCGAAGAACCCGACCCAACTCGATGAAAATCGAGTAAAAGTCTCGTTTCCGAAAACTGATGAATTCTACCAAGCCACTTTCTTCCAAGTCACCCATCATCTTGGAATCAACGATCATACCGGATTGCCCATGAACTTTACCCAGGTTTGGAAAAAAGATTAAGGGTTTCAAAAGCGTATTTCTAAACTTCAGACTACCCTCGTTCATCACTACCCGTACGAGTACCCGAATGAAGACTGCTTCATGGAGGGCTGTTTAGGAACTCTTGTTTAAGATTGAAACAAATCACTGTTCGATAGAATCAATAAATATCACTTTGAATTAGAGAATTAGGGAATCATTAATTTTGAATTTGAAATACTCACGTCACTCGTGACCTTCGGAAAATGAGTAAATAACTGGTGAATTGAAAATCCTACTGAGCGCACTACTGCTACAGGTGTCGGAGGAATTCTAGTGTGCACAACACACCAAAGAACATCTCTGTTTTTTATCAAAAAAGTCAAGTACTTACGGCGCAAAATTCGCTGTACGAGATCTTTCCATCGCCATCCTGGTCTGCGTAAATAATCGTTTTGTCAACAATCTGCTGTAGTTGAGTGTCTAAAGTTGAGAGAGAGTGAGTAATGCTGACTTTTTCCAGTTCTCATGATGTGGCTTCGAAGAGAGGAACAGTAATTGTTTACCTTTGAGATTAGTTCCGACCATCATTTTCAAAACTTGGAAGAGCTCTCCGTTCGAGATGAAGCCGTCTTTGTCCATGTCGTAAATTTGGAACGCGACTGAACAAAGAAATTAAAGATTATAGTTATGGATAGGTTCTATCAACCAAAAACTGGATTTTGATTGGTCCTTTGAAAGTTTAACAGCTTCTGATTGGCTCAAGCGAAGAATGAGAGCTTCTGATTGGTTCTCATAAAGCAACTTTGCTTCTTATTGCTTTTCATGCCTTCATTAGCTTCCAGTTAAGATTGTAATTACATTTTAGCTTGGAATCCTTGTCGCCCTTGACAGAAAACTGGGAAACTCCTTCGATGAATTCTTTGAAATCGACTTCTCCATTTCCATCTTGGTCAAAAATCTCTATCACTCGTTGCACCAGCGGGTTTTGATGCAATTCCGGCAAGCTACGAATTTTGACGGGAAGAAAAACAGACTAAACTTTACCTCATAAACTCGTCGACAGAAAGGGAGCCAGAATTGTCGAGATCGAGCTTTTTGAATCGCTTGCCAAGTCTGGCGATCTCGTCGGAGTCGAAGTGAGAGCACATCTCGAGCGGAAGACTGTGTTCATTTCCCTAAAAAGAATTATTCACGCGCTCTTTTTTAAATCCTCTCTTGAACTAACGTCAATTAAAATATTGAAAAGACGCTGATTGAAAAACGAGCTCATTTTTTTCAAGCTTCAAAATGATTTTTCATTAAAATTAACAATGAAACGCTTGATCGATCGATTTGGCACTGCACGCATCAATTTCCGTAAATTCAAAATTATAATTCCACAGATTCAAAAAAAAAATCATTTTTTTTTTCATTTCACTCACCATCTTTTAATTTTGACGCTTCGAGACCTCGTCTCAAATCTAAAAACACCAATTTTTAAAATAAAAAATCTTCCTTTTTTTTGCTTTTTCAGTCAGGAAAGAAAAAAAAGAGAAGAAGAGTCACTCTTTCGCCCACTACGCTTTCAGTAACTTCGAGTTAATCAATATCCATTTGCTGCTTCTTCTTACGAACAGGGACGGAGCCCCGTTTATTTCGTTTTCGGGAGGCCAGCTTCAGTTTTGACACTTCTTTGACAGCTACTTCTTCTATAACGTCCATTTCTTCTTCTTCGCCTGAAATTTCTGCTTCCATTTCTTCCGTTTCTGAAAAATCATTTTTGTCTCTTCATTTTTCCAAAAGAAAAAGGGCAGACTTCAAATATTCAGAAAAAGAGGGGGTGATCAAAAAGTGCGTAGCTTTTTACGTGTCATCGCTCTCCAGATTGAATTAACCCAAAATAGCTCTACGCACCTGACGCCGCGTCCTCCCGAAGCCAGGGCATCAGATCGCTCAAATCATCGTCTCTCTTTCTTTTCGATGGGCCCTCTTCTCCATCGTCTTCCTCCTCTTCGCCCATTCCGCGTTCTTCGTAGAAATTTTCAACATCTTTTCCTCGACTTCCCCAACTGCGCATTGGCCGGAAGGTTTCGCCACTCTTTTCGCATTCTTTGACTAAAAATATTCACTAAAATGACCCGGGTTTTCTTTACATCTATCAGGCTGTCGAGCCGGACTACAGTCACTTACAGTGCGCTAGAGCCTTGGTGAACTTCTGGCCAAAGATATGCCGCTGAATGTGGACAACTTCGTTTTGAATCGATCGTCCAGTCAAATTACAGTAAAGCATCTTTGAATTCTTCTTGTTTTCAACTAGATGTGCTCTAGGAAGAGTTAAGCTAATGAACTCGTTCTTTTTCGTTACCTGAGCTCTTCAAACTTGGCATCTGGCTTTTTCCACTCCTTGGCGAGTCGTATGAATTTCTTTCCTTTCATGTGCTGCTCGATTACTGCCCGCTTAGGGACCATTTCGTGCCCCGTGAGAGCACATTTGATCCTTCAAAAATAAGTCAACTTTTTCTTTTTTTGTTCAAAATTTGATTGGCTGAAAAATGTTCTCGGACATTTTGATTGGCCAAGAGACCATTTTTATATTGAATCATTCCTTGACCAATCAAAATGCTCGAAACCCCGTTTGGACCAATCAGAATCCAAAATTAAGAAATCAAGATTTCTTTTTTGATAATTTTGATAATTCTAATTTGATTATTATAATAATAATCAAATTTTTTACCTTTTACTTTCAGTAACTGACAGTGCATCATGAAGAGCGGCGATTTCTTCTGGCGATTCCATACTAAATTCAATTTTACGTAACTAAAAGTAACCCTTCTGGTGTTCTAGAAAAATATATTGTTTTGTAAAAATGTGGTAAAGCTTGTGAAAGTTAAAGTTTCAAGTTGGGAACGTCTTTGACGAATTCGAAGTCACGATCTGGCTTTTTCTCTTGCATCTTCTTCTCGATGTGGGATTGGAGATTTGCGTTGGTGAACCAGGCCGCGGCGAACGCGGTAGTGTCAGTTGGTCGTTTGTGAGAAATGTCGCGCAGGAACTCGGAGCACATTCGGTCCAGTTCTGGGTGCTCCTGAATTCAAAGTTTGAAAAATAAAATGGGAAGATTTTGCGGGTCATGTCAAATAAGATAAATTAGGGTCTTCTTTGAGAAGCCGCGCGCGGCTCAAGCTTGAAACTTCCCTGATATTCAGGGTCTAAATCAGACCTTCTGAATACATGCGGCAGTTTTCTGTAAGCCAAGCCCTTTTTTAATAATTCAGAAAGAAGCTTACTCGAATATAAGCTTCGTCTCGCTTTTGTGTGTCGACTTTTAGCTGTCGCAGCTTCTGCCTCTGTTCTTCGCTCAAAGCTGGTCCGTCTGACGGTTCAAGCGCGCCTTTTGTCAGCATTTTTTCTGAAGAAAGAAAATCATTGAAGAGAGTTAAAATGCTATCTCAATACATTAGATTTAGTAACATTCAAAAATGAGTTTTTTGAGGATGATTTTTTTAATTTTTAAAGTAGACGCAAGTTAGAAGCTGATAAAATGGAGATAAAGAACAATAAAAGTAAAAATCCTAGGAAAAAAATGGTGTTGGAACATTCATTGGTTAATTCATTGCACGGGCGTAATTATGATCTGTTTTACTTTTCTCCGCCCGTTCTCGTAAATTGTGAATAAATGACCAAAACGGATTGAAAACAGTAATGACTGCAGCGGCAAGTAGATAATTTGGGGTTGGCTAGGTCTCGGGAGCTTTTTTGAGGATTTGGGGTGTCTCAGCCAATCAGAGATCAGTATAGGTCCTCTGAGCAAATCAAAGGCAAGATTTTTTTGCCCGAGCCAATCAGAAGCCGTTATAGTTTTCTGAGCCAATAAGATCTCGGTATTTTTTTCATGGCCAATCAGAGACCAGTATACGCTTTGTCAGCCAATCAGAGAGCAAAAGTCATCCATAAAACCCCACAGACCACACCAACCCCAAAATAACGAAGCAAAAGAAGGATGTTTTGAACAAAATAAAATTAATAAAAATAATAATAATAAAAGTATGTAATGCGGGATTATCAGGGGTGGTTTTTTCGAAAAAAGGGTAGAGCACGCGCAACTTTTAATAAAATTTTCAATGTTATTAAGAATTGAGTGAACCCATTATTTTAAAAAAGAGACCTTTTTCGATTTTCAGCTTAAAAGTTTTGACTATAAATCAGACAACATGCAGCGGAAAAGGGTGAAGCTCACTAGTACTGTACTGTACCAATTACTGTTCGTTAAGTGCGATAGTTAAACGGATAAAAACGAGAAATGGGAAAAGGACAAAAATAATAAGAATCACCAGCGGCAGCTGCGTGTTGTCTGCTGTTTTTCGCGAAGTGACTGATGTCTCATCCCATTTAAAAATAAAAGTCACTACGTAAAAAACAAATTGTTGTGTTGGACACTCTTCGTTAGCGCCTTGTTATCAGATCACAGTGATCAGCCAGTCAATGGCTTTTCTGCACCCATGATCTTCAAGTACTGTCTCGAGTTTCTAACGCATCTTATCCCCTTAAAACATCTTTGGTGAAATCAATTAAGGGTTAGGCAAAGCGGTTTCGTTTTAAAAAGAGCCTAATCCTAGGGTTATTTCAATATAAAACTCGATTCCTGAAGAGCATTTCGTGCAGCATGATTATGCGCATCGGTGAGGGTGGCTCCTTCTCCGTTGAGCACGGAGACTGGCATCGTAGTGAGCCTGACAAAGCACTGAACAAGGCCCACAGTGGAGCGTTCCTCTGAACAAAACAATCAACCCTAGAAGAGAACAAGAAGACTTACTTATGTCAAGGAATGCGACAGAGAATTGGTGCTGGACTGAGTACTCGTGCAATTGCAGAATCGGGTCCGCCGCGGATTCGTTTACTAAAACACCAAACTTAGAAGTTGTTATTCTGCTAGTAATCGATTATTTTCCTCACTTTTGGCAAAAATGAACGAATCAATGAAGGCTTTAACGCGCATGAGACACTATGAAAAGGCAGTTTCATTAGACACATGCTGAGTTAATTCCTTTAATCTCGCATGGTCTTTTAGATTGTATCAGATTTCGCACGAAAGAATATCCGCCAGTCAGATTCTTCACCCTTCTTCTAGCATTCTTATTACCTTTGGCGATTGTTATCCTCTCTCCGTTGCTGTTTCGCAAGAGCTCGAGAGGCACAAGACCTCGGCGGCCATTGGAAAAACTCGAAGGGTCAATATCATCCTTAAAAATTTCTTCAAAAGTCTAACAACAATCGTAATGCTCACGGTATCTAGAACATGTTCCTTCGAGTCCGATGGGATTTCCCGCAATCTGGATAACATTGAACCAGCAGCCTTAAATTCACTCAATTTTCATCCTTTTCAAAAGTGGGAACTTACATTTCGTTTAGCGACTTTTTTGGAACTACCACTGCCGTACTCTTTGAGCTTTTCGACGGAACAACAGATGATGAACTCTTTCTTGTGGCTCGGGCCAGCTTCGGAAGCCAGGGAGTAGTCCGGAAGGCGCCATCCTCGGGAAACGACAAGTTCCTAGAGCTTATGTAAGTTTGTGATCAACAGATGCTAAAGAATAAGGGACGAGATAGAGGGCTAATCTGCGGCTAAAACCTGAAGGGTGCCAATCGGATTGATCTCCCCAGCGTGAATCATGGACTGATCCTTTTCGAGTTCCTCCCCTTTGATCGGCGGCTTTTCCTCTCCCGGGACGACACCAGATTTCAACTGCGTGAGGACGTTCTCAGCAGCTTGGTGCTTCGCCGATTTCTTCGACGTACCGTGCCCTTCGCCAGTTACGTCTCCGACAACACATCTGAATTCATGTTTTAGCTTTTGTCCCAGCTTTCGGGCTTCGGAGCCTGTGTGAAAACCTGAGTCAGGGTTCTGAAAGCGCTTTGGCTGAAAGAATAAAGCGAGAGCGACGCTTTCAACTAAAGCTCTTTGAAAACCCTGACTCAGGTTTCTACACAGGTTGGCAAGTCCAGTCTTGAGCTTACCGAAAGACGAAACTAGGCTGATGCGCACGGCCCTCCATTGTCAGTAAATCATATCGAGGCGTCTTTGAAAGTTTTTGGCAGAGTTCCTGGAGCATTGAAATCGGCGTCGCCTTTGATCTGGAAGAGTGAGTTTTTAATTTATTCAAGAGGAGATGAATTACGTTTGGCCAGGCTTGGGAACCTTCTTTGGGATGATGTAGGGAGCGGCTTGGCCGATGGTACCAGGGTCCACTGCTCCGGGTGGTGGTGGAGCTGGGGCGCCGCTTGGGTACATTCCTGGAGTTCCTAGCGACATCATCTGAACAAATCACGATGCAAACATGAGAAATTTGAGAAGAGCTGTGATTTTTTGATATCTTTCATTTGAGCTAGCAGAGTTGAGCCTAATTTGAACTGTCTCAATAAAACCTTGTTGTATGTTTCTTGATTCTGAGCTGAGGTGGCTCAATTGAGCTCACCTGAGCAAACATTGAGCAGGCTCAATCAAGCCTAATTTCTTTTTCCGACTTCTCATTAGCTTTAGCTCGGCTCATTTTGACCCAGCTCAGCTCAGTATCAAGGTAAGGTCGAGCTTTTATTAAGCTAGCTCAAATTTAGCTTGAGCTGAAGCTGGTTCGAACGAAAACTCAAAATTTAACGACTCTCATTATTAGAATAACATTTTTTCAATAGAATAAAGTATTTATTGTTTTTTTTTTTGTATATTTATTGTTTGAAGCAGTAAGGCACACGATTGAGCCTTTTTCGGATTGAGACGAATTGAAAATTGCAGAAATTGAATAATATTTTTTTTTCCAAGTGCATATTTTTAGTCTTTATTTGCGCTACTGATAAGATTGATAAGAGGTAAAGGCGCGCAAACGAGAGTTATAATTTTTAACTGAACTTTTAACAACGAAAAAATTTCAAAATAAAAATACAAAATGTACAAATATACGCACGGTCGTTTGAAACCGGAAAGAGAAGGAAAAAACAATTGATAGAAGAAGAAGGAAAAGGAAAGAGGAATGTTTTTGAAAGATAAAATTTTCGCACTATTTTGTTTTCAGAAAAGGATTTTGAGCGGAGAAGGCATCGATTTTTTTGTTTTTGGTAGTAGACTTGATAAAAGAGTTAAACATTTTTTGGCTGAAGAGAGCGAGTTTTGAGCAAGGCCATTCTTTCATTCTTTTTTGATTGCGCTTTTTTCGTCCAGGTGAGCGAAGAATAGAAGTTAAATGAGCTGGGGTGAAGAGAAATCCCCGTGGCGGTTGACTGACTCGTACCGTGGAGGCGGCGGCGGCGAGGCTTCGTCATGATAACTAAAACCGTATAAATATTTAGAAAGGGGCAAGGATTCAAAAAGAATGACGGATTCTATCTAGTGCGAGTTTTGAGTAATCAAGTCAGCAAGCGGGTTAGGCTTTGTGGTTAGCGTCTTTGTTGATTGAGCTGAAGAAGTTCGGATTTGATGGATGAACAATTAACTTGGAGATGAGGAGATAGTCTTTGTTACAAGTGGAGTAATTAAAAATAACATCAAGCAAGCTATTTCAAGAATAAAATATGGATAGCCTTCATAAACGAGTTCTAGTGCCAAGATAGGCTTTGAATAATCCTCATTTTCTCAAGAAAATCAGTTCCTTAACGCGTATTTCTGTGCTAAAAACTGTTACTCAAGTTGTTCTTTACTTAAAAACAGCTTTATTACCAGCTTTTAGCGCAGAAATCCGGGCTAAGGAACTGATTTTCTTGAGAATAAGAGGAGTATTAAAAGCCTATCTTGGCACTAGAACTCGCTATTGAAGGCTATCCATATATTATTGATACAAATAGCCGTCTCGGAAGTACTACTGAACGAATATTAAACGAGATGAGTGGTTGAATTTCTGGATGAAAGGTTCACCTAAGTCTCGATCTGCTATATCCGTAGTTATTATAGCTTTTCTGACGATGGATCTCGTCGTGATAGCTATGTCGATTGGATCTGCCATTGTGCGGCCGGAGAATTACCGGCGCACGCGGAGCATTACAAAAGCTGTGAAAAAGAAGAGTTAGAAGACTACTTGAGAGTTAGAGACAAAATTGATAACGATTTTGTTGCGTTGTCCGTTGATTCGTCATTGGTTTTGGAGAGGAGTACTTACTGGTTATCGCGGTATTGATTGTTATCGTATTGAGGGTCGTTGGCGTACAAGTGCTCATCGTCGTCTCTTTAACAAACAGTTAGAAAAAAGGAAGCAGCGGAAATCCCCTTACTGATGGTAGTTTCGCTGGCCTTGATACTTGCTCCTGTGATCGTGAGCTGGGTGATCATCGTAAGGCTCGAATGAGTCAGCTCGTTGAACCCCAGATCCGGATTGAAGATCGTCCTCGTTCACCTGAAAAAAGTATTAAATTCAAAGCCCGGATAGACACAAATTACATCGACGCCAAGATGATCGGCGAGGTTTTCTTGGGAGCGTGCCAGGAGCTGACGGCTTCGCGCGACATGGCTCATGTAGTCTGAGTAATTTGACTGGACGGCGGAGGCGACTTCGTAGTCGTCCACGAGCTTTTCTTTTGAAGCAGCGCGTTTCAGGTATTCTTGAACTAGGGGAGGTTTATTTTGAATTCAGAAAGAACACTGATAGCAACTTACCGTTAGATTGGGGTCCAGCGTGGCTTGGTTGTCGATAATCATAAGACGCGTTGGAAGCAAGAGTGTGATCCCCGTAGTTGTTTTTGGGCTTGGATTGGCTCCTTCCTTTGGCGTAAGAGTCGTGCGTGTTATCTTCGTCTTTTCGTCTGCAGCAACAGCAAATTATGATGATAAGGCAGATCACAAACGCGCCGCCTGATAGAACGTTATTGATAAAGTTCGGCTTAAATAATGTTCTTGTTTCTTACCAGCAGCTGCGATAATGATCCAATGCATCTTGCCAAGAAGCGGTTCAGGCGCAAAGAGTTCTTCTACTTGCCTAAAAAGACCGTTTTCCAAAGCAGAGAGAAAAGGTTCTTACTGAAATTTGAGGAGCTCAGGCGGAGCATCATTGCGGGCGACACAATAGACCACCTCATTTTGGGCGAGATCGCCGAGCTGCGAAACAAACGCTTTGGACGTGTATCGTTCTAATTACGGTCTCAATTTGTCAAATAGAAAGACACTTGACTTTGTTTGTCCCTAAATAAAGGCCAAGAAAGGCGTGCCTAATGGATAGATTAAATATTAACAGACGGATTGTTATTTATAGACTACGTCACGTAGGCAGCGTGTACACGTGATCGTGCTAAAATGCACAAGTCACGTACACAGCGTGCGTACGTGACCAAGCAAACTTCGACCGGTTCCTGAAGTTGGATCCCTATGAAAATCATCGATCTCTGCCATTTTGATGTTGGTTCCAGTCTTTCCAATTCTGTAGTAAAAGACAGGCTTGGGGTGGCCAATTGCAGAGCACGTGACAGTCTTCTCGGTAAGATTGCCCTTCATCTGCATATCAAAGGGTGGGTACCAGACGTTCATCGTTGTGGTGGCTTCCTGCTGAATACCGCGGAGGGATTTGTGCTGCAGCGTACATTTCAGCTGTCTTCTGTTCATCGACTTGTGGATAATTGCGCGGTATTGGAGGTGGCAGTCTTGCTTTCGCTTATCCACTTTGTTCGGCAAGCATTTCGTGTCGCTCTTTTCAGTCAGGACTTCTCCTGTCTGAATGTCGAGGAATTTCAGCTCCGGAGCGGGAAAACCACCTTCAGATCGGCAAGTCGCGATTAGCTGCTCCTTCGAATAATCGACTCCAGTGTCGTTTTTCGTCGTTTCCGATGACCAGAAATGATCGTCGACGGTCAAGGCTGGCGGACTTGGTTGGACCCAAATGACGATTTCGGTCAGATCCGTCATCGTTGGTCTGTTGCCATGGTTGTGGATCTCGCAGTAGTAGTAGCCAGCATCGTCGAGAGTCAAATCCGAAATGGTGAAAGTCACATCCGATCCATGAATAGAAGACTTCTGAACTCTTCCTTGATATCCTTCGCCAGCTGTTCCGGAACTTGGAAACACTTGCATCACGATCTTTCGCTTGTTGACGGAGTCGTCGAGCGTGTTGTTTTTGATATAAAGCAGGTACATCATGGCCACTTGGCCGTAACCGCCGCAGCCGACTTTGATCGTGTCCGTCGAGACGATCTGATTCGTGGTCCAAACATCGCGGAACTGGTCCTGCCCGCTGCGCACTTGCTTGATCGGTCGACCCGTTCTCGAACGCGTCTCAAGCTCGATCTCGCTCCCGCTATCATCGCCATCGGACTGTGAAGAGACCAGGGCTGATAACAGCCCCAGGGCGTGTAATGCACGCATTTTTTGGCTGCTCTACTGTTTTGGGGCTTCTTTCGAGGGTCGATTTTTGATGGAAAGAAGCTCTTAACCTGTGCAGAAAACCTGAGTCAGGGTCAGAAAGAGCTGCTTTCAGACCTTGACTCAGGTTTTCTGCATAAAAATTTGAGTAGAACAAAGCCGAAAATAGACCCTTTCCTATTCGAATAATTCTCTTTTCTAAAACGCGGTCTTCTTATTCTTTCTCAATCTTTTGTTCTCAATTTCGCGGTAATAAAGCTTCTTTTACTCTCTTTGTTTTCTTGATTTTTTTCTTCTTTTCTGTCTTCGTAGATCTCTTAGTTTTTACTTGAAAACGGAAAGTCGGCAATTTTTATTTCTCGAATGACTCGTTTTTTTTTCTCTGGCGAGTAAAAGAGAGGTGAGCAAGAAAGAGGGTGAATGTTGCTTGACCTGGGCCAGAAAGTGGGCGCGTTTCAAATCGACCAATGAGCGCGCGCGCTCGGCCCGTGGCGCCCGCGAGCAATTTTTCTTTGCCGAGCTGGAGTAAAATAAAAAGAACAAAGAAAATGAAAAAAGGGGACGTCTGAAATTAAAGTGCTTCCCGGAAGCTGCTTTTTTGGGCACGCGCGCCGGAGGAGGTTTATGAGCTTGTCTGGAAAACAAGGTTAACTTTTTAGGACGGGTGTTTTGAAAAAAAAATGATTCACGAGCGGAAAATACAGGATCTTTGTTAGTCGTCATTCTCTATGAGTCATAATTATTGTGATTATGGAGGACTCAGATTTTGGGTCGTAAAATAAGGAATTTTGAATGTACCCACTTATTTCTTCCTAATTACTTTATTATCCAATAAAATATAATTAGGAACGAATAATTGGGTGCATCAAATTCATTATTTTACTGCTCATTATTTGAGTCCTACATACTCTCAATAATTATGAGTCATTGTACAATAGGCGCTTTATATTTTTAGAAAGCGGCATGAAAGTATTTTCGTAAAAATGGATATTTTTTATTTTAAAAGCACAAGGCTTTATTGTGCTTTTAAATATTTAAAAATTATCCTTTTTTCTGCGAAATTATTGTCACGCCACTTTCTGGGCGGCAGAAATTCGTAAAGAATAATTTAGGCTTTTGGAAATCAGAGCAGTTTGAAAACGGCTCAATCTGTCGTCACTCAAAATAAGGACTTCAAGGCTTATCCCGCCAAACATAAACTGCTCGCTCAAGTACCTCGAATTTTCTTAAAATTTATATTATCAAAATAGAACCAAGTGCTAATTAAAAATTCCAACAAGCAGTAATTTCACGCTCGGGCGGACATAAGCTGACCTTTTAAAACTTTTAATTAATTATGATCCTGGCTGAAAAAGAAGGGGCTTTCCGGATGAGAGTGTCCGAATAATTTGCCAGCAAAAGACGGCTTTTGAGAAAGTTCCGCCGCCTGGAACGTCCGAGATTGATTTTCGCCGAGATAATCGGCCTTTTGTCCGCCTGCCCTAAATTTACACATTGATTGACCTACTCCTTCTACCAAGTTTTTGCAGCTCTACTTGAACTACTTCGGTGGGGGCCTAATCGTTAATGAGTGCCCTGAGCATACATTTTTTGGGAATTCGAATTCCTCGAAGCTGTATTTATTGATAAATTATCAATGATAATCAAGGAACCGTGACCGAAATCGAAAAAATAAACTCAAGGAAAAAAACTAACGATGCTTGGTTTTCAGCTGAAACAGCTGAAATGAAAAGCCGCGTGGCGGCTTTTTTTTTAATCGAAGCCGCAAAGCGGCTTCGCATACTTATCATTCTAGTCCATTTTGAAATTCTTTCGTGAAAAAAATCCGCTTCGAGATCTTTGAGATCCTGACTCAGGTTTTCAACACAGAAATATACTGTACATACAGTATACTGTATATACAGAATATTATATAGAAGTTATGAAGTTTATTCGATAATAATTACACTAGGGATTATGCTGGAATAATTTTTCATGGTATTGTATCATTGAATCGTGAGATGGTTTCAATAATCTGGTCCATTTGCGAAAAACATCCCAGTAGTAGCTCTTTGCTTGGTAGATTCCGCATCCTCCAGCGCCGATGACCCCCGCTAGCATCGCTTTTCCATCCACAGGGCAAATTATCGGCCCTCCTGAAATCAAAATATTTTGCAATTAAAAACTGTTTAACCCTTTACCCATATCATTCGCGCAAGTAGGAGCTTCGGGGTAAATTTGGCCGCTTTGGGAATACTCTCCTTCAATGCACGCTTGGGCCCATTTGTAAAGAATTCCTTCCTGGCAATCTGTTCCGTTTTCGAGTCGCACTCCTTTAGATCGCAGCTGATCGCTTGGAGTGCCAATAGTGGCGGAAGAACCCCAACCGGCGATCCAGCATGCTTGGTTTTGCGCGACAACTTGTTTTTGAGGCATGCAGGGTGTGTTGGTGTAGGAGGTGTCTGTGCCGTTCCAGAGGAGGTTTTCGTTAAAGTGGAGAATGCAGACGTACTGGATCATCCCGCCGCGGGGTTCGAAGGTGTACTGAGAGTCTGAAATCGGAAGAACATGATTTTCCACTCCTCAGGGCATTTTACCTTCATGGACAGTGATTGTTTTGCTTGAAAAAGTGACATTCATCGGCCAAGTTTTGCAGCACTCCGCACTTGTGAGAACAAAATGGGGATGGATGACTGTTCCGCCGCATAAATATCCGTCCGCTTGTCGTTGAATTCTTGAAACAAACAGTTGAATCAATGGTTCTCTTCCTTACCGGGCCATCCAAGGCCACTCCGTTCCCTCGACAATTTTGCCATCGATAACTCTTAAATTTTGGTCGGTTTTGTTGTAGAGTTCTGGATAGTTTTCTTGGATTGTGCAAGTACTCAGGCCGTCAGGCAGGAAATCTGGGATGAGAGTTGGTTTCGCGGTACTTGTTGTCGTCCGCGTTGATGTTGTCGTTGTCGTTGTTGTCGTGGTTGTGGTGGTGGTAGTTGTGGTGGTTGTGGAAGAGGTTGTTGTGGAGTATTTGTGTTTTGTAATGAAGTATGCTTGAGAATTATTTGAACGATCTTTTTAAAGCTTTGGTAAGAAAAGGCTATTTACTTGGAAAAAGACTGCGGAGAATCCAATCACAGTAAGTATCGTCGTAATAATTATCGCCCTTCTTTCCATCGTCGGAGTCGAGTAGTTTCTCTTTGAAATAACAACTTGGAATAGTTCAAATCGAACTGTAGAATCACTTTGTTTGAAGAAAGCCTTTGGCAAAAGTGACATATGCAAATATTTTAAAGATTTTATGTGAAAAATCATCGCTCAGATCATTCTTTCTGCTCCGCTGTTCTTCTTGTTTCCTGCAAGAATGACCAAGGTGAAGCTAACCCTAACCCCTATCATGACAGTTTTTTTGCAGTTGACCAGTTCCATAAATAAATCCATCCTTTCCAAATATTTCTCCCCCTCTCCCTTCAAAATTGAACCGATCAAAGCCGCCCTGAACGTCAAAATTATTTATTGAGCCCTTTTATTCTTCCGCCAGCGCCAAAATCTTCTATTTATCGATCTTTAGCCATTCCGTCGTGTTTGCGAAGTGAAGCCTATTTGTGATTGTCATTTGGCATTTCAGTTGTTGCACATCATATTTATTCAATTTGCTGGGAATTTTGAAATTTGCGAATTATTGAAGCAGTTTCTCTCGAAAAAATTAATTTTTCGAAAATTCAAAATTATTTCTCGACCTTGAAAATTGATCATTTTGCTAAAAATGATGTGGGAAAGTCAAGCGATGTTTTTTCGGAGCAGCACGATTTCCTGCAAGCGATTGAAGTTGAGTTTGTATGACATTTATATTTGAACGAGCGAGTTCGCTCATGATAAGATAAATATTCGATGGAGATTGGATGGCTCTAAAATTATGCTATCCTTTTTGCCATGATCGCGTCATGAAAAATCACACTGGCGCCAATCAAGCTGCTTATAAACGCTCCAGAATTTGGAGAAATGTATATTGAGATACTCAATAATGCCTTGTTAAAAAGAAAAGAGTTATTAAGTCTTCTGCGAGAATGAAAACTTTCAGATTTTTGACGTTGGCCGCAGTTTCTGCGACAAAAGAAAAGCCTCCTCCAAATGAAGATGCTCCTCGGATCCAATTTACGGACTGTGGTTTTGACACGCTCTTTGACAGCAAAACGACTAGTGTCGAGATCTCATCTCCTTTGGATCCTTTTGACTCGTTAGTGTACCCAAACTACGCTACTTGCGAGTGGAAGTTTGAGGCGCCAAAGGCCTGCGGATTCAACATTAACATCTTGCACTTCGACATTGAAGGTAATAATTTATACAATAGATTTTGCTATTTCTTAGGAGGTAGATATCAAGAATCTGGATTTTATGTCAGACTTTTCCCTAAAAGGTTAAAATAGTAACACCCGTATTTTTCTTTGAAAACTAAAACTTTAGACCTTTCTTTATTTCCTGTGTAAGCCAAAATTTCAAATTTCGAAAGAATTATTAACAAAATTATTCGTCAAAGATCGCTAACTTTCCTAAAATGGTCAATTTTGCGACAATAAAAGGTACCCGGTTTGCACTGTAGCACCATGAAAGCTCAAGAAATCTAAATTTTTAGATTCCATAGGAAAGAGATAATTGCCTGCAATTAAGCAGAAAAAATTAGGGGGTCCCTATGTTAAAAATTTAAGAAAACACTGACAGAAAACCCGATTCTTCGTACCTACCCCCCTAAACTATTTCCTTTAGCCGGTGGCTACAGTTGTTATTATGACAAGCTTTCGTTCCAAAATGCTGCGAATTATGACCGAGGTTTCTGCAATCAATACGACTATTACGGCTCATATTATGACTCATATGAGTCGTCGGGCGATTATGGACCAGATTTCGACGATCTCGAAGTTGGCGATGTTCTCTTCATCCCTGGCGACTCCTTCATGGCTAGATTTACCACTGACTTTAGCGTGAGAAACACGGGATTCGCATTCACTGTAACTCCAGGTAAACCCAGGTTTCGCTAAACAGCGAAATTGATTGCTTTAGAACACGACCCGTCAAAGTGCAAAAAGGAAGAAGACGATCATCCTCCTGTCTGCATTTGGTCCTACAACAACGACGAGTCAGTTCTGATGAAGGCCTGGGAAATCGGCGAGAAAGACAAAGCCACTCAGAGGTCGATATATTCGAACTCCTTCGAGGATGTCGATAAAGTCGGCGAGAAAGAGTTTGGAAAACGCTGCGCTGCTGGATGTCGCGACACTCCGGGCTGCTTCAAATTCAAGCTGGACGGACCTTCTACTTGTGTGCACGCAGGAAACAGGCTGTCGGATCGAAATGAAAATAGCTATGGTAGGTCGCCACTTTTTGCTCTTTCGGTAATTGATTTTTCCAGCGATCAATGGACAGGACTGTCCGAAAAAACCCTCTACTCAACTTTGGAGCGACTACAGAGCAAGGACTCAAGTCTTTTGCTTATTCAGCAGCATCACAAGCGCGGAATCTTATTTGGACTATTTGAGGAACAAGAATCCTCAGATGACAACTTGGGTAAAGATAGATTAAGGCCCCCCCGTCAGCTTTTTTCGAAAAATCAGATTTGGGAATTTCAAAATTTTGACCCCGGAAATGGATTCTACGGGTCAAAAACGATTTTGAGGCTCCATTTTTTGGGGGTCTATCTCGACTCCTTTACCCTCAAAATCGCATTTGAAAATTGGACTTTTCGCCGAAAATTGACGAATTTGCCCTAATTTTAGCAAGAATATTGATTTTTCTTGGTCAAAAATTCCTCTTATCAGTTTTTTGTAGCAACTTTAACTTAATCAGGCAATATGTAACATGAATTTTAGGCAATAAGTGACTACGGAAATTCAAGAAAAATGTCAAGAATTTGGGAATTTTCAATAGCCGAAGGAAGGACAAGCACTTATGGGACATGGTTTACGTTTTTCAGCGTCAATTATATTCGCGAATATCATGTTCCAGGAAGGGTATAAATTTTAGATTTTTAAAAATTTAAAATTTACTGATAAAATGCACCCTGTATAAAGTGAATGAGACAACAACTGGTCGAAGAAAACGTCAAACGGACGACAACAGTGACTTGCTTGACATGGTGAATCAAGTTGTCAACCAATTCATTGAGAATCTCGATGTTGGAGACGCCGAAGTTCTTGGAACCGAAGTCGCTGAGATCGAGCTTGAAACGATGGAGCCAAACGTCGAAAACATCGATTGTGCAGACGGCAACAACGGCGGCTGCTCCCACTTTTGCAACCAGGCTGATCACGTGTGTGAGTGCCCCTCCTGTTGGACGCTTTTGGAGGACGAGGCGACCTGTACTCCGAACCCAGAAAAAATCGCGATCTCTTGCGAGCAATCTGCCATGTCGCTTTCGCTCGACAAGTGCATCTACTCAACCGATGAAAGCGACGAAATCGTCCTTTCTTTCGACGATAACCGATGTGAATCCGCCGAGTCTGAGGACCAATTCGTCATTTCAACAGCCCTCGATCAGTGTGATACTTTGACGACTGTGGAAGATGATGAGATCGTGTTCAAAAATGTCATCAGCGTCAAGAAAAGAACCAACAAATACGGCATCGTTTTGAACACCGATGTTGATATTGACGTTCAGGAAAGATTCGCGAAATTTTGAACAAATGATTTTTTGTTGAAAAAGAGGAAAAAATCCGAAATCTTCAAAAAGTGTCGATTTTCGTCAGCAGTCAACGATGTCTCCTCGGCCAACTTCACCAACAGAGACGAAACCCAAGAAGTCGGAACAACCGGTCACGGCGAGTTCAAGTTCGAAGCGGCTTTCTTCTCCAACAGCGACTTCAGCGACGAAGCTTCCGACGAACAAGTTGTCGGCGAAGCTGTCTTCTTCGGCCTCTCCCCATCTGTTCCTATTGAAGACGTCACCTTCGTTGTGAACGACTGCAACGTAACCGACGGAAGCAACTCGTTCCCCGTCTTCGAAAACGGCTGCCCCAATCCAGTGGTAAACAACAACGCGATCGGTCAAAATTTCGAAAACGAAGATCTTTTCCAACTTTCGTACACTGCCTTCCAATTTTCCGGAAACGCAGAAGTCACTTCTATGGAAATGCACTGCTCGATCTTTGTCTGCATGGCCGGGCTCTGCCCAGTTGAAGAACCAGATTGCACTATTTGAGCGTTTCATTTGATCGATTCATCTTTCATTATTTAATCTGCATAGTCTGTGAACATTTCATTGTATTTTGTGAACATTTTTATTCATTCTTATCTTGTCATATGCTCTTCTTCATAATTGTTAAATAAATCAATGCCAAAAATAATGGACTAAACCAATTTACGGAATGCATTTCCGGATAACCAATAAGATTGCTGCATTTGAATTACCGGCCAATCAAAATTCTGACCCATAAAATCACTTCCATAAATAAGTTTAACCCAAAATATTTGGTAAAACCAAAATTAAGAGGTGATTTTACGGATCAGGGTTTTGATTGATCGGTAAGTTAAATGCAGCAATCTTATTGGTTATCCAGAAATCCACCTCCATTTTTTTGTTTTAATCAAAAATAATTATTTTTTATTTCAATTTGATCTTCTTCTTTCAAATCGCATCATCGAATGCTTCGGAAAGCGCATAGACAGATCTTCAGCAATATCCATATTTCCAGAAGTTCTAGAAAAAAAATCGATAAGGTTAAGGTTAGGGTTAGGGTTCAGAATTTTTGATCAGATTTTTACTGAACCTGACAAGTCGGAATTCCCGAACGATGTTCGTCGCGAAAATGAACTGTTCCTCGATGGCAATTTGTTTGCCAATGCAATATCTCAATCCAACAGAAAAGCTGCAAACGCGCAGGTCATGAACATACTCGCCATTTTTCATAAATCGATCAGGGATGAATTTTTCTGGCTCAGGAAAGTTCTCTGGATTGGCAAAAACGGCACCAACTGAACCTTAACAAGAAAACGTTTATTTAATAAAAGCTGCTGATTTTGAACCGTAAAGTGTTGATCCTTTTTCAATCAAGACGCCATCAACGACAATGTCTTCGGAAGCTTGATGTGGGATGATTTCTGGAGCAACTGGATTGAGTCGCATATTTTCAAGTAAAACAGATCTTGTATAAGGACTGGTGGGGATCAAAAACGGTGCCAATATGAAATGGTAGTAGGGGGTCAAAAGTCGGGCAGCCTTTAACCTACGCCCCTGGGACCTAACCCTTACCCTAACCCCGCCTAAGACCTAACCCAGGGGGTTAAAAACCGAGATTAGGGCTAATAGAGGACAGTCATTTTAGGGCGCCCGACCGATAACCCCGCTACACCAATGAAATCTTGGTAAAATCTGCTTTAAATTTTCTTGATATAAAATAATTTTCGAACCCGAATGTCAATTTTCTTTCTTGATCTCATTATCTGTCTCGATTGAATTCATGATTTCTTCGTACATTTTTTCTTGCACATGTGGCCGATCGGATAGCACTGCGCAGAGCCAGGTTAATGTATTGCTTTGAAATTTTAAAGAAGTTATTTTTGGCATTTTTCTTACGCGAGAGTGTCGCTAGCAGCAGCATAAATGATCAGAGCGGTGCCAGCGACGACATCAAATCCAAGCCTTGGCTCGTTTTCCGCCTCGATCAAAAGCATGTCTGAAACTAACGAAAAATAAATAATGAAATTTATTACCGAGAAAATCCCGCGGATTGCTTCTATCGAGTGATTCTCGATGCTTGACAACATTTTCGAAGCAGAATTGATTGAATTTCTTCACAGATCCGTAATACTTGTCAGTAGTCGACTTCCAAAGTTTCTGATAGAGCCAATTTTGGGACACAAACAGGGGCAGTTTTCCTGCGGCAGTTTTCTTCAAAAGAATGGGGATGATGGTTTCAAAGATGATTTTCAGCTCGTCCTCTAGCATCTTGAAAACTAGAATTTTTTATTGAAATTTTTTCTTTTTCTCGCTCTTTTTTTACCAGGATCGTCGAATTCAAAGGTTGTTCCAAAAGCGAAACCAGTAATAACATTCATGGTGCCATTTACGAAAACGGTTTTTGGATCGATGCCTTCTTCCTTGCTTCCTTTTTCGCCAAGAATTCTGTTTACTGACTCGGAGCTATGCTCGATGATTTCGATAATTCGATTCCGCCCGGTCAGTTTTTTCGTCGTTTCGTACCAAATTGTTCGGAACTTTCGGTGAAAATCATCATACAGACCATCTGCCAGTCCTTTCGAAGGGTTAGCAATTTTTCGGAGGATCTGGGCTCGGGAACCCATGTAGAAAACCTGAGTCAGGGTCTGAGGAGTCATGATCTCCTGACTCAGAAAAATGCTGACCCGAATGCCTGTATTGTATCCTGGCCCATTCTTTATTAACTGGTCGTTTTGCCCGAGAATTTCGATAGCTTGCTTATCCAGTTTGTAATATTCTATATTTCGCTTGGTGTCGATTTTGATCTTTTCGTTGTAGTCGCGATTTGAAAGCTCCTTGTGAGCAAAAGCCTCCTTCATAAAGTCGAAATCTGTGATTACGTAAAAATTACTGCAAGGCTTCAAAAAAGCTTATTTTAAATATTTAGCCACTTTTTCGATTTTGAAGACTCTCCTGTAAGTTGAAAAAGGAAACAGCTTCGGGCGAAAGATCTTCGGCAAATCTCCCTTTTTGAAGGCTGCGGCGAGATCCTTTGCATTTTGAGCTTTTTGAAGAGTAAAAGAATAAGTCGGGATCGGATGGAACTTGTATTTGAGCCATACTTGCAGAAGTCGGCCAAAAACGAGGACCAGGAGTGTCCCCAATAGAAGGAAAATCATGCGCTTTCTCTTGTTTAATACTGAATCTAAAGCTGCCAAGGTCAAAATTCAAGGAAAACTGAGACTCTCTGAGCAAATATCAAATATTTGGTGGAAAGAAGAAAGGTCAACTGTCAATTGAGTTCATTTTTTCGGTTCAAAAATGATAACCCTAACCCCGACCAGCCCTTTCAAACAGTTTTATTTAAGAAAATGACGAGTTTATTTGTACAGAAAATTTACAAAATTGAACAGTGAGTCGCAGTAGTTCTCAATTTCTGCGAATCTAATAATAACATTATTAGTCAAAAACTAGCATTTATCTTTTCTGCACTTCCAGGAGCACTGATTTCCAATACAGTTGCAAGTACAGCTGCTTGATTTTCCTCGTCTGAAATTTTTCGTTAATGATTTTTTGGCTTGAATTTTTCTTACTTGTTGCATTTTCCTCTGCAGATTTCGCCATTGAGATACTCGGAGATCCTCATTTTTGTCTTGCATTTTTTCTTGATCAAATTGTAGTTGCAGGTCGGCTCCTCGAGGAAAATTAAAAATGGGTATATCAAACTGAAAATCGTACCTCTTCAGCTCTATTGTCAATAAACTGAGGATGATATTCGGACCAACCACCGGTGTCCGACATTGGTCCAAGCATAAATCCTCCATAGTCGCTGATTTCATCCTCTTTGCATTGGCACTCTTTGCCGATCGAGCTCCAGAAACACCGGCTTCCCATGCAAGTGCATTTCCTTAAACGAAAATTGAAGAGGACGTTCATTCTTTTCAGTTTCTTTACCGTGATCCGTTGTTGATGCATTTTGACATTGAGCTGCCAGAATCACATTGAAGAGTGCATTCGTCGCCAGCGCAGACGTATTTTGATCGTTGAAGCTCTCTTGGTGGATCGCAGCGATAAGTCCAACTGTTTTTCTCTTCGTTTTCGATGATTTCTTCGCAGAAATATCCACCAAGCCGGTTTTTGCAAACTTTTCCATCGCCGCAAAGAGAAGAATCCCTTTCGCACTCGTTGATATCCAAGCATCTTCCGTTGACGACTTCGTATCCGTCTTGGCAGACGCATTCGAACGAACCGGGAAGGTTAACGCACATTGTGTAGCCGCACGCGTTCATCGCACATTCGTCGATATCGACACATTCGCCATTGACCGCTTCATATCCGTTTTGGCAGGAAAGATCTTCGCATCTGTAGGAACCAACGGTGTTGACGCATTTTTGGTCGTAGTCGCATGGGGAGGTGGAGCACTCGTCTATGTCTTCAGAGCAAGAAGGACCTTTATTTTGGTTTCAGAAAATTTTTGCTCAATTTTTGAAATAAAATTTGAACATTGAAAACCATTCCTTTGAATCCTTTCGGGCAAAGTTCTTGTCCAGCCGAAGCTGGTGCTATTCCCATGGTCTCCCCGATCCAGTCGATGTAAGCGGAGACAGATGTGTAGATTCCAAACGTATCGGCGCTCGCGCAACCAATTCCAAAGCTGACAACGCCCGAGAGATAAGAGTTTTCACAATAGAAGGGTCCTCCAGAATCGCCTTGACACGCGTCAACTCCACCTTTATCGAACCCCGCGCAGAGGTGTTGTCGCGACTCGAGCTAGATATCAACTTGTTAGACATGTGACATGTCACTTTTTCAATAGAAAATGCTGGAACTCGAGCCAAACTTACGGTTATCCCGAAATCTTTATATTCTTGATTGCATTGGTCAAAATTCGCAACTGGAATTGAAGCTTCATTCAAAGTCGCATCAGAGGCTGTTCCTAGAGTTTGCCCAGCACCAGCGATCTTACAGTAGTCTCCCTCTGCCGGCTGATTTTTCGAAATACAGACAGGATTGACAGTCTTTGTATATTGGACAGGATCATTGAGTTCGACCAGGCAAATGTCATCAGTAATCTTTTCGTATGTCGCTTTGAATCCTTTGTGGCACTTGATGGATTTGACGCTGCTGGTTTGACCGGGGAAGGTGCCGCTCTTGAAGTTGCCAAATCCGACGGCGTACTTTTTAAAATTGAACATTTCTCCGGAATAAGGGTCCATGAAGCAATGCGCAGCGGAGAGCACCCACCGTTCATTGAGAAGCGAGCCGCCGCAGAATCGACTACCCCAGCCTCCTTTCTTGCTGTAAAAAACCGCCATGAAAGGCCAGCTTTCCGCATCAGTCGCTTGTCCTCCCACGACTCGCATCGTTCGTTCCTGGACGTAATCATGAAAACACACGCTGGCTCCTTCTTTTGGCTTTTCTTCGACGATTTGTCTTCTGAAGCCGATTGGTCCGAGGCCAAAAAGTGTCTCGCATGGAAAAGTGCTGCAAGGTCGCGTTTCCACTTCATGCATGCTGCAATAACTTCTAGCTAAGCACCGTCTTCTTCTCATTTGAGTTCCGCCGTTGCAGACTTCGGTACAGGTCGACCAGTTTTCCCAATTACTGTAAACTTCGCGAGTGGGAACAATCTGTTCTTCTCTGATCGTTTCTTTAATCCAATCTGCGTGTCGGGAGATGTCGGTGTACTCGGACACCTGAGAACCCTGAGTACAATCGTTGTCCATCACCAGCCCTCCGATGCCATAAGCTGACCATTTTCCGTTGATGTCTTCGCAGGAGAGAACAGCTCCATTGGTCCCCTTGCAGACGCCGAATCCTTTGCCACTGGAGCAAATGAGCCCTTCAGAATTGAAAGCGCCACATCGAGGCCGACGATGAATTTGAACTGGTCGATGTTTAGGCGAAAGCTGAGTTGATGAATCGGGCTCGGACTCCATCCAAGATGTTACCACGCAATTTCTCTGAAAAGAAAAAATGAAATTCTAGGGGGAGGAAACTTTACTACCAGCATGTGAAGTTGACCGAGATTTCTTTCAGCTGGTTTTTCAGGGATGCAAATTGAAGAAGTCAAACCGGCGAAATGAGCACGATCTGTGTTTAATTTCAAAAGAGCAACATTGGACTCGCGGCTTTCGACAGTGTAGTTTGGATGGACGACGATTTTGACAACACATTGCTCTCTGGATGGACCGAGAAGGACTCCGTCTTCTATTCTCTCAAGAAAAACGCTTCCCCACTTTTCTTCAAATCTCTTCGCGCAGTCGGCAGATGTGAGCACCCAGTTTGGCGAAACTAGAGCTCCTCCGCAGAGGACTCCATCCTTCATTCTCAGCGTTACGGACCATGGTTGTCTCGAATTCGACCCTTGCCCGCAGTCAAGAGTTCGGTTTAAACTCGTTAGATCTATTCTGGGACTGAGTAAATTTGACCTTTGCGGGCATTCTAAAGCAGAAGCCACTATTGACGAATGTATCGTATAAAAATATAAAAGTAAAGAATCTCGCATAATTTTTTAGACTCTGTGGATTTTCTTGCTGAAGCGAATTTCAATTTGTCATGGCGTGATTTGGACATCGACAGATGGCGCTGTAAATGAGCCCTTAGCTGTCTTATCAGAAGATATAGAAAAAGGGGGAAGCGCTTTAGACGCTCTTTAGAGAGCGCTATTGATAATTACACAACTTTTAAAGCGATTATCAAGCGTGTTTAGTAAGCTTTTATTGAAAAGAATTTCTTCAAGGCTTCAAAAATCTGATGCAAAAAGATTCTCATTGGAAAAAAGTGTTTGCTCAAAGCAAAAAAATCGCACATTTGCTTCGATAAATTTAAAAAGAAATGAACCCGTTTGAGGAAAATGAAATTGATATCAGAGAAATCCTCAAAATCCACCGGGTAAGATCATCATCTGATCATTGTAACAACACTGCTCTAGAATGAAAAATCGACAAATGAAGCTCAAACGCGAGAAATGTGCGGAATTTTGATTCAAACCATTTCTGAAGCTGAAAATTCGGGAGGAATGGAAAAAGTGGCGAAATATTTTACTTTGGCGCTTTTGAAAGATGTTCTCAAATTTGTCAACGACGCTAGAAATTCGGAAAAGGTCGATCTTGAGACGAAGGCGGACATGGTTGCCATCATGCGGGATGAAAACAAGAGGAGGACTCTATTAGAGCAATACAAGGAAGGTTTCAACTCACTTTTCTTTATTTTTTCAACATTTGAAAACTTCACTAAGAAAGACAGAAACAAATCTAACTGGCGGTTGATGTCGCTGACTGAGCAAAAAGGAGTTCTTGAGTTTCTCATCCAAATTTGGCCGGACAAAAAGACCAACCCTTTTCTGCCACTTCATCCGATCGAAGGAAGCCTAGCTCGACTTCTATCTGAGCGACAAAGTAACAGTTATTTGACAGCTTTTGAAAACGGAAATTTATAGAACTGGATTCGATTGATAAAAAAATTGCAATTTTGTGCTCAACCGCCGAAAAGTGTCATATGAAAGATGATGATTTGAGAGAAAAGCTGAATGAGATTCTCGCTGGAGAAGATGAAAAATCAGAAGATCTTCCTCAGAATCCGAAGAATACCCTTGCTCTAGTTGAATTCAAGGTTCTTTCTCTAAACTTGAAAATTTCTGAAGTGTTTTTAGCGCATAAAAGTCGCATATATCGACAATCTCTTCGCTCGAATTCAAGATTTGCTTCTTGAGCTCAGCGAAAAACTTCGAAAGTTCGAAGTGACATGGAAGCGATTTTATCTTCTCCTTCGAGAAAAATTTGCAAAAATAGGCGAGGAAGAATATGTCGAGCACATTTTACCGAATCTTTCAGGTTTTCGACAGTTTCTATTCTCATTTCTAACGATGAAATTAAGACTATTTTGTTATACGAAAAAGACGGCGAGTCATTGCAAATTCCTCTTCTACAAATTTATCGTTAAAAGTAAAAATATAAGAATGCATTGAATTTTCCAAATTTCCAGGATCTAGGAAAACGAAAGCCCTGCGAAGAACTCCCCGAACTCATCAGAGAACTCTCCGAAGAACTGGGAATCATCGTGACAGCAACCCAAGAAGCAGAAATAAAAATCGAAGAACTAATTCAACAACGACCACTGATGGAGAAATATTTAGAGCAAGAAATTCCTGACTACTCGAGACGAATTTATGCTCTTTACAAAATTGACCAGAACTTTTTGGAAAGTGAAAATTGCTCTGCCGCACTTGACATTGTTTCGCGAATGTGGACGAATATAGAAACATGAGTTTTGATTTGTGATTTGATTTTTACGCAGGAAATGTCAAAAAAGTTCTGATTCGAACTGCAGTTGTCAGCAGAGCCTACAAGCAAATATTTGCACCAAGCGCATGAGCAGCAGAATCAGTCGTTGCTTCGTTTCACAGTGGAATCTGCCGTGAGAGAAATAAGCTTTTTATCAACCAAAATGCCAGAGAGTCTGTTTCGGTTACAAACGTTTAAAATTTTAGTTTGAAGATTGATTTTGTAACTTTTTGAAAGAAAGACGGAAAATACGCGAACATCGACGTTGCGCGTTTCGAAACGGACCAGGGAGTGACGACGGCTTTGGACACCTCGACGGGAGAGACTGTCATCGTCAAGGCGATTCTGCTTCAAAACGCTAGCCATTGGAAAAGCACCCAACAAGAAGCGGCGACTCTTCGACAACTCGGTAAGTTTATTTTTTACTCTTGCGGGGAAAGAGACAAAGGCAGCATTTGAAATTTTTCAGACCACGTGAATGTTGTCCGATTTGTCGATTTCCTCGATCGGCACACGCCAGAATGGGCCTTTGGCTCCATGTGCTTCATCATCATGGAGCACTGCGCTGGTGGAAGCCTTGTCAATTGGATCGAGAAGATGAAGGACGCCCAACGACGAACAACGCTGGACGAGGCGAGGATCATTGGCGCGCAGCTCATCTCCGCTCTGAGCTACTGCCACGAGCGGAACAAGCTGCACATCGATTTAAAGCCAGCAAATGTGTTCTTGCTCGGCGATTTTATTACAGTAAGCAAATATCATTCGAACTGTAAATTAATGAAAATCGAAGGTAAAACTGGGCGACTTCGGCAGCGCGGTTTCGATCAGCTCCGTCCATCGAACTGTCACGACTAGGGTTCGCAATCAAATAATTTCAAAATTTAAAATTGCTCTAAAAATAACCGTTTTCAGGATTCCCCCCTTTTCAATCATCAAGATTTCATTTCTGAAATCAGAATTTAATAATCTTCAGTAGAACTCGAGATATGGCCCCGGAAAAAAGAACGAATTTCATCGGCGCGGGCTGCGCGCTGCCCTGTATGGGTGGCGCCCGAGTGCTGAAGCAAAGCGCCGAGTCAAACTCTGGCCCAAATCAATTTCACTTGTTCTATTTTCTTTTTTTTTATGATAATAAAATTAATAATTTAATAACTTTAATTAAAAAATATTAGATAAATTAATAAAATATTTAATAATAACTTAACAAATAAAGTTAATAATAAAAATTAAAAAAAAAATAAATATAAATTATATAAATACTCATAATTTAAATAAATAATAAAAAAAAGCATTAATAAACAGAACTCACTCACTTTAGGAGTGTCACATTGATAAAAATAATTTTCTTGAAATCGCTTTCACGAAGAGGTACCCCGCTGTGTTTGCTTTACGATGGACGCCAGAATTTCATGCTTTGTAACATCATGTCAAACCACGTGCTCGGTCATGTGACTGGATATCAGCTAATAACATGCGCAGCTTCATCTCAATATTGGGGATTTTCTTGAATATGTCGTCACAACTGGGTACCCTGCTGTGAATGGCTTATCATCGTCGCCAGAATTTCACCTTCTGTCACATGATGTCGAAGCACACAATTAGTCATGTGACCAGATATCAGGTCAAAACAAGTGCAGCTTCATCTCGATATGGGGGATTTTCTTGAAGATGTCGTCACGACTTGGTACCCTGCTGTGAATGGCTTATCATCGTCGCCAGAATTTCTCCTTCTATCACATGATGTCGAAGCACACAATTAGTCATGTGACCAGATATCAGGTCAAAACATGTGCAGCTTCATCTCGATATGGGGGATTTTCTTGAAGATGTCGTCACGACTTGGTACCCTGCTGTGAATGGCTTATCATCGTCGCCAGAATTTCTCCTTCTATCACATGATGTCGAAGCACACAATTAGTCATGTGACCAGATATCAGGTCAAAACATGTGCAGCTTCATCTCGATATGGGGGATTTTCTTGAAGATGTCGTCACGACTTGGTACCCTGCTGTGAATGGCTTATCATCGTCGCCAGAATTTCTCCTTCTGGCACATGATGTCGAAGCACCCACTAAGTCATGTGACCAGATATCAGCTCAAAACATGCGCAGCTTCATCTCGATATGACCGATTTTCTTAAATATGTCGTCACAACTGAGTACCCCGCTGTGAATGCCTTATCCTCGTCGCCAGAGTTTCTCCTTTTCTCACATGATGTCAAAGCACACAATTTGTCATTTGGCCGGAAATCAGCTCAATACATGCGCAGCTTCCCTCCACACTACTGATTTTCTTGAAGATGTCGTCATAACCGAGTTACCCCCGGATTCACCTCAACACTGACGATTTTCTCAAATATGTCGTCCTTAATGGTATCACCGATGAGAATGCCTTATAATCGACGCCCGAATTTTTCCGTTTGTCACACGAATATCGAGGAAATGTTTAGTTTTTTGACCAGATATCTTTTCTATACATGCGCAGCTTCACCTTGATACTGATGATTTTCTTTCTATGATCAACCTACCCTGCTATGTGACAAAAGAAAAATATCTGGCATCGACAATAAGGCTTCCACAGCAGGGTACCCAGTTGGGCCCACGTATTCAAGAAAATCGTCAGTATCAAGGTGAAGCTGCGCATCAATTGACCTGATATCCAGTCACATGACTCAACAGGTGTTCTCGAATCATGTGACAAAAGGAAAAATTCTGGCATCGATGATCAGGCATTCACAGCGGGGTACTTAGTTAGGACAACGTATTCAAGTACATCGTATGACATGTTTATGTCCGACAATATTGCTTTTTCCACAATTTTTCGACAATTTGTTATCAGATATGAATTTATTATGCTCTTGTCTTTGTTTTTAAGATAAAAACAGCAAATACCTCATCAAAAATTACAAGAAATTTAAAGTTGACTATGCTTAACTTATGGAACAACGATTGAGACAATGTATTGAAGAAATTTGTCAGTATCACGGTGAAGCTGCGCATCAATTGACCTGATATCAAGTCACATGACTCAACACATGTTTTGCAATCATGTGACAAAAGGAAAAGTTCTGGCATCGCTGATTAGGCATTCACAGCGGGGTACCCAATCTGGCCAACGTATTCAAGAAAATTGTCAGTATCAAAGTGAAGCTGCGCATGTATTGACCTGATATCCGGTCACATGACTCAACACGTGTTCTGCAATCATGTGACAAAAGGAAAAGTTCTGGCATCGCTGATTAGGCATTCACAGCGGGGTACCCAGTTGGGACAACGTATTCAAGAAAATCGTCAATATCAAGGTGAAGCTGCGCATGTTTTGATCTGATACCTAGTCACATGTTTCAACACATGTTCTGCAATCATGTGACAAAAGGAAAAGTTCTGGCATCGCTGATAAGGCATTCACAGCGGAGTACCCAGTTGGAACAACGTATTCAAGAAAATCGTCAGTATCAAGGTGAAGCTGCGCATCAATTGACCTGATATCAAGTCACATGACTCAACAGGTGTTCTCAAATCATGTGACAAAAGGAACAGTTCCGGCATCTATGATAAAGCATTCACAGCGGGGTACCCAGCTGGGACAACGTATTCAAGAAAATTGTCAGTTTCAAGGGGAAGCTGCGCATAAATTGAGCTGATCTTCGATCACATGACTTGACATGTGATCCGAAATTATATTATAAGGGGAGAAATTATGGCTTTGATGATAAGGCATTCTCAGCGGGGTACCCAGCTGTTACTACTTAATCAAGAAAATTATCGATAACAAAGTCAAGTCTTATGTGTCTTATGTGTCGTGCTCACATCCTTTTATATGAATAAATACATAGTGTGATATTTTTGAAAAGAGAGAAATAGTTCTTATTATTATTGGTTTATATATGCATGTATCGTGATTTTTTCTGCTGATTCGACAAATTTTTTAATGATAAGTATTATGTCATCATTAAATTTTCCATTGTTTTATATTTTTATAGCCGTTTGTTTTATTATTATTCTGTTTGTACAGATAAGAAATCTTCTTTGTTCAGCATATTTCATATTTTGAATTTCGCGCACTTTTTTCTAAACAATAATTTTTTAATTTCCAAGTACGATCCACCAACCATTCCAAATCGCTTGAATTTTTGACAGGAGGGTTATTTTGCCTGTATAAATGTATGGTCGAGGTTGCGAAATCGTAGAACACCTGTGACCCAAGATATTGATTATTTTCCGGAATTTCTAGCTCATAATTTGTTTGTTTGTTTATTTTTCTCATTTTTTTTCGATTTTTAAGATTCCCTTATACCGATTTACTATACTAAAATTCAATTTTATTGTTATTCAAGATGGTCAAAATTATTTGATTGCGAACCCTAGTCACGACAAAAAGTGGAGATTCAATCAACTACACTCCTCTCTACGCTGCTCCAGGTAAGATGAAAGGGAATTTTATAAGTTAAAAGATTTATAAGTTAAATATTTTGTTAAAGAAATTCTTTCTGGAGAACATGTGGAGAAGTCAGCGAGGCTGGACGTCTGGGGCTTTGCTCTCATTTTGCAGGTTTTTTGGTTATTTTCGAGTCAAATTTCATCTGTTTCAAAGGAGTTATTGACCTTGGAGCATCCATTTGGCCGAGTCAATGGTCAGCCCGCACTGTTTGCTGAAATTCGTAAGTTCACTTTTTGAATTCTTGAATTAAATTTTTCAAATTCCTTAGAAACGAACATTCAAAAAGGAAATCGCACTTCTCTTTTCGAAGCCTTCGGCGAAACAGATGAATTCGAAGAATTTGAGATTCTTCTTGAAAAATGCACTCGTTTGGATCGAAAAAGACGGCCAAGAAACGCGATCAAACTCCGGGATGAGAATCTCTTCGTTGATTTCTTAGGGAGAATCGAAAACGACGAGCGACCGAGCAGCATCGTTCCTCCACCTTTTCCGAATGAGAATGACGAAGTTGAACGACTCAAGGAAGAGATTCAGCGAAAAGATAGAACGATTCAAGAACTGCAGAATCGACTTTATACTTTCAACGAAATCATGGAAGATCGACTGAAAGAAGAAGCGAAAGAAAAAGATGCGAAGATCGCGAAGCAAAATCGAGTGAGTATTTTAATTACTTCAGATATTTATAGTTTTGATCTTACTCATCTTTAGGAAAATTTGCAATTGAAAGAAGAAAATGGAAATCTCAAGCGAGAACTCGCCAAATTGAAAAAAATCAACAACGAGCTTGAAAAGAATTTTGAATATTCGAGGCAAATGATCGACCAGCTAGAATTGGTAAAAAAAAGATTTTCTTGGAAATGTCTATACGAAATTCTAGCGAAACGAGTCAGAGAAGAAAAAGCAACGAAATGAGCTGGAAAAAGCGAAACGGGAAATTGAAAATCTTGAGTCGATTTTGAAAGAAGAAAAAGAAAGAAATCGAGGAGAAATTGAAAATCAGAAAAGGGAAATTGAGAGATTGGGGCGAGAATTGAGAGAACAGCGGAAAAACCATCAGCCAGTTTCGAAAAAGGAAGAAAAAAGGGTTGAAGCAAGAAATAAAGAACTGAAGAAGATGAGGGAGAAGTTGGGGGCGATCGGTGGAGCGGGCGAGTTCTTCGGAAACGAAAAATGGACTAGTGATGGTGGAGTGAGAGGACCAATGGAAGAAGGAGAATTGCAAAAGTGCTGAAGCTGGTCGCGCTTGGAGAAAATACGATAAATCTCAAGGAAAGAGGGTTTAAATGTTCTTAAAGCTAAAAAGAATATCGAAAAACTCTTCGACAAGTTTCATTATTTCAATAATTGGGAGGTCGCGGAACAAGGATGGCACTTGAAATTCAAAAGTGCTGATGAATATTGGGGAGAAGGAGATGGCTGGTTCTATTTATCAATCTGGAACAAAGGTAAAAAATGAAAATTTCAATTTTTAAAATTTTATTTCAGAAGGCGGCGGAAGATTCAAAGCTGTCGCGCAACAAATTGATGGTAATGATGGTGAAGAACGGAATTGGCAAGAAATCGAAAGCGAGGCGGATGGACAGCGACAAACTATCAAGTACAAAATGGAAGCTGCTGATTTTGATTATGTCAGATTTAATATTAATTTTCTGTAAATAAAACTGCTAAAACAAAAAGCATCATGTTTTTTGTAAAATTTTTCTCGTGAGATTTTGATTATTGAAAAAAAATGATTGCTTTTATTCTGTTTAAAAATTTTATATGTTTCGGGCTAAATAAATGAGAGGTTCGATTTTCCGTAAATTCGATTTTCCGTGAGTTACGAGAAAATTTAGACTATTTTGGAGTCATGGAAATGTGAAAGAAAACTTTGACTTGGGCTTTCGAATCTATCCAAAGTCGAGTTGAGGAGCAGTCCTCGCCGTTTATTACTAAGGAAATAACGTTGATCATCTAAAAATTGAAGAAAAAAGTTCTTAGCGAAGGCGTCATGATCGAAAATCTTATCGAAAACTTTGTTCGTATCGAAGTTTTTTGATCACTTGCGCGATTTTCTTTCGCCTTTTCGTGATTTTCCACAGCGCGCTAGCGAGCAAACTAGTGCTTAGTGCTACTACACATAGATGACGTGTTTTCAGAGACTGATAGAACCAACGCGCAATCTTATCAAAGAAAATTCGAATCAGAAACTAAGAAAATAAAAGACGCGTACTTTGAAAATTCTGCAAGGAGACAACTGAACCGTTTTAACCATTTTTATAGCAAATTTTTGAATATTTTAATAAGAAAAGGTTCTTGTAAATAATTTTTGGGCAGCTCTGTTTTGTAGAACACAAACCATTTTTCCAGAACTTTCAAAAATACCATTTTACAATGCAAACAGATTCTTATTCGCAAGTGAGTTCGGGTAAGCAGATCTGAAAAATGGCTGAAAAAAATTAAAAGAAATCGAATCGGACGACGAGCGGAGATAATTTTGATCAAATTAAATCCTCTCTACAAAGTACAGTAATTCATCTGCGAGTGAAACATGATAGGATAGTAAAAGAATCTTTCGTGCGAGCCAAGACTTTGTACTTCCGTGATTTCATTCGAATCTTCAAATGGTAAAGACAATTTCTATTTAGAAATTTTACTTTATCATCTAATTTATATGTCTAGTGCCATTCCTAATATAATTCGCTGAATATCTCTCGTTACTTCTTTGCTGTCACCGGGAAACAGGTAGATTGCGTTGTCGATCAAGATTGATGAACATTGAAAGACACCCTCAAATAAAATTTATGTCAAAAACAGGGACAATATTAAAGCGATTGCCTCTAACTTCCTCTTGAAGACAAGCTTACCTGTTTGAGAGAAATTTTTTCGCCCCATTCATTTTCATTCAAAATCCAAATGTTCATTACACTTCGTTTAGTAAGGAAGTCAATACCACCAAGAGTTGCAAGTGCACCTGAAGGAAGCCCAACAACTGAATGATGACTCAGCCACCTGTAAAAATTGTGCTAATTTAGCGGTTAATATCATATTTATACATACTTTGGATGCGCTGGAAGAATTTTCCATTCGTCTTCAAAAAGAGTTTCAGAGTATCCTTCGTTTGAAAACGGAAACTTTCTCCCGCCTACCGCAGCAGGTTGTCCTTTGTAGAGGCCAAGACCGCTAGCCCAGTGACCTTCCGTGGATGGTAAACCTTGCGTTACATCAAAGCCATCAAACAAATTGCATGCTTTATTTTGTGTTTGATCAAAACATATCAATGCTAATTTAATTTAAATGCGTTTAACTAAGGCTGGAAGAATACCTTCTGTTCCATTTCTGATAGAAAGAGCAGAGCCTCCAATGTCATAAGAATCAATAAGCCTCACAGATAGCTCCTCAAATCTGCAATTTTCTAGCTTTGCGATTCTCTAAAAAATATAAAAGTGGAAATTCCTGAAACGCTACCTTTGAATCAAAACCTCCAAAAAGAAAGAGTTCTTCCTTGACGAGAGCATAAATCGACGAATAAGAAAATTGAGCGGTAGAACCCTCGAAATCCACAGGAGACAAAATATTGATATTTTCATCTCTTGAACCGTCTCCGAAAAGAGCGTATGGCATCGAAATCTCATACTGCTCTGGCAAGACGACCACGAGTTGACTCGGCCGGTTTTCAAAGAAGAAGAAATTTTTGACTTCTGTTTTCTCGTCAAACTTGAATAATCGTATTCTCTTGTCTGTAAATGATTGCAGATTTTTTATTCTTTTTGACCCGATCGGCGTTCCGTTCGTTTTCATTTCGAAGATATGAGACGACTCATCTTCAACATGGAAGACGATCTCAACTGATGACCACTTCAAGTCGGGAAGATCCAGCACTATTCCACCACTGAAAAAGTCAGATTGGCAAGCGAGGAAGCCACTTTGCAGCAGTTTGAATTCAAATATAATTGAGTTATCTTCATAAGATTGAAGTTGTAGAACAGTCGCCGGAGTTGTCGCGTTTTTGATTATCTTGCTTGTTAGAAAAATAGTTCGCATTTCAAAATTTTATGTGATTTCGAACAGCACCTTTATATCAAGACTGAGTTTTCGTGTCTCATTGAAATCCATTTGAAACGAAGAAATGTGGTCAAACTCATTGAAGGAACGAAAACCAGCGTTGGGAAGAATAGCGAGCGGATACGGTGGAGATAAGCTACTTGCTTCATGGTCGGCTCAAGATTTGATAGAGTGGAATTCTAGCTTAAGATTGAATCTGAGCCATGACTGAGGGAGGAAAATTATCAAATTGAGGAACCGCGTTTTTCGAAAACTGCGGGAAAATGTCTTCGTGAAAGGTGAAATATGGGTTGCTTGTGACGTGCATTTTATTCGCCGCTTCCTGTTGCCGAAAGTCGAGATCTATTCGCTCGAAATCGAAGTGAATCTCGAAAGCTGCGTCAAAAACAAGACTTTGAAGGTAAAGTTGATCGTTGCTTGAAAACGCATTGATGAAATATTCGCACTCGTCGTTGTTGGTCCCATATGGATTCGAATACGCGAGGTCGTCAGGAGCAAACATTGCCGAGTAGCATCGTGCTTCTTGATTGTACTGGACGAGCGAGCCGATCCAGTCGCTGCCGAAGGTGAGGAACTTGCCTTCTTTTTCGAGCAGCAAGGAATATTGCATGTTGGAAAGGACGATGCTTCGGGTGACTAAAACGATCAAAAGTCGTCCAAGGTCGATCTACCCTGGATTTTTAAATTTTCAGGAATGATTTATTCCAAATAATTCATTAATCAATTATTTGAAACCCGTCCCAGAGGTACAACATGCACTGGGTCAAAATCTCTAAACTCGGCCGGAATCGCGATTTCATCCTTCCGCCAGCCTTTTTCGAGCTCTTCACTCTTCCTTATTTTGTGGAGAGCGACAGTTTTTGAAATTTGTATCCATCCATCGCCCAGTCTCATGCTCATCAGATAGAATGTTCCGCCGAAGCTGATTGACGATGTTTTTGCGTTGAAGTGATTACTGGCGATGTACCCTTAAAATCGAATGAAGATTTTAGCGGTTTATTGCTCAAACCCTGGGCTGCTTCGAATCTATTCAAATTGTAGTCCGGCGCGTAGTAGAAACACTTGTCCTTTCTTCTTTCGGGAGAGCTTTCGGCGGTCAATATTTTGTGCTTTTTTAGAGATTTAGATCAAATTAACGAGTCATAAATTGAACAAATTTGACCGGTTCCAGATGACGACGACGGGAAAGGACATTTTTGCGTCGTATTTGTCTCGAATCTCGATTTCGTGAGTGCCGATAGATGATCCAAAGTGAAACATGAAATTGCCAGTGCTACAAAAAAACATTACTCTGACTGTAACGTTTAACTGACTGTTTAAACTGTTTACCTTGAAAAGTCTCGATTGACAACAAATTTCGCCGACATCCCATCTTCGCTTAATATTTTCAAGTTTCCTTCGAAATCAACGAGAAAGTGTTGACCATTGAGAAAAGTTGCACCAATCGGCTTTGTTATTTTCATAAAACTGATGAAAAAGCTATACAGTATAGCCTTTAGTATAGCCTATACTTAGGGCCAAGCCGCAAAAAATGGCCAACTCGAAATCGCTGTTTTTTTCAAAATCTGTCAAGATAGGATGATAGAGCAGCTCAAGCTGAACAACTTTCATATTGAAGACTTTTTGAAAAACCTTTGTTGTGTGACCGGAAATGACCTGCAAAAGTCCGAAAATCGCACCAAAATCGTTTTTTTGGCCTGCGCAAGGTGTGCGCATCGGAAAAGTGTCTATTTTTTTCTTCTTATTGAAAAGCTCAGGCTCTGAGCTATCTGTAGGGACCAAAAAAAAGTGGTCTTGGTACCCATTTTTTATGAGTAAAGACTGCCGGAAAGTACCGGAAACCAGCGAAAAATGGCAAAAATGCCGGAAATTAAGGATAGGCTTCTACCATGAAGTTTAACTCTTTGGGGAGAAAGCTCTTGGCCCCCTTCCCCCTATCCCGCGCAAATCAGTGTCGGGGAAGTCTAGAAAACTTCTTGAACGCTTGCCTGGCTGTTTAGAAGAATCTCGAGATTCTGAAGAACAGAATCTGGAAAGTCCGAGCCAATGAGAGAGCCGACAATGGTTTGCGCGGCTTCTCCCCAAAATTAGGCGCGCTCAGAATGAGCTACTGAAAAACTCAGTGCATTTTTCAGTAGCTCAGATTCTCGATCTCCCTTTAGAGCTCAACTCCATGGTAACTACTACATCTTTTTCGTCCTCGACGTTAAAAACACTTAAGGTCAACTTCGGCCACTTAGTGCCGGAGGACCTCCCGGAGGACCCCTCTGCTGGAAGACAAGCTGCTGGAAGACCAGTATTTAAAAATAAAGACACAAACAAAATATAAAGGCTGGATTGGCTGGTTATTGCCGTATTCGGCCACTTGATGCCGGAGGACCTCCTGGAGGACCCTTCAGCTGGAAAACAAGGTACTGGAAGACCAGTATTTAAGAAGAAAGATATAAATAAAATATAAAGCCTGGATTGCCTCGTTATTGCCGTTATCGGCCACTTGATGCCGGAGGACCTCCCGGAGGACCCTCTGCTAGAAGACAAGCTGATGGAAGACCAAAATAAAAAAAAATAAATAAAAAGCCTTGTCTGGGCACAAGTTGCCACATTTGGCCAAACTCGATCACTTAAGAGACATCTCGAAAGACCTTAAACAAAAAGACATACTGCTGGAAGACTAATTGGAAAAAATAAGTTGCTTTTCTTGTAACACGTCTGTTTATTAAATTTGTCAAGAAAGAAGAGGCCCGTTAATTCTTTTCAATCAGAACCAGGGCGAAGCCGACTCGGAGGGGAGGCCACGCCCGCTTATTCTTTTCAATCAGAGTCAGGGCGAAGCCGACCCGAAGGGGAGGCCACGCCCGTTTATTCTTTTCAATCAGAACCAGGGCGAAGCCGACCCGAAGGGGAGGCCACGCCCGTTTATTCTTTTCAATCAGAGTCAGGGCGAAGCCGACACAAAGGAGAGGCAACGGCCGTTTATTCTATTCAATCAGAGTCAGGGCGAAGCCGACCCGAAGGAGAGGCAACGCCCGTTTATTCTTTTCAATCAGAGTCAGGGCGAAGCCGACCCGAAGGAGAGGCAACGCCCGTTTATTCTTTTCAATCAGAGTCAGGGCGAAGCCGACCCGAAGGGGAGGCCACGCCCGCTTATTCTTTTCAATCAGAACCAGGGCGAAGCCGACCCGAAGGGGAGGCCACGCCCGTTTATTCTTTTCAATCAGAACCAGGGCGAAGCCGACCCGAAGAGGAGGCAACGCCCGTTTATTCTTTTCAATCAGAGTCAGGGCGAAGCCGACCCGAAGGGGAGGCCACGCCCGCTTATTCTTTTCAATCAGAGTCAGGGCGAAGCCGACCCGAAGGGGAGGCCACGCCCGCTTATTCTTTTCAATCAGAACCAGGGCGAAGCCGACCCGAAGGGGAGGCCACGCCCGTTTATTCTTTTCAATCAGAGTCAGGGCGAAGCCGACCCGAAGGGGAGGCCACGCCCGTTTATTCTTTTTAATCAGAGTCAGGGCGAAGCCGACCCGAAGGGGAGGCCACGCCCGCTTATTCTTTTCAATCAGAACCAGGGCGAAGCCGACCCGAAGGAGAGGCAACGCCCGTTTATTCTTTTCAATCAGAGTCAGGGCGAAGCCGACCCGAAGGGGAGGCCACGCCCGCTTATTCTTTTCAATCAGAGTCAGGGCGAAGCCGACCCGAAGGGGAGGCCACGCCCGCTTATTCTTTTCAATCAGAACCAAGGCGAAGCCGACCCGAAGGAGAGGCAACGCCCGTTTATTCTTTTCAATCAGAGTCAGGGCGAAGCCGACCCGAAGGAGAGGCAACGCCCGTTTATTCTTTTCAATCAGAGTCAGGGCGAAGCCGACCCGAAGGGGAGGCCACGCCCGCTTATTCTTTTCAATCAGAACCAGGGCGAAGCCGACCCGAAGGGAGGCCACGCCCGTTTATTCTTTTCAATCAGAACCAGGGCGAAGCCGACCCGAAGAGGAGGCAACGCCCGTTTATTCTTTTCAATCAGAGTCAGGGCGAAGCCGACCCGAAGGGGAGGCCACGCCCGTTTATTCTTTTCAATCAGAACCAGGGCGAAGCCGACCCGAAGAGGAGGCAACGCCCGTTTATTCTTTTCAATCAAAGTCAGGGCGAAGCCGACCCGAAGGGGAGGCCACGCCAATTTATTCTTTTCAATCAGAACCAGGGCGAAGCCGACTCGAAGGGGAGGCAACGCCCGTTTATTCTTTTCAATCAGAGACAGGGCGAAGCGGACCCGAAGGGGAGGCCACGCCCGTTTATTCTTTTCAATCAAAGTCAGGGCTAAGCCGACCCGAAGGGGAGGCCACGCCCATTTATTCTTTTCAATCAGAACCAGGGCGAAGCCGACTCGAAGGGGAGGCAACGCCCGTTTATTCTTTTCAATCAGAGTCAGGGCGAAGCCGACCCGGAGGAGGCCACGCCCGCT